ACGTACGTTACCCTTCGTAGATTAGTCACTCTCCCGGAATTAGCAGCTAGCAAGTCAATCATTCTTCCTGGAGTGCACACAATAATCTCTGCACCACGCTTTAATTCCGCAATTTGATCTTTGATGGGCGCACCTCCATACGCACAGACGGCACGAAGGTTCAACGCTTTTAAGAACGGCTTACATTCCTTGTGGATTTGCGTTGCCAGTTCTCTAGTTGGGGTCATAATCAACCCAACGGGACCCTCCATGTTCTCAAGTGGTCGTTGATCCTTGATATGGCGGAACATGGGCAACAAAAAAGCGATTGTTTTTCCAGAGCCAGTCTTAGCGACACCTATTACGTCTCTTCCGGACATGATGGCCGGAATAGCTTGCGATTGAATCGAGGTTGGTTGCTCATAACCGAGTTTCCGAATGACGTCCAGGGTTTGGACTCCTAAACCACACTGCGACCACTTTTGCACAGGTTTTGGTACGTCGACACCCCGAACCTTTATTCCATCCAATTCTAGCCTTAGAGCGGCGACCTCTTCATCGTTTAGCTCCGCCAAATCCACAGGCTCCGTATAGAAGCTCTTTCGGAATGGTTCGTAATCAATCGTTTCGTGATTGACAGTGGGTAAATCTTTCTTCTTCCTGGTTTTACTCGTTATAGCAAGGAAATCATCCGCTTCGAAATCCATTGCCTTCAAATCCACGTCATCCTCGTCCCCAAATATTGCTTCGGGTTCCTGTTTAGGTTTAGAAACATTTTTTCGATATTTGGATGCGTCTACCGTCACTGAATCTTTTAGACCAGACATAAAGGCATCCAACGGGTCGATTTCCTCCTCATCCTCCACATCCATAGGTTCGGCTGAGCCATTCTGGTCAGTTTCTAAAGTTTCTGGTTGCTGTTCTGGTTGCGACTCTAAAGCTACAGTCTGATTTTGCAGCCTTTCTTCGCGTTTTTCCGCCGCAGCCCTCGCCGCAGCAGCGTTCTCTTCCTCTGTGCCGCCATCCTGCATGTCGATATCGCCGTCGTCATCTTCTTCCTCTTCAGCACCATTGACGGTTCCATTGGGAGTATCGTTGTCCTCGAGTGAAGGATCTGGAAGCTTCATTAACTTTTTGCGGCTGGATTCTTCGTCACCAAAATCCAACGCGCGTTTGTGAGACGCCTTTTCCAGTTCAGCAGCTGACTTGGCGCCGAAGCCAAAGCCACTAACGTTGCCTCGAGGCTTTAACGGAGCAATTCCTAGAGCAAGAGAAGTCAGAGATCAACATTCGCACACTAGCTAGGCGAATGGTACAAACTTTACTTACGGGTAGAATCGGCCCCATTGCGTCCAGCAACTTCAGAAGACGTAGTAGTATTAGGGACTGCGACATCATTACCAAGCAACGAAAGACGCTCTGGTTGGGCTGCAGCATTTTTGGTAATCGTTTTGGGATCAAACTTCTTCGCAGATGCGGACTCGGATTCTTGTGGCGCGGGTGTTTCTTGCGACACACCTGCCTGCCTTAACGTAGATCTTTTATCAATCTCAGCAAGAATGCTTCGTGCACCACCTGCAGCTGCTAGTTCTTTTTGTTTTCGCTCTTTTTCTGCAGCCTGCTTTTGTTTCCACGCCTCCAATTTCGCGAGCCGTTCGGCCTTCTTCTCTTCATCTGTTTGTGCGATAGGCGGGGCAGGTGTAGAAGGTTTGGAGACCTGGCACTGTTTGTTAGCCAATGAGTATTAAAGTTCAATGGAAGAAACTTGCCTCACGAGACTTTCCAGTGAAATCCTTGCTGGAGACGCGGTCTCTGCTTTCATTCCGTTTGGCTATTGATTTGGAATCGGCGGAATCGTCCCTTCGTCGCCTGTCGCGGCTCCTGTGGCGATATTCTCTGCCATCTTCGCGATCCCGTGAGTGGTACCTTGGTCGTGACCGATCCCTCCTGCTTGGGCGGTAGGAAGTATCATCACGTACATCATCTCTGTAATCTCGTCTATCTACCGAGCGATCTGACTTTCGATAAGTATCTCGATCGCGTTCTCGATCACGTCCACGCTCGCGATCCCGTACTCTATCACGGTCACGATCCCGATCTCGATCTCGGTGTCGATCCCAGTCTCTGTCACGATGTCGCCTCTGCCAAATGACAATATTGTTAGTGTTGTTCAGGAGACGCAATCCCGTCTGTGGTCCTACCGGGGGGCTTCGCGATCTCCGGTGGCCCCTGCCATCATCGCGGCGGCTTCTATCAAGATAATCGTCGTTTCTTCGACTTCGTTTCGACGATGAATGAGTGCTGCCTACTGGCGATGGTGAGCGAGTCTCTCTGGCCATTTCCGTAGGCCAAATCCTAACTTTTTCTTGGAGGTATATTTTACAGATGCGAAGTCACCAAAGCTATCTGCCTGTGGTATGATCCAAGTAGTCCATAAAGCAATTAAGGGCTTAGAAAGTATGCCCAAGAGAATTGTGAACGGTGAAGCGAGTTGCGAGAGAAAGAATCGACAGGCCGGAGTGGCGCCGCTTCTGATGGACGACGAAAGTGACGGAAGTTGGGTAGGCGGCGAGGCGAGATAGAGTTTGCCTTACATAATTGTCGGATTCTGCCACGCGAGTTCCACGCTAGACTTTATTAGGCTAGGCTCGATTGTACTCGACCCGCGCTTTCCTGGTTCCGGCAATATATGATCATCCTGGCCCAAACAAGCCAACCTCCTTGTTTTGGATATGTCAGGATGAGCTCATGGATCATCAGCACACCGCCGATTGACATACAAGAGCTCTGTGCACGCATCCCAATTGACGATATTTAAAACCGGAGTCCAATATATTTATTTACAGTGAACTGCCGGATATCAGGTGAAGTCACCAATTTAGTGTGCGTGTGTGTGCGGATGGTCACCAGCAGAGCTGACTGGTTCCAAGGGTTATCATGAACTCCATTCTCTCGCGTGGCGGACCAACCGCTATTCGTCGTATTGGTGCTCATACAGTCCAGCAATTGACCTCTCTTGCGCGTAATTCCAATGGAATCCGATTTGCGCCAGCGGTTTGCAAGGCCAAGGTCGTGGTCCTTCCATTCCGTCTCAGGAACACTTATACGACTGCAGCTCGACCCAAAGCACACACTGGGCGAGCTGTCGCCTCCAAGACTACCAAGGCGAAGAAGCCTGCGGCGACACAGGCAAAGAAGAAGCGCACAACCAAGACCAAAACTGCTACTGGAAAAAAGCCGCAGAGGAAGGCTCTGACGGATAAACAAAAGGCACAGTTGGAGAATAAAAAGCGGAAACAAGAAATCAAGGATCTGAAGCTTGTAGCTTTATCGCCGCCCAAGATGCTTCCGAACAACTCCTTTGGCCTCGTACTCCAGCAGGTAGAACTCGGCACCGTAGCGCAACGGACCGAAGCCTACAGAAAGATGTCGGAATCAGAGCGCGAAGTAGGTGTTGTACCTCTTCTTTGAGTTTAATCAAAATGCTAATTGTGCTGCAGCGCCTTCGGGAAGCAGCAAAATCCAACGCGGAAGCGAACAGAGCGACATTTGAAGCCTGGGTAAAGAATCACACACCGCTTCAGATCAAGGAGGCGAATAATGCTCGACGAAAGCTTAGAAACTTGCTGGATAAACCACGATCATTCCCAGATATTCGCGACCCCAGACAGGTCAAACGACCTCTGAGCGCGTATATCATTTTTGCCAAAGAACAACTAAACAGCGCAGAGCTCGCTAATCTAACAGTGACAGAGAAAATGATGCGTATTGGCAAAAGCTGGCGTGATATGACGAAGGCTGGACAGGAGGTATGGATATTCCCAGTATTGTGTATATTGCTCAGTGGAAAGTATCTGCAATATCTAATTATGTATTCTATTAGAAATATCATCGACTACATGCGGACGCAATCCGTCAGTACGTCAATGAGTACGAATCGGTCTATGGCGAACCCCCAAAGCGCGCGTCACCCGAATAAGAGATGTGGTATCATGGTTAATGCGAGAGATGCAGGTTATTAGGAATCAAAATTCTTAGATCTGCGTCGAGTGGATTATTTCTCATCTACTCTGTTCGACCCTGTGGCATGATATCATTATGGGATCGCACAACTTCTGGCAATGGTGTTCGTATGCTGTATTTTGTTTTCTTTGTGTTCTGGTCTGTTTGATGGCTTGTAACTTGTGCAAAGGAGCCCCGGTGGAATCGAATGGCGTAGCCCCAATTACTATATTTTAAGAAGATTAGGAATTATTGGGCTGGTGATTTGCCCGTTGTATTATGACATTCCGCTTTATTTGCCGAGCTCAGATTCTAAATTACGCTGCTTGCCGTTCTATTCTCGACCATGGTAGTTCTGACTCATAGAAAGAGCACCCTTTTGGAGAATCGACAGTGTTGAATTGTCGAAAACGTGTTGGCTGGATGTACTCGAGGTGGCCTCTATAAAAAGTTGTTGACACACGATTGGGGGACATCAATTCAGCGATTCTTTATGTACCGAATGTGGAATACTTTCTGACCGAAAAAGAGAAGGAATTTTTGATCCTGCTTTTCATTTAGAATTTTGATTTTTTTAATTTTTTAATTTTTTAATTTTTTTGGGATGCCTTCATCAATCCAGGTGCCAGCATAGCTAACCCTATGTGTTCTGCAGCTGAAATTTCTGGCGTTGTGGATCATCCTTTATTTTCGCACCCGTCCCAAACCAGCGGTGAGAAAAGAGCCCGGGATTTCGACCCAAGTTTCCGAGATCTGTCAAACTGCAAATGGAGCGCGCACTGGCTGCCTAGTGATGGTTGTCAACGGACAAGTATCCTGGTACTCCACACTGCACAGTCAGCCTCAATGCCCAAGGTCCTTCCCGCCAACCTCGTTGCTTGACAGCGGGCGCACGGAGTACAGGGGAACTCGTTATGCATGGACATATATGCGTGTAGAAGCAACAGCACAAGAGGGATGCACTGGTACCTACATATCAACGTCTGTGGTAAGCCGCTCTGATAATACTGGGCTGGGCATCAGGCATCCAAACGAATCCACTGTAATCCGCTGTCCTGCTTCGCGATCGGGAAGTCTGGTAAAGCTTGTCCACAGTCCGCCGTGAAGGCGACGGAGCCGAACATCGGGTTACGGGAGCTTCCTCGTTCCAAGGGAACGCGTGGAGCTAGTGCCGTGCCCGATCCAGGCTTGACTGCGATTTGAACAGGGCACAAAGCGGAAACTGGTTTAACATCCCGTCCAGCCGTACGGTCCACGGTGTTGGCCTTTTGATGAGACATTGCGGTGCTGCAAAGGATGAATGTTGGCCACTGTTCACCTTGCGGCGAACGAGTCAACTCTTCGGTACGCACATGCTTAAATAATATATCGGGGCCTTCTCTCAAAACAAAAGGCTATACGGAGCGTTGCTGTTAGCTATGTGCCCGGCGCTCCAGATTGCCGTGATGGAGTCGAAGAGCAGAAAAGGATAACGCGCATTTGACGGGCTAAGGTGGGGTTGCCTGTCAAATCACGGCGTGCAGAGGTGGAAGACAATTGGCAGCCTTTTGGTGTCCACCGATTGTCGCGCCCGAGAATCATTGCATTCCGACTCCCCCGTTGGACGACAGTCAGACCGATACAAAATCAAGGTAATTATTCAATTTTCCTTTACTTTTGCCCCTGGTGTCAAGAAATCGAGTTGGACTTGAGCGTAACTCACAAGAGAGTCCTCATCCTGTTCTCTAACTATTTATCTAAAGATCCTTAATTAAAATTTCGATCCGTCCGAGTTCAACTTCCCCAATTTCTCAGGGGAGGGATTTTTTTAGCAAGGGTAGTCGGCTACGACCGCCCCCGTCGAGGGTCAGATGGTCGTCGCGAACAAAACACCTTGACGATTCCCAACCTTTTCAGTGGTTGGTCCCTGCGTGAAGTCGTCTCCGGCCGGATGCTTGAGACCCCCAATCACCAACAATCGCAACCCTCGAATAATCACCAGTCGCCAAGTTCCGGCCGTGCTTCCCACCACACCATCCTTATTTATTTTCTAACTGGTCACAAGTCCATATTGGACGCATCTGAGTGGCGGACTGTTTGAATGGTGCAATGCTCCAAAGGTAAGGATAGTTGCTTTTTTTTTTCTTTTCTGTGAGGACAAGCAGCGCAAAGGGAATAAAGGAGAGAGTCAGTCGAGCACGTAGCTACATGATACCTTTGTGACTACACAGACGCTCTTCGAAGCGGTCTAAACGATCTGGAAACCCTGTTGGTACGGCTCCAGGAGAAACATACCCCTTTGCGACTTTCCATATTCTGGTGGCTCGGTGATTCTTTTACTTTGTTTACTTGGATCCTGATGCGCAGCCTGTTTCACGTATCGTTATTCGCTCACCGACATATCGTTAATTTTTTGCGCCTCAGCCTCGTGAAAATATCGAGTCAAAGCATCGGTGCTCTCTACTGAAATTCCTTGCAAGCACTTCCGCTCAGTCATGAACGTTGCCATCGTGTGATCTCTCTGCCAGCGGGCCCCTCCGAGCGACGATTTACAAAGTCACCCCACACCTCGTCTCTTGGAAAACGAAACTTTGCATAACAACCTCCCTCGAGACAAGGGGCTGGATAGCGATCTGGCGAAAACAGAGCTTTTTCCCAAGAAAACGTCCTTACTTCACCGGCGGAACTCAGCATCGAGTTTTGTTCCCCGCTCCGCGCCCGGTTCCCTTATGTTTCCACAAACACTGAAACACTGCCTATAATTGTTACTCACTTTGACCTGCTTTGACGCATATGCTCAGCTCAAAATTTGGCTTGTTTCTTGCATCTGATCTGGATAATATAACGTGGTGATCGGGAAGCTGACGGTATCTTTGCTAGTTCTGAATATCTTAGCACCATGGACTATGCCCTCCGAGCTGGCTTTCCAAACGACGTGCATCCCATATACCCAGTAGGAGAGAAGCAGAGAACGGGTCTTTCCTGCGAAATTTCCGAAACAAAGTTCTCCATACCCGACTTTATGTCGCCTAGAAACTGTTTTCTTTTTGACAAGCAACTGCTCACGGTACGCAAATGCAGAGGTTGCGTCGCATTCCTCGCGCCCTGGATTTCCGTTTCCGTTCTCGCGTCTTGAATTTAGACGAAGTCCCTAACTTCGGATGTCTCCCTCGTATTATCGCATAGAGCTGATCTTTCGTTCCTTATTTTTTTCGACTTTATATTGCATGCTTCTGTTTTCTATCCCTTTTAGCCTGCTGAGTGTTATTTCCACTGTCGCAGAGAGACAACATTGCTTCGAATTATAGTGGGATCTCTAACCGCGCAATAGGCTCCCTTGCATGGCCGCCACGTTTCATTCCTGAAAGTATCCGCTTTGCTTGAAGAGCTTGAATCGTTTTTGAATCATCCCCCAGAGTCACGTTGTACGGTCTCTCCCCCAACTTATTCCGATGCTCTCAAAGATCTTCCGCCTGGATACACTGTGGAGGACGCTCCTCGATCACGAATCGAGACTTTAGACTCCGCGACTCTTCCCGCTAAGAAATCAATTTTATGTAAGGAAGTCAAGCGCTCTATCGATTGGAATGATCCGTCCCGCTTCAGAGAATGCGCCAAAGGTAAAAAGAAGAAAAACAACGGTAAAAAGCAAACCGGTAACTCTAACAACAAAGGCGGTGGAAATGATGAGCCACCACCACCAGAAGAGAATGACCTCCCTGAAGGAGGCAACAATGGCGCTGGTGACGACGGCGGTAATGGTGACGACGGTGCGGGGGGAGGAGGAGGAGGAGGTGATGATGAAGACAACGATGACTGGATGACGAGTAATAGCAAGAAGAGTAAGAAGAAAAAGAAAGCCAAAAAGGAAGAGGAGGAAGAAGAAGAAGAAGAAGAAAGGAAGCGAAAAGAGGAAGAGGAGGAGGAGCAGAAAGCCAAAGACGAGGAAGTGGTCCCCCAGACAAACGATCTCAGCTGGGCAGACGCCGATGGCGCCGCCCAAGACGATGGATGGGCAGAGATTTCAGCTCCAAAGAAAAAGAAGAAGGGAAAGGCAGGAAAGGTAAAGTACAGTTCGGCGCGATGCATAGCGTGCATCTCCCCAGATTATTGCATCGGCTAACTGGACAACCATTTTCCAGGCCTCGGAGCCTCCTCCAGCTGAAACCACGCAATCAAATGGCTTTGAGAATATCAGCCTAGAGGATTCTGCACCCCAATCTGATATGCCTCTTACCCAGCCATCTGGGAACAGCTTTGGGTTGAACGCGTGGGGTAAAGGTTGGTACTCCGGTGAGCGTTTCGGACATGGAGCTGAGGATGGAACATCAACAGAAGATCCTGTATCCACTAACCCGTGGTCTAAGCCTGGGAAGAAAGGCAAGACTTTCGCCGTCTCTAACGCTTTTGAGATTGGGTTTGGAGACATGGAAAATGATTTCAATGCTACTCCTCCCACCGACGGTGATAATTTTGGAGAAGGAAATACTGCGGATGATCCTTCCTGGGAGACTCCCGTGACAAATAAGAAGAATAAGAAGAAAAAGAAGGGTGCTGTTGTAGAGAATATCTTCGAACAGATCCCTGCAGCAGATGAGAACAAGGCAGATGCGATTCCAGAGGAGGCAACGGCGGTAATCGACCACGAAACCAGCGCCCAAGCGGAGGAGGTCGACGATTGGAGCGGTTGGGCTACAACCACAAAGAGTAAGAAAAAGAAAAAGAAAGGGATGGAAATTGTAGATCCAGAGCCGGAGGAACCTGCTCCTCCGCCTGTTGAACCAGAACCACCAGTAAATGATGCCTGGTCTGTTTCAACCAAAAAGTCCAAGAAGAAAAAGCAGGGAGCGGCTATTGAAGAAGTTCCAATAGAGCCGACTCTCGAGACAGTCCCGGAAGTGAATATCGAAGCGAACGCCGAGGTAGGGGACGACACTTGGCCGTCTTGGGGTACTACAACGAAAAAATCCAAGAAAAAGAAGGGTAAAACCTTGATCGAGGAGGAACTATCTCCGCCCCCCGCCGTGCCGGAAGACCCTGCTCCGGATCCAGAACCCGTCGATGACCTTGTCGCCTGGGCTACATCCGGTAGCAAGAAAGACAAAAAGAAAGCGGCGAAGGAAACTCCTGCGGTGGAAGAACCCCCAACACCAACTCCAGAGCCCGGGAAACCCACTGAAACTACCGCAGATGGTGATTGGGGTGGCTGGGGAATGGCCACCAGCAAGAAGAGCAAAAAGAAGAAGGGGAAGGCAGGTGTCGAAGAAATTCCTCCTCCTCCGCCTGCTGAAGACCCCCAGCCAGAACCAGATGCCAGTCCCGAAATTGTTCCTGAGCCTGAGCCTGAACCGGAGCCGGTTACGGTAGTTGAGCCATCTCTCGACGCACATTCTCAGCCCGTCAATGAATGGACGTGGGCCACGACGAATGTTAAAAAGAAGAAGAGTAAGAAAGGGAAGGAGCCAGTAGTGGAAGATCCGCCTCCGCCGCCGCCGCCGCTAGACCTTGCGCCTGAACCGGAACTTACATTTGAACCTGAGCCGGAGCCTGAATCGCAATCTCAACCGGTAGATAACTGGTTCACTCCAGCCCCGAAGAAGAAAAAGGGGAAGAAGTCTAAAGCGCCGGTTGAGCCAGATCCTCCTCCGGTGGAGCCAGAACCCGTGCCCGAGCCCGAACCGGAGCCTACGCCCGCGCCCGAACCTGTCATAGAACAAGTCGATGATTGGGAGGCCACGGCGACCATAAGCACCAAAAAGAGCAAGAAGAAAAAGGGGAAAGGAGTAGTCGAGGAACCTCTTCCGCCGCCGCCTCCTGACCCAGCTCCCGAAGAGATAGAGCCCAAGCCCGAGCCCGAGCCCGCATTAGTGGACGACTGGGCCGGATTTACCCTTAGCAAAAAGAAGAAAGGGAAAAAGGGAGCCATTGACCCGGCGCCCTCGAAAATTGAGGATATCATCGAACCACTGCCCGAAGAGAGTAGTGCGTTTGTTGACGCTCTCTCAAAGAAAGAAAAGCGCAAGGCCGGCAAATCGGCTGCTAAGGGTGAAGTAATAACCGAAGACCCTCCGATTTTGGTCGATCCTATTGATGCTACTGGTGATTTAATGGGTGATGCATTGGCTGAAGTAACGAAAGTAGACTCTTCCAAGTCCGAGGTTCCCAAGGAAGAGGACCCATTGGCCGACTGGACGGTGGGGAGTAAAAAGAAGGACAAAAAGAAAAAGAAGAAAGGAGACCAGGCCCCCGTGTTGGAATCTGAGCCCGTGCCCGTGCTCAATGAAATGGAAAACACTACTGCCGATGACAGTTGGTTTTCCTGGGACAAGAAGAAGGACAAGAGCGGAGACAAAGGGGTGGGCTATGTGGACAAAGATATTGACTTATTGAAAGATGATGCACTAGATGGAAGGAATGGGGACGCATATGGTGATTTGAAAGACAAAGCCGCTGAGGATCCGGACATCGGGAACCTCGAAGACAATTCGGGACCACCTGCAGCTTCGGCAGATGCCTGGGATTTCTGGGGTTCAAAGAAAAGAAGTAAAGGCAAGACCGCTAAAGCGAAAAATCCTGACATTGACGTGCACGCGTTTGAAATTCCGCCTTCGACTGACGAGCCAACCCTGAGCATCTGGGCACAGGACTGGGGTCTTTCTTCAAAAGAGAAAAAGGAAAAGGACAAGGAAAATGAAAATGAAATAACGAATCAGGGTATCGACAACGATATCACGAGCCCTATATCTACAGAATTGGTCCCCCGGGCCGCAGAAGACAACTCATGGGATATCTGGAACGTGCCCAAAAGCACGAAGAAGAAGAAAAAGAAGGGCAAGGATGAAGGCCAGCTTCCCCCGCCTGCCCCTACCCCTCCAGCTCAAGGATTAGATCCCGAACCACCCATAATTCCAAGTTTTGATGATACCGGACATACTACGTGGGATTCATTTAGTGGCTTTGGTGGTCGGGGAGTGAAGAAAGGGAATCTTTCTCGAACGACCACGTCGACCTCCCAATCAGCAAATATCGAGAACATCAAATTAAGCAAGACGAAAACTCGAGGGCTGGAGGTTGTCGACGTTACTGACGAACCCGGGACGGTCGCCGAAGCAGACGCGAAGGGCAGCAGAGCAGGCACGGGCATCTGGGGCGGATCTACGGCCGCCGGCAAATCGAAGGCGTCCAAGTCGAAGCGAGAGCCAGCAGACACGCTCGACGACGGCGTGACCAGGACGGCCAGCAAAGACGGCGCCAAGCCCGCCGACGAACTGCTCGTGGACGCGCCCGAACAGGCTAGTGCGGCTGCCGCTGACAAAGCAGAGGCGCCACCCCGGCCGACGACCTCCTCGCCGCCGTCGACTGCTCGACCGACCGCAAAGTCGTCGGTGGCAGAGAGAATCAGGATCCTCGAGCAGAAGAAAAGGTTGCAGAAACAGACCGCTGCAGCCAGGGAAACCGAAAGGGCGTTGGAGATCCCAGCCCCAGCCCCAGAACCCGCCCCTGCAGCCGGCCCGCCCGCCGACGAACCAGTGGAACCGGCCGCCCAGGAACCACCAGACGCACCCGCTCCACCGGAGCCCGACGCTGCGCTAGCAGCAAAGTCCGCGCCCGCCCCGTCGAAGAGGACGAAGAACAAAACCAAAAATATCCCTGTCGTTGATCTCCCCCCGATCGAACACTTCGAAGCTCCACGCGATTCCGTTCCCGGCAGCTTTCCCGGGGCTGATGATGACCTAGTCGATGTTTCGTTCTCTGCGCCTGGTGCACCCAAGTTGGAAGCAGTAGAATTCCCAGAATCGTCCACAGAGGGTAAGAAGGATCCCGCGAGAAAGGAGAAACCCGACTCTGACATGGCGTCCCCACCTCCCTCGCCTCCAGCCCAGGGCGAAAATGAACGCGAATCGGCTCCCGTAACTCCGACCCCCAAACCCGCGAAAAAGGAGCGTGCCAGAGTGGAGCGTACAGCTGGGGCCACGTCGTGGGGTTTCTGGGGTGCTGCCCCCAGGAAATCTCCCAAGAAGGAGGGAAAGGGCCTCGGCGACGGTGAAGCTTCCGCAACCCCGAAAAGGGGTAACGACAAGCCTGAACCTGCTCTAAAACGATCGAAATCCTCTGCAACGAGACGAGAAAAGTCTTCTAGCCCGGAAAAGAACGACAAGTCTTCCACTTCCGACAAAGAAAAAGAGAAACGCGCCGCGTCCCGTCCCCGGCCCAGCAGAGGGCTAAGCTTTTCCGGGTTTATGCTTGGAGGTCCTCCGCCGGCAAGAACAAAGTCTGCTAGACGCAATGGTAACACATCTTCCCGTCCCACATCGCGCCGTCAGTCCATGAACCTAGACGATTCCGGCCTGGTATCCTCCGTGGAAGATAAACCAGAAGCTCCAAGCAAAGCGGCGAAAGTCATGGGCATTAACAACTCAAAGCCCTCGAGGCGAATCTCCAAAAGCAAGAAAAGATCTTCAGGTATGTGTCTTGTTTCCACTGATATAGTTTACATCGTCTAATGAAAACTGTAAGCCCCCCCGGACCCTTATGCGATTGATGACGACGATATTGTAATGGTCAACGGGACAGGTGACCTTGACGCTCCGAGACCGAAGGCTCACCGGGAATCTCGCAGTAGGCGTAGGTCTAAGAGAGAGGTATACACCCCCTTTTGTTCCCTCTCCCTACTTGGGAATATCGCTAAGGCCCTTTTAAAAATTTCAGCCGAAGGCAAAGGACACTGAAACGCCAGACGATATGGTCATGGTCGAGCCCGGTTCTTCTGGTCATAGCCCAGAAGTTATCTCTGGACCGGATGACATTGCCTTTGTTGAAACCCAGCACAGAGAACGGTCGTCAGTGCGCCGGTCTACTACCCTACCAAAGAAATCGGAAGGGCTCTTAGGCCTCCTTGGCTCTTTTAGAAAGAATGGTGGTCGTGCGTCCGAGACCCGAGAGCGGGGTAAATCGAAATCTCGCCATGACGAAGATGGTAGGCGACACACCGATACAGAGAGAGAAGACTCAAGGCGTATGAAGCGAGAAGAGAAGAGAAGACGGTCACCTAAAATTGACACCGATGGCGATGTATTTATGGGTGCTCCGAATATAGACGTCGAAGACACTGATGCCCGGAAAGCCGAAAGAAGGGCGAGAAAAGCCGCTAGAATGGTTGCTGAACAAGAGGCCCGCGAAGCCGAAGAAAGGCGTGCTAGCAGGAGAGATAGCGAGAAGCATCGGACACGCGAATCCCGTGAAAAACGCGGTAGAGAGGAGGAAGAGCGAGACGATAGGCGGCGCAGGGAAAAGAAGGCTCGACGGAGCTCTCGGGTCCTTCAAGATGAGCGGCCAAGGGACAGGGATGACCTTGAGCAGGCGGAGCCACGAGTTTCACACAGACGCCACAAGCATCGGGCGCCCGAAGGTGACGTTAATGGCGAAATTCAACAAGAATCAAAGTCCCGCCGCCGCCGATCATACGTTGGCGAGAAAGGTAGGGAAGGCTATCCGGATGAGTACGCAGAAGATGAATACTATCGTCGGCGTCATCATCGCGCCGATGACGAAGGCGCAAAACCCAGGCGTCGGAAGTCTACGACTACGCCACGAGGAGACGAGCGCCATACATCTCGCAGGACGCGATCGTCTCGCCGCCATCCCGATGTGCCCTACCCCGTTATGGTTAGTGGCGGGAAGGACAAAACATCATCTTGGGTTCAGTCTCAGTTTACCGACCCTCCTGAAGCACCGCCAATAGTTCCCACTGTCATTGATCTTCCCGCGCCACAAGGCCCCAGCCATTCCCTCTCTTCTGACGAAGAAGCCCGACGAGCAATATTGCACCGTCGCTCACGACGTCATTCCAAGTACGGCGACATGTTACCCCCAGAAAAGGAAAGGCGCAGCAGGCGCCGCGAGTCTCGTAGGGCGGAAAGAGATACAATGAGAAGCAGTGATGACAGTGCGGGCATGGACCGCTACGCTGACCACCGCTACGAATCTGATGCTCGCTATAACCATACCAATGGCACCACAAAGGTGACTAGCTGGTTCAAGAAGTTCACAGGATTTTGATGACGCTACGTTTTCTGATTTAAGACATTTTATGTTTTGCATGTTTAAGAACGTGTGGTTTTTTTTATTTTTATTTTTTTATTTTTTTTTTCCGGTGGGTAGGTACAATAGCCCTCTTTCGGACATTCGGAAATACTTGGGAGGACTGGATTTGGCGTTATGAGTTTGGTTTTTATCTAATCTGACCAATTGGTCATGAAATGTTATGGTTCTTGGACTTCAGTCCGGAGCTTTCATGGACATTCATTCAACATCTGCGCATTATACCCCCTTTTCCTTGAAACTAATGATGTTATGTGTGGTCGGATTGTGGGTTTTATTTCTGTCATGTGGGAATACGTGCTCTGCTACTCTCAAGGTGTATTTGTACCAATTTGTATGTAGGTGTACATAGTTGTTGTATTTCATGATAATCCTGCTTGTACCCTGTTTTATCTTCAAAAATGGGATGCATGATCAGATATCATGTCACGCGGACATCCATTTGTCAGGGTCAAGTGGTGAAAAAGACTTCTACAACAGCTGAATAAAATGATCAATTTCACTTTACAAGAGGATACTGGAGGAGTGGCTGCTGCCTGGCGGAATGCTTGGGCGCTTCTCTACCTGCCCAAGTGTGCTCCGTATACATGCGAGATATTTTCTTACAACCCATGTTGTTAAACAGTTGAATAAAATATTCTATTGTGACCTGGGCGGCAGATTCGCATAGAATCATAATACCAGAAACAAAAGAACAACATTCGAGAGCCAGCACATCATTCCACATAGGTAAAAGGGAAACGACCAGGAGAAAGCATATATCCGTCCGCGGCGCCATACTCTAATGCAAATCAAATTTCATTAAAAGAAAGAAAAACAAAAAGGAAGAAAAGCTTGCCAAAGAAAAAGAAAAATGAACCCGGTTGATTTCCATACAGGGAACGAATCCACTTTTGTTTGAACGTCAAGAGGAAGCAAAAATTCATCAATGACATTAGACTTGCGTTTCGCCAGGAAGCAGGTTGCCCCTGACAGCAAACATCTTTCCAGTAGTTGCGGAGACGAAACCATCGATTTGTCGCGAGTACTGCTCGACCTGTCTGGTGTTCAACATACTTTCGAGCCTGCTAGGTTCCTGTGGGAGTTTAAACAAGCGCTGCCACTCGTCTTCTGCAAGCAAGGGCTGCTTGAGCTGAGCGCGAGTCGCGTTCTCCGCTTTCCTCTTGGCCTGCCAGGCAGCGATCTTGGTTTGTTCACGGGCAAGGGATCGCTGATAATACTGGAAGTTGTTGTTCTCCGTGTGGTGGGTCTCAATGCTCTCGAGGAGCATGTCGCAGTTCTTCTCGAGGAACGGATCGATGCTCAGCGCGAGGTTATCGAAGTTTGGTGTAAGCAAGGAGGATGACGCAAGGGGGTCGTTGGTGAGAGCTGCAAGAGATGGGGGCAAATCCAGATTCTCTGCAGGAGGTGGTGACGGGAGCTGGTGGAGGTAAGACGTGAGCAGGTGAGAGTTGTGGATTTGAACCGGGAGCTCAACGAAGATATCTTGATATCGAAGGTTCGACTTTTGGAGGCTAGAAAGAGAAAGACACAGGAAATGTTAGCATGGAAGAATACTTGCCCCAGAAGAAAAGAAGGAAGGTGGGCAGGCATACTTCTCCGTGGTAAACTTATTTTCCTTGAATGCGGCCATGAACTGGGGTGAAAGGCGGAAAGCTCTAAGGCTCAAGGCTCCCTGTGAGCTTCGGCTAACATCATGTACGAGGGCGACGGTTCTCTCATTGAGCTCTTTCTGGTAAAAATATTGGTTTTCGATGATGTTCAGGTTGACGAAATTACCCATGTTCGCGCTCGTGTACCAGCCCACATTGTTTGCATCAATGTTAACCTCTCGCAACATCTTGATCATTTCGGATTGATAAACGGCGTTGGATTTTGCGCGTGGAGCAGCAGCAGCAGCATTTGCGGGGGCGCCATCCAAATGAGAGTCCGCGGGAATATCCACTATGGGGAAAGGAAAGGCATTCGTGACCTCCAGCGTGCCTCGGACGTCCATTCCAACGAGCGATCCGGTTGCGGTTGTAGGGAAAAGTTGGGTGCTGTGTTTGATAATTTTCATCACCACCTTCAAAACTGCCCATTAGCATTCGATATTTCCTTCGAGCTCATCAGGGCCTGAATGATCCTTACCAGGGCCTCGACCTGGACGGCCTTGAGTGGCTGTTCCTTTCTGAAAATAATCGTCAGTTCGATCAAAGCAAAAAATCAGGAAGGACAAGAACATACTCCGCCATGATGAAGCTGTTTTCGCCAAAAAGAAAAATCGCGAATTCGACAAGAGCAAACGTAGATGGCTGACCTGGTTCTGCGCTGCTCGTCGTCGCTCCTCTTCACTCTTCTTGATTTGTGTGGGTGAAGTGAAAGTTTTCAGCCAGCGATCCCGGTCGCTAAGTCCCTTTCCAAAAGTAGTTTAGCGCAGTTTGGTGGAAGTATTAACTAACGCAATCCACAAGCGAACGAAAGATGATTTTTCAACTTCCTCAACCATCCACTTCAACGCGTCAGAATGCCACCAATTCGCAATAAAAATGCGAAATCCTCTATAGAAATAGAGGGCAGGATTGAACTTGCTATTTCTACTCTTAAAAGGCAAGAAATTAGCTCAATTGCTGAAGCTGCACGGTTATTTAATGTGCCTTATACTACCTTATATCATCGAGCAAATGGAAGACCTGCAAGAACCAGTCTACGCGCAAATTCAACCAAATTGACTGAGACCGAAGAGGATCAGCTAGTTCAATGGATCCTAGACCTAGCTAAACAAGGAAATCCCCCCCGACCGGCATTTGTTGAGAATATGGCCAATCATCTTCTTGCCATACGAGATTCTACCTCTCCTCCCCCCCGTGTTGGCAAGAACTGGGTGTCAAATCTGATTAAACGCCGTACGGAGCTCGAATGCTGCTATTCCAGACGCTATAATTACGAGCGAGCAAAATGTGAGGATAGGAAGGTTATTCAGCAGCTGGATATTCAACTCCGAACCCCTACTCCCCCAGCTAGCCAATCTAGCGACTCCCGGCAGTTGCATAGGCAGGTGGATAAGATCAAGAATCTTATGGGGCAGGAGCTTGAGAGCTCACCCCAGGGCTTAATGGAAGGATTTGACCAAATTATCAAGGCCTGCGAATATGGAATGGTCAACGCCACTATTATGAAGAAGCAATATCAGGATATATTTGCTGCAAATGAGAAAGAGAAGCAAAAACATATGAGATCTAAGTGCTGAATTCAATGTGAAGAAGATCTAACTAGGGAAGAGATTGCTGAGGCCTCTATTTCATCTGCTCAATCTGTTGAACAGTCAGTCACTCAACTCTCTAAGCCTGCAGCCTCAGAGCCTGCATCATGTTCCCAGGCACCACCAAGGTGTATGAACTGCCATATTTTAGGCCATACAAGAAGAAGCTGCCCTTTGAGCGTAGATATTTCGGGTTAAATTCTAGTTGAGATAATTTGATCTTTCGCTCGCTTGGGAATTTCGCTCGCTTGTGGATTACGTTAACTACGGAGTAGTTAGTTAGTCATGTAATCTCACTTTTCCGTCCACCGCGCATCAGCACGTCGAGCCCCTCCAGCTGGGACACCCCGCTTCGGAGCTGGACGCCCCGGGGGTTAGGAGGGGGACAAACGGTCTTACGCCGGGATTCAATAGACCATTGAGGCTTTAGCCGTAGCCGGCCGGCGACATCCGCATTAGAATTCCCGGTGCGTATACGGGGTAGGCGGGTGTTTATTTCGTCATTGTTATTGTCCGGAATACATCACACATATACGGAGTAATCAAAGGAGCAAGAGACTTCCAGGTCCCGGAGCTCGTTTTCGACCCAACCCACTGCTATTTGTGGCCCGGTCTTTCGCTCAAGTGACTCCACTGAATATGGCCAACCCTTCGTCCCTAGATGCTCCCGCGGCAGTGGAATATCATTATGGCGAGCAAAGTCTGCTTCAGTATCTGAGCGTTTATCTGCCTCGTCCGTTGCGCAATGAAGGATCCGAGACTGGATATTGGGTAATGTACGCAATGATTTCAATTCAACCTGGACTCACAGGTTTGCCGCTTAAGCTCACCAATTGGCGCAAGCTACGTTCACGGTGGCGCATGGCGCGACCCAGAGATCCCAGCATCGAGCCTCGATATCACGAGACAAATGCTTTGCAATGGCGACCCGAGCATTGCGTCTGAGATAGCTGGATTTGCTTCTATCAACTATCGCTTGACACGCCATCCAAACTTCCCTCAAGATCCCGAATCCGTCGACCCGAAGCAGTACAGAGACGCCAAACACCCAGACCATATCACTGACGTCGTCAGCGCCCTTGCGTTCCTTCAAGCGAAATACTCCTTTGGCCAACGATATGTCCTGGTTGGGCACAGTTGCGGAGCCACTCTCGCATTCCAGACTGTGATGCAAGAAATCGCAGGTGCAGAACCGGCTAGAAGCAAAATCGCACTCCCGTTGGCAATCGTCGGAGTCTCCGGGATTTACGACCTACGGCTCCTTCGGGATACAAATAGTCATCCTATCTACCAGCAGTTCACCGAGGATGCTTTTGGCAAGGACGAAGATGTCTGGGACGGTGTGTCTCCTGCAACAGTACAGGCTAGAGGAGTCGTTGAGGGCTGGAATACTGGCCGGCTGGCAGTGCTTGCCATCTCTAAAGGCGATGAGCTCGTCGACCCACCCCAACTCAAGGTTATGTGCGAGTTGCTTGGACGGTGGAAGGCTCATGATGGCCTAGATAATGCGAGAGAAGTGCTCATTATTGACGACTTGGAAGAATCACACAATGATATCTGGAAGAAGGGCGTGGAATTGGCGAAAGTCATCTCCAAAACAATTGAGACGCTCAAGGAAATGAACATACCGAATTAATAAGGCTCTTCTTGCCAACTATGATTACTTTTCCTTTGTCATTTCAAATGGGATTCTGTTAATTGAGATTCCATTTTGCTTATCTTACACCTCCCTATTTTGAACATCATTGCGATGCGTCTATTCTCTCGAACCCTGCACTAGATGTAATAGCCTAAGACATGGGAGACTTTACATGAAAAAAGCACACCTTCCTTTAGCACCTTTGAATATATCATCCCACCAATATTGCGATATCCCGTTACCGTCCTGCTTAGATATTCGACTCCATAAACCACACAGAAAGACTTTTGCGTCCCTTAACGTTAGGGTCCCTAGTGACCTGCTTAGAGTATGCAAAGCCTCACAAACAAATCTTCTACGACCAGCATATCTCGGATCCATTGCCGCCTCAATGCCTGCGATAAAAATCGGCCAAATGAGGACCTTCTCCAACGCTTGTTTGCCCCTTTTCCCCTGAGACAACACGCTTCCGAGACGGTCGAAGAGGATCTGTCTCGCGACGGCTTGTGTTTCTTCAACGGTTACATAGGATACCATCGACTCCGAGGACCCCAAGGTACAGGGAACTCTTAGCACCTCTTCGAGGGAGTCAAGGGCAAGGCTTCGAATGCAGTAGAGTAATACGGCTGCGTAGTACATGGTTGCTATTTGAATCCAATCATCCCTGGTTGGTTGGATGAAGCCGGATCTGGTCTCACCGATTAAAACATCCGCTGCGGTTTTGGAGTAGTGAGCGGACATCTTGTCGGCCCATTCGGAGACTGGGAAGGATATGATGCTTTGCATGATGGATTTTCCTACGGTTTCATCTGTGCCTGTGATTGACCGGATGCCATAGTGCCGGAGGGAGCGGAGATGGTTTATTTGAATAATGGCGTCGAGAAGCTCGTTCGGGCATATCACACATGTCTCCAACCCGTTTTGAAACATATCAGGTATGAGCGCGCAATATTCCAGCTGCCGGGTAGCTTCTGCCACGGGTAACGCCGCAGCAGTTGTTGCACTCATAATATCGGCCCTGGTGAAACGTGTTTCAGCACGGAAATTTCGAGCTAGAGCTATAGGGGGGAGGGGGTTGGGAGGTGGGTTGACCAACAGCATGAAGTAAGCCAGGTTGCTTCTTAGACCTGGATTCTGCATGTAAACAGATCTGAGACCACCACGGAGATCGATTATCCTCCTGGCGCCTTCGCAATGGGTCCACCATTCACCCATGGCCGACCGCTGCATCTAAACGCAAGGAGTCAGCAAGATGCTCGGTGGGCTTGAACAGGGGGTTTCGCACCTCAGCCATGAAAAGAGACAGGACAGATATCAAGGTCACGTCGCCTAGTCGAGTCCTGGGATCTGTCATGTCCTTCGCCAGGATTTTGAAAGTCCGATCTTTGTACTGATAGATTTCTTTGCTAAATTCTATCTGGTCCGTGGGTTGCGAGCTCACAGCTTTGTGGGTAGCCACAACCGCGATAAGTATATTCCAAAAGAGATTGGTTGGGCCGTCTTGCCAGCTCGTTGGGTCCATTGCATGTACGCAGGGCCGATATATAATGGGGTCCAGATCGGGGTACATAAAGTTGTCGACTTTTGAGTGAAAAAGGCGTCGGTCTCCACGTTAGATAGGAACTGAGAGCGCACACGGTCTAATGTGGGGGGAGCTGAGCTTACAATACCACAGGCTGCGCACAATCAGACTTATATTTGGAGGGAAAAAAAACTTCATACTCGGGGCAATAGCGTCCATGCATTCTGACGCTGAGAGGCCAACCGTGTTAGAACCCGAATGACTTCTCCCTCCCGTATCTCCGGACTGCGAGACAGAAAGGCTTTGTGAGTCGGAACCGTGGCTTACTGTATCCGGTTCATCAGTCGCAACAAGCATTTTGGGCCTTCCTTTCTTCCTCTTCTTCCGTTCAGAAGGGTTGACATTCTGCTCTCCAAGGTATTGATTTTGGTTGCCGCCATCTTGCAGCCACACCAGGGGCCTCTGGCTAGAATATCCAGGACATTCAACGCCTTTGGAGACGCATTTTTTGCAGGACGGCTTTGTAGAATCGCAGCGTATTCTCCGTTTGCGACAGATGTAACACTGTTGGGACGGTGAAGGTGGCCCTGGTTTGCTGTTCATTTTGACCAGTGATCAGCGACCAACTGCCGAACTGCTAGTTTAACTAGTTAACAAGTTATCATAACAGATAACTAGCCAGTCACTCCGTAAAGGAACTCAGTTAAGTCGATGAAACAGATGAGGTATCAAAGGCTCGAGATCATTGCCCGCATCGCGAGGAGAAATGAGGACGGTGCCTTTGATATTTTCGCTTGGTTGGACTCGCGACATGTTGCACGTATCCTTGATGCAGGCGTAAATCAGACTAAAAATAAACCGACGAGAGGCACCTAGTTAAAACTAGCTGGGCTGAGGGTCAGCATAGCCATTCTGCCTTGACAACGGAGCTCTGGCAAGATGCAGCAAGGCAGCGTCTCACTGGCTCTATTATGAGGCACAGCCATACGGAGTACTCGGACTTGGCTGGAACCAGAGCTTGGACGAGCCAAATTTGTTTGGCTGGGAATGGGGGGGGAAGTGGGTGGTAAATAAGATAGTTTTACACTGCTGAACCAAGATTCTATTTGTGAAGCTTCGAGTCAAAAATCACATCTCGAACCGATGGGCAAACTCCAGCCTCCCAGGGGGAAATCAACCTCCATCATCCACGCCCAACAGGCGACAAGCTCTGAAAAAATAAGTTTGGCAGTCCGCTTGCCACACCTTCAGCCCTGCCAGATTGTATCTCGTGCTAACATGGATGGCCGGTTCTAACGCAGAAATCAACAAACAAGCTTGGAAGCTTTCTCCGTTTCTTAACTGGCAGTCGACTACTCCGTAACTCCGGACACTAAACATGAATAGCACATGAGGACCTTTTGAGCTCTGAGGCCAAGCAGCGTCGGCATCAGCAATCTGCACAACTCGCGATGAGAAGAGAGAAGAGCATCACCAAGACGCGTAGCCGACGCCCCGAGGCCAATGGCGGCGGCGTGTTTGGTGGGTGCGGCGCCCGCAAGGTCCCCAGGGCGAATCCTTGGCCGGCGGTAGGTATTTGAACGTAAACCCGCCTCTCACCCTCGCCTTGTTCTTCTCATTTTTTATTTTTTTTTCTCCCTCTCTCTTTTCGTCCCCCAGAGTGTCGCTTGCTGTCCCTTTTTCCTCTGAAGGAACTTTTTTTGCCCACCTCTGTCTGCCTTATCGCATGGCCGCCGAGACGAAGGACTCTCGACCCGCCCTCCTGGCAATTAGGCTACCCACTATTCCCGCCTACAGACATGGATCCTGAAGAGTGACATCCCTCGCAAAAACTCTGCTAACTATCGTTCCCCTCCATTCCCCTCTTTGCCGCCAAACCTGTCTCTCTCAGGTTAGCAGGAAAACTTGGCACGAGATGACGGCACTTCCCCTTGGTCAAGGTGAGATCGCTCCTTGGTCCTCTTGGTCGCGCAGGAGTACCCCGGCCTGTTCACCAGCCCCTGTCCCTGCACATTCCTTCGCTCTTCTAGAATCATGTGTGCCGTTTTTTTTTTTCTCGTACTTTTGTGTGGAGCAGCTCGTCTCCATCTTCCTTCGGCTCGGATCCCCCTTGGCGACCCTTCCCCAGATTGTTGTCGCATCTCGATCCCTAGCGCCGCGGGCAGATCCCTGGGTTCATCCATGGAAACGAACCACCGACCGCAGCCGATGCTTGATCCCATCCATCGCCGGTCGATCCATGTGGTTCCCTTGCTCCTTCAGCGACGACCAAAATTTGAGTTCTGCAACGGGACGACGTCCCATCGGCCGAAGAGAAAGCAATTAAAGAGAGCTAACCCTTGTTGGGCATCAATGACACCACGACTGGTCTTCCAGAATGCTCTCACCTCATCGCTGTGTTGTCGCTGTCAAGTTTTTGTTTTTATATTTATTTTTATTTTCTTATGTTTGTTATTGAATGGTTTGGGCGTCTTCGCGCCGTTCCGTGGTGGCCCGATGCTGGACGATCGTGCCCGGGTTCAAGTGCGAAGAATGCCGAGACAGATCATCCCGAAACCCTCGGTTTCTGGAATCTCGACCACCCTAGCCTCTCGTCTTCCCCATTTGCAACGGTTATCTCCGGGCCTGATCCCTGTTGATCGGATGCCTGGAATTGAGCGAATTACCGCATTTCAAGCGAAACATCCAGAAAAATGGTGTTGCTGTCAGGACTCTTGAAATGCAAACACCCAGGTGTGTCCAAACTTGCGTATGGAAAAGACATACTCCGCACAGAGTCCACTGCCAGGGGGAGGGAAAAAAAAGGAAATGGCAAATGAGGTGTCATCACATGCCGTCGCTTCCACCGCCAGAGCAATAAGAGGAATGACTATTTCTGGAGCCGCAAGCCCGAGTGACAACTAGCTTTGTTGAGTGGCATTTACGTGCATGATTTGCTGGCGGGTGGCACTAGAAAAGTAGGTCGATCAGTATTAAATTTCGTTAAGGGGTGGTACTGGCTTCAAGCTACGGAGCCAAGAGCCGGAGTCCTAGTCAAGCAGCTTGCCCAAACACGGGGACAACCTCACCTCTAAAACCCCCACAAATTCGCTGCTGGAACTTTCTTTGCTCTTTTTGTGAAATTTTGATTGCTCTGGAATTCTGCCACTTTTAAGATCTAATTTTTTCACTTTTCATTTTTCATACATTATTTTTTGTTTTATATTGTGAAGGAAGAAATAAAAAAGAAGAGAAAAGAAAACCTATCCTGCAAACCCATCAAGCAATTGTCTGCCAATAATGACTTGCTGTTCCACAAACCCTAGCCGTGATGATCATGGTGGCCACAACCATGGAAGCGTTGGCGCCGCTTCCTGCTGTTCTGGAGGAGCACAGCAAACTGGGAACCGCTCTGCTGGTTGTGGAGGTGCAGAAAAGCCATCACCTACTGGAGAGGGTGACTTCGACCAGTGCTGCAAGGATGCAAGTGCTGAACGATGTGATAGTCTGTCCCTCCTCAACCCATTACTAACTATAAATTGTACCTTCTGACTGGTCATTGCTTTACAGAAAGCTGCATTGAAGGTGTTGCAGCATATGAATGCCAGAGGGCCTGTGAGAGTGAAGCAAGCAATGGTAAATTCTATCTTAATTGAATTTCGAGTTTTCACTCTTGAAGAAGAAAAGAGACATTGTCAAAATCCTAGGAACCTTTTTTTTTTTTTTTTTTTTTTTTGTTTTTTTCCTTTCGTTGTCTAACCTCTGATGTCTTCGAAATAGCATCCTCCTTCGAAGCAGGCAGAGAGCATCTCATGAGCGAGCATGTCCACCAACATGATGAGGAGGGAAAGCATACAAACTTGGCATGCACCAACCACCTTCACGCGGCGTTTGAGCGGTACAACTCGTACCTGGAGTCCGCTCGCTGCATCTGTCGCAGCGTCCTCATGAACCAAAAGGAGCCATGTTGTGCCAGACAGCCGTCGAAGCTCTCGCTCTTCGCAAAGAAAGGCTCCCGCTCTGCTCATGACGAGAAAGACAAATTGATTTCTGCCGAGGAAACCCGCGGGTTGTTAACTTCCGACCATGGCCACGGCCACGGCCACGATGATGGAGATTGCTGCGGAGATAGCCATAGATTCGGGTCTTCTGGTAATGCAATCATTGCTGGTGACCCCGTTGATATCGAAAAAGCCGCTGCACACGAACACGTCCTTCTTTCTGTCAGCGGCATGACCTGCTCCGGCTGTGGGAACAAAATGGCCAAGACTCTTCGAGAAACTCTCGGTGTGTTCAATGTCCGTGTCAATTTCGTGATGGGAAGTGCCGACTTCGACTTGGATACCACCGTCATTCAGGTGGAAGAGTTAATCCGCAGGGTCACAAGAGCAACCGGATTCCAATGTTCCCGACTCGCTAATAGTGATCAGTATATCGATGTTTTGATGGCCAAAGAAGCAATCTCGGAGATTTCAGCCAATCCGCCACGCGGTGTTGTCGATGTTTCTCCTCTTGGAAAAAAAGCAGCTCGGATTACCTATGATCCCATGGTGATCGGAGCCAGGTCTCTGGTAGACTCTCTGGGTCATTTTTCAAAGGGTCTCGCACCGCCCAATTATCAAGATCCTTCGGCAACGGCCGAGAGACGCAGGCTGAATGACATGTTGATCAAGACGGTTGTTTCTGCCGTCTTCACTATCCCTGTCGCTGTTCTTGCCTGGGGTCACACTCTTGTCCACGATAATGCCAAGGCATACGTTTCCCTTGCGTTGGCCACGGTCGTTCAGGCCGTGGCTATTCCCGAGTTTTATATCCCGGCCATTTCCTCGTTGATCTACAGCCGCACTATTGAAATGGACATGCTGGTTGTCATCAGTATCACCGCTGCCTATGTTTATTCTGTCGTTGCATTCGGATTTGATATTGCCGGGAAGCCTCTTGAAACAGAGGAATTTTTTGAAACTAGCACCCTCCTCATCACCCTGGTCCTCTTTGGTCGACTGGTTGCCGCTTATGCCCGCAGAAGAGCGGTTGCCGCTGTTTCTACCAGGTCTCTTCAACCTACCACTGCCAATCTGCTTGAAGGCAAAGACCATAGAGAGATAGACGTCCGTCTTCTCCAATTTGGGGACAGCTTTTTGGTCATGCCTCATACCAAGGTGCCAACTGATGGCAAAATCGTAGAGGGCGCAAGCGAGGTTGACGAATCAATGCTTACGGGCGAGAGTTTACCCGTTCACAAGTCTGTTGGCATGCCCGTAATTGCTGGTACCATCAACGGCTCTGGAATCCTTAAATGTCGTTTGACACGTCTTCCGGGCAAAAACACCGTGACTGACATTGCTGGATTGGTAGAGGAAGCTTCAAACACCAAGCCAAGGGTTCAAAGTCTTGCAGACAGGGTCGCTGGCTGGTTCGTTCCAATTGTCTCCACGGTCGCAGCTATTGTCCTCATTGCGTGGGTGGTGGTTTGTGTCAAGGTTCGAAACGCAGCTGGTGGTGATGCTGTCGGAACTGCGATCACGTATGCAATTGCAGTATTCGCTGTCTCATGCCCTTGTGCCCTAGGCTTAGCTGTGCCGATGGTTCTCGTCGTTGCCGGAGGTGTTGCGGCACGAGGCGGAGTTGTCATCAAGTCGGGAGATTCTACCGAGCGGGCTCATAGCCTGACTGATGTGGTCTTCGATAAAACTGGAACCATCACCACGGGCGAGCTGGACGTCTTGGCAGTAGAGGTATTATCCGGGGAGCGACGTGAAATTCTCTCCATGGCCAAAGCCCTTGTTTCCGACAACAAGCACCCGGTTTCTGTTTCTGTTGCGAAATATTTGGAGAACGAAACTGCTGACCAGCGACTTGAAAACATTCGCTCTGTTCCCGGGGCTGGCGTTGAGGCCACTTTGGAGCACGCTTCGCTGAAAGCCGGCAATCCTCGTTGGTTGCGGGTCGAGCAACACCCCGCTGTTGTCAACGTCGTCCAACAATGCATGACTCCTCTATGCTTGACTATAAACGGTGAACTCGTCGCAGTGTTTGGCTTGAAGAGCAATCTCCGAGCTGAAGTGAGATCTGTCGTCGAGAAGCTTAGAGATAGAAACATCTCTATGCACATTGTCAGCGGTGACGAACACAAAGCCGTTGAAGATGTTGCCGCGTCCGTTGGGATTCCAAGGCAGAATGTCGCTGCGCGTAAAACTCCAGCTGAAAAACGGGATTACGTTAAGAGCCTCATGGACCGGGGAAAAGTCGTTCTCTTCTGCGGTGACGGTACAAACGATGCCGTTGCCATCGCACAGGCGGATGTTGGCGTCCAGATTGGTTCTTCATCCGACGTTACCCGTGCTACTGCCGATGTCGTCCTGCTGTCCGGTTTGGAAGGCCTGATCTTTCTTCTCGACGTATCCACGGCATCATTCAGGCGTATCGTTTTCAACTTCGTCTGGGCAGCGGTGTACAATGTATTCGCAATCCTGCTTGCCGGTGGTGCGTTCGTGAAGGTGCGGATTCCTCCCGCGTACGCTGGACTTGGTGAAATTGTCAGTGTTCTGCCAGTGATCATTGCGGCCCTCAGCATGGCGGGGATGAAGCGATCCCGTTTCGCCTAATAGGCCAAAGACTTGACGCGAAATTATGGGGCTGATGTAGGGCAAGATTGTATGTAGATTTGGGAAACCCTACATAGATTTAAGCACATTCGAGCATCGAATAAATATTGACCTTGTTACCTCCATAAATCCTAGAATTAGTTACTAAAACTATCCATTTGGTTAAGAAGCCAGTCTGCCAACCAACTTACTTACTGAATAGCTACATGCTAACAGTTAGATACGCATAAGGAGAGCCTATTTTATCCAGGCTCCCTTGCTAATCTGTTTATCTCTTCTATTTACGAAATACGCCGCAACGTTCCATCCCCACACGCACACATTTTTACTCTACATGTTCCAAAAAGTTGGGTAAATTCAATTTGCTACTTAGCGCCAAACTGACCATCAAAATTTACGTTCGGGGTTCTCTATTGAACTTTTTTTCCCGCCACCGGAGAACAGCTCTCGCCTAAAAGCAAGCTACGGCGGTGATGTCACGCAACCATCCCGAAGCCCATTAATAATTATGAGATCAATTCGGAATTTGGTCTCGAACCAGGAGCAAGAAGCGCATAATTATTAGTTTTTCTAAGGAATTTCGGAGCGGAATTCCGGTGTGTATACGGAGCAATCCGTAAGATGTGGGGATCATCTTGGGCGCCCCCGCCAGCCCTCTGCCGATATAACTAAGGAGAGAAGTCGAGCAGCAGCATTGAATCGAACGCCTGCATGATATTTTCTTTGGTATCTGCATGCTCTGCATTTGGTATGACACTCCGTACATATTCTGCGTTCTTTGTTCTCGAAGCAGGACGAGCACTTGAAGAACGAGAAGACAACCAAAGCTCTTTATATAACGTTATTTCTCTAATAATACCCGCTCCCACTGCCGAATAAAGTCAAGGAAACGCAGAAAAAAAAAAAAAAAGGAAAAAAGAAAAAAGAAAACGAAAACGAATATATCCACCATGAAAGAAGCTTTTGCATCTCTTTCTGGCGACAAAGTCAAGGTCTCCATCAAGGATTCTCCAATTCCTCACCCCAATGACTCCCAGCTGGTCATCCGCGTGGTGGCTACAGGCTTGAATCCAAAAGATTGGAAATTCTTGAGCGATAAGCCGACAAACCAGGGAGACGATGTTGCCGGCTACGTGCACGCCGTGGGCAGTAAGGTGACTGAGTTCAAGCCCGGAGACAGGGTGGCTGCATTTCATCAGATATTGGCTCCCCATGGAGGGTATGCGGAGTACGCAGTGGTATGGGCGCACACGACATTTCATCTACCAAAGGAGGTTTCGTTCGAAGGCTAGTTTAGATTGCATCCTTGTTTTCTTCTTGTTGTCTGCCTTCAAGACTGTTCTTTCTTTTAATTTTATATAAATAAGATAAATCTAACCTATCCCGTAGAAGCCGCAACAATCCCCCTAGCCGCCATGACCGCTGCCCTTGGTCTTTATCAGGACCTCGCCCTCCCGGTCCCCTGGAATCCAGCTCGCACCCGCACCCCTCTGATCGTTTACGGCGGCGCCTCCACTGTCGGCTCCTTCGTCATCAAACTCGCCAAGCTCTCCAACATCCATCCCATCATAACCGTCGCAGGCAAGGGTATCCCGCAAGTCGAGGCTCTCCTCGACAAATCCAAAGGCGACATTGTAATCGACTACCGCACCGGCGATAAGGCTGTCGTGACTGCATTCACTAAGGCTCTGGGCGGTAAAAAGATCGAATACGCGTTTGACGCGACGAGCGAGCATAACAGCTACGTGAACATTGGGCATGTGCTGGATCCAGAGAAGGGGAAGATTGTGGTGGTGCAGCCAGGGATGGAGTACAATATGCCCGTTGATGTGAAGCCGAGTCCTGTGTATGTAGCTACTGTGCATGAGGATGGGAATGTGTTTCAGCCTATGGAGAAAGTAGGCCCAATCGGGGATAAGGAGTTTGGGCTGGTGTTTTTTAGGTTCTTTGGGCATGGATTGGCGCAGGGTTGGTTTAGAGGTCATCAATATCGGTTGGTGGAGAAGGGGTTGGAGGGCCTTGAGAATGCGTTAAATAATTTGAAGGAGGGTAAAGTAAGTGGTTTCAAGTACGTGATCAGGATCGCTGACACGCCTGATTTGGGAGAATAGGGGGGGAAAAAAAAAAGAAAAGAAGAAAAGAAAAAGCCTTGAACAGATTAGGGAGGCAGGTTTGAACATGTAGCGGTGGATTGTCATCTTGACAATATGAAGAATCATTATGAACACGCTGGATAACGAACCATGCACATATGACAAGGGACACAGGCACACAAAATGTCTCTCAAAGATAACTCCAGGTTGCTTTTTCCCAACCAGACAAATATTAAAAGGGGGCTTTTGCAGGCTGTAAAAAGAGACTGACCTTCACCCAACGCCCAATTGGATCCATGCTCCTCTCCATGAATTTGAAAAACAAAATTCATCCTTCATCAAAAGCATATTTTTCAATATTATGCGCCGATGTCCATCCGGCTATCATCCCCAGCGGTTTTCCCTCTTCGAGCACCCAGCGCCATGCCCTCATCCCCAATATCATCATCGTCATCGTCATCGTCGTCTTCTTCTTTATCCTCGATGAATTGAGTTTCCATCCCAATTCTTTTTAGCCTCTCCTTCATCTCATCCCTCTTTCTATCCTGCCACCTCGCCAATGCAGCACTGGCATGAACCCGGAATCCAAATACTTTGGGCTCGTATCGCCGCAGGGACTTCTCCGGTATTAAACACGGGTAAACCTGAAAGAGTATATTGTGAAAGGAAGTTCCAAAATAGGCACCGTCGATGGAAGCATGGCGGGACGACTTGGGGTTGTATAAATCCTCGCACTTGGCGCAGTATAGCTTAACCGGCTTCACGCCAGCAACGTCGGTGAGGCCCATTGGGAGAAGCGGGTGTTGCTCACACATAACTCGTGGGCATTTCCCGAAGTCTGCTCTTTTATATTTCTCTAGCTGTGTAGCCTCCCATTAGTATGGATAATACTCCTGCAGAAGGGGAACAGGAAATACACCGTACCATTTTTGCTAATCCACGGGTCGTGACTATGTATCGAGCATGCACCATGCCGTACAGATGTCTCGCGTTCTTCTCAATCTGTTCTCTAGTCTCGTCGTCGGCGTCCAAGTCGAACACATCCGTGACTAGATCCAAGGCATATTGATAGAAATCCACTTCGGTGTTCAATCCCGTCAAGTTGAAACGATCGGTAAGATATTCTTCGTCGATTTCGCAAAAGTATTCATTTCCTCGAGACGATATAAACTAGTAGGAGGAGAAGTGTCTTGTTAGAATAGCCTTATAAAGAATCAAGGGAGATCTCTGCATGCTCGCGGGACAAGTAAGATAAAGAAACACGCTCAACAACCTCGCGACCAAAATGGCCTTGCCAATGGGCAATTCTCTTCCTGCCGCTGCAACTGATGCTGCGGATTTCCCCCTCCTCGAACAAACATGACCGGGCGCACGAGAGGCGCCATATCTAGGAGAACAACCGGAAAAAAAGAAAAGAGGAGACCTCACTCACCCAATCTCTCCAGAAGCTCGTATAGTCACTGTCAGACTCTGTGTTGAAGTCCTCCATTATGGCCCCAAAGCCTCTTGGAAAGCGGGACCGCTGGCTCTCTTGAAAGGCTTTGTCCTCGAGGGTGCTGTGCCGAATACGCGCTGTTATCCTCAATCCCGGCCTTCAATAGGTACCATGGAACTGCTTGCCCTTAGGCAACGTTCGTGACACTTCGGTTTCCTCCCTCGGTCGGTGGATATATAACATGTGGTTGGTTCGCGGGACGAACGGTTCGCGCAGAAGTCACAGCTTGGCGCTGGAGGAACATGCAAATTGTGGGAATGGTTGGGCGCGGGGTTTGTCTTGCCACGCACCCAACATCAGTACAACAGGTCGGGCCTGCGCCCGAGACCGGAGTAATGATATCAGGCAGATAAAAAAAAAAAGAAAAAAAAAATGTATTCAATTTAGAGTGGAGAGTTCAACCGCTATCAAAGCTACAATGGCTGGCTATAGAAATGTGCTATATTTGGTACCTGTGTATATCAAACCCGGATAGTATTCGAAATTCTTGTGAAAAACATATTGTGAACCAAAAGGGAATCGCTTAAAGAGAGAGTATATTATTTAAAAAAAAAGGACCAAATCTGGTATCGGTAGGTTACCGCCGCGCTCGATCACACTCCTCAAGGAATTTGTAGATCCCTTCAAAGCCGCCGCAGTCAGATACGCTGTGAGCCGTTGCCTCAGGTCTGTCACCGAAAAAGGCTCTGTCGCCAAGGTCGCTGATATTCACGCTGGAATACTCCGAGTGCGACCGAGCCCAAGGGTTCTTCTCCACGCTAGACACATACTGATAATCCCGCCAGTTGGCACTTGTGGAATGCCGTGTTGGGTCGGAAACCATCATCTGGCGCCAATCGACCTTGTCAGGTGTGACAAGAGGGGGATCGTAGAAATAAAAGAGGTCAGCTTCCGAATCTTGATGGCTAGGGGCGAACGGAAACAAAAGCGCCATTTCGGTGCCATTGTGCGCCTCAAAGTCGGGGTCTTGGTGGATAACTCCGCGCTGGACGCCGACTTCGACGCATAAGCGCTCGACTGATTCTGCGTCACAACCAGGGAAGCGAACACGAATGGTCGACTGATCATGCAAAGATAGCGGCAAATCGCCCAATGTGGCGATCTTTTTCAGATCGTTTAGGACGGCAGCGAATTCCTTCAAAGCCCGGGCGAAATCAGCAGAGAGCAAGTCCATCAAAGTGGGCGTGTTCAAGTTGATCTGTTCGCAAGTCTTAGAAACGGAAGACTTCTGCATCTGGTCAAGGCAGCCAAAGGCGGTTATAGTCGGGGATAGCTTGAAATCAATATAAGAACCGGCGGCGGTGCGAGGAACGGCATTCATTTTGCGATTCGCCTCTTCCTGCAAAGAAGTCACGATTTTATATTGCTTACGACCTGTCTTGTTATCGACGCCATCAAACCTAGCCCTCTGGCCAGAAAGCCAGAAAGCTCGAACTCCAGCAGATACATTCTGGACGACTTGGGCGGGGCATGTGGGAGAACTGGAGAAATATCTCACACCACCGATGCGGCCGGCGCCAACGGCGTACCCACCGGCGGTCCGGCAAAGCGTACCTCCGGTGAGATTTGGCCTTAACGTTGATGCGAAAGGAGTTCGAGTCGTTAAGCGGCTGATGGCGGTGCGAATCTTGGATGACTGGATAGAGCCGGTAGCAAAGCGTCGTGATGCGCGAACTGTAGAGAAATGGCGGCTTTGAGTCTGACGGATTGCGGCAATGCGATTGATAGGCTGACGGTGCTGGATGCGTGCGTATATTGGTTGAAATTGTAGATGAGACGATTGGCCCGGCTCAGGCAGTCTTGCCCGAACAGCCCGGGATACCTTTTCAAAGGCAAACCTGTCAAGAGTCAGACCAGATCACGGATTAACTACAAAGGAAATGTCACAGCAGCCTTACCTGGCTACCCGCCAAACCTTCGGCAGTAGTTGGTGCCCACTAGGCCCCATGACTGCAATCGGCCTGGTGCATCCAAATCGTCAACGTTGGGATTTCGAATCGGTCTCGACGTGCGGAGAGAGCGGACCTGGACGGACGCGGCTGAAAGTCAACTTCAAAAGGCGATGACCTCAGTTGTGGCGCAGCACTCGGGAGCACGTTTATCCGAAAATTGGATTATTAACAAAGTTCTAGCTACTTTCACGTGATAATTCGGGTTCGGGCCGAGTTCGGCGACATTGGAATCGGGCGAGGACCTCAGATTCGGCTCGGAGAGACAAAATGCCCCAAGCTCCAAGCAGCGAGCATGGACAATTCGTCTCCAGGGTGTTCTTGGAAAGCCGCCAGTGTTGGATCTGGCAGGGAACTTTGCCCAAAGGCCCCCACCCACCCCCACCTTTTCTTTTGGTACTGGGTGGAAGGGCTGACACTTATCACAAACACATCTCGACCACGGTTATGACCATACATCTTTCTGATGGACGCTCATTTGCCCTCACGTTCTTCAGTTGAATTGCAGGGGCGCGCCAGCGTTTGAATTATAAGTGAGGTTTCGCTACTTGTCGTCCTCGCTGTTTCCCGCGCAATCCTCGTCAGTTCCCCCCTTGCAAAGTGACCCGAGTGCTCCGTAGTTGCATGTAAAATTGAGCCCTTCCTTTTCCCTCGGAATTTTCTCATTTTGCAGTCCAGAAAGCTGGCCTGTTATCTTAGAAACCATTACCTAAACCCTTGAAGGATCCAAAACAGGAAGGCCATCAAATACGAGCGCAACGCTTTATATCCTCCCTGGTGATATCACAAGACAGGCATCTCTCAACCGACCAATAAATATTACTGGTTCTCTGCATGATCATAATTGAAAAATGATCTTCGTTCTTATCCTTAGCTTACCCCATATTTCGCACAGAGAAGTCCTTTACCATATGGGGAGAAACTAACCCCCACGTGCATCATAAATGCTTCCATGATGATTTCAAAGTATGTACGGAGTATTCGTACATACTCTGTACACACGTACACAACCTGCTAGCTATATTGTGTATCAATGTTCTCAAATCTGAGTCACTGATCATGCAAGCGAGCCGTCCCGCTAGGACTGGCACGAGCTAAATATCATGTCTGGACATCCTGGATGGATCTCTCCGAAAGAACAACAAAGGCAGTGCAGTAAAATTTCCTACCGTGCTTGCCACGCCCGCTCCTTTCCTTTGCTTTCCTCTGAACAAATTGATTTTTCAACAAGCGAAGCAGTGTTTCATGCTTCGAGATCAGATATCTCCTCCACTTGAGCAGGTTTCCCGGTGAATAAAATCAAGGCCCTGCCATGCACGCTCGAACCACTTTCGGGACATTCGAACAGTATCGGAGAACCTGCACACCGGCTCTACGTTTCCCGTCGGCCCTCCGTCGTTGCTCTGTGCGATTGAGCATACGGGATGCCTTTACCGATTTCCATCTTCCATGCTCAACACATCAATGTAACACTGCAAAAAATGTTGCCCAAGCTGGTGACCAGCACCTAAATTAGGTGTGTCCATGGCATTGTGCCTGTGGTGTCGTCGTTCTGAAGAGGAAAGCCCCTCATAGCCGGGCATGTTTAGACTACGCGGCTACATGTGGGAAACCTCAGGCCGTAGTTTCAGCGGCTCCGTGAGGGTTTTGTCACTTTTATTTGGTTCCAGGCGGAATGCGATGGCTAAGCGAATGTAGCCGGCATAGCTGTTATAAATTTGTATGACAGCCCTCACTCCCAGTTTAGGACATTGTCACGGTCCGTCTTTGGATAGCATAGCCTCATCTGTTCGTGGTGTTCTCGAAGGATACATTGCCCATCATGCAGCTCCTTAACCTCAGCCTGTTCTTTTTGTTGCCCTTTGCGACAGCCAACCCCATTCCGCAAGATAGCCAGGACATCATTCCTGGGCAATATATCGTTACTTTGAAAGATGGCCTCACGACGGCGGAAATTGATGCTCACAAGACGTGGCTTGCTTCCACCCACCGATCCAACATTGCGGCAAAGGGACACAGCGGAATAGAGTCCGAGGGAGTTTTCAAACACTTCCAGATTCACAAATTGAATATGTACGCTGCAGGCCTCGACAAGAAGACTGTAGAAGAACTCAGACGCAGCCCACATGTAAGCCGTGCAGGATCAGAATTTTGCAAGTGCTCTATTCCACTAATCTATACGTATCTCCTCAGGTAAAATCGGTTCTCCCTGACCAAAAGATATATCTAGCAGAGGCTGTGACACAGTCCAATGCTGGATGGAACCTTGGCTATATGTCAAGTAAGGGACAACCGAGTCCCTCGTGGAGTACGCTCACAAACTATACGTATGACAGTACAGCAGGAGAAGGTGTTTGGGCCTATGTCCTGGATACTGGAGTCAATGTGAATCACGTTGAATTCGAGGGACGGGCAATTCTGGGACGTAACTCTATCCCAAACAGGCCCCATGAAGATACCTTTGGCCATGGCACATACGTTGGGGGTATCATTGCCGGGAAAACCTATGGCGTTGCGAAAAAGGCTACTGTAGTCTCTGCAAAGGCTTTTGACGGCGGATCGGTCTGTGATGTTCGCTCGCGTTCCTATATTTTAAGCGGCTAACTTCTATCCGATAGAGTTCCTACCGATATATCCTGGATTCATACGAGTGGATTGTCAAGAACATTACTGATAGTGACCGTAAATCTAAATCGGTCATTAACTTGAGCATCTGTAAGTCCACCATGGAACACAACATTTCAAAATCTATACGCTAAGAAAAATGTGGCTCAAGCCGGCGCTAAATATCAACCCTTTGATGACGCGATCGAAAATGTTTTTCAGGCGGGTATCACCACTGTTGTTGCCTCTGGAAATGATGGAGTAAGATACCCATGAACCCTGAGTTGCTGGAGCCTTTGTTAATGTGTCGCCAAAGAGAGATGCTTCACAAAACACCCCAGCTTCGTCGCCGAACGCAATCACTGTAGGGGCACTGCGCTGGGAGAACACCAGGCCAGGATTCTCCAATTATGGAAAAGTTGTTGACCTTTTTGCACCCGGAGAGTTGATCCGATCGGGCTGGACAGGCGGTAATAATGCGACCCGGGTTGCATCCGGAACTTCTGCAGCAAGTCCACACGTTGCTGGGCTTGTTGCGTATTTGATGAGTATTGAGACCTTGTCTTCCCCTTCAGAGGTCACTGCAAGAGTTCTTAACCTCACCATCCCTGGGCTGGTCAAGGATGCAAGGGATAGTCCAAACAAGGTTGCCTACAATGGAATTCAGGAGATGTTGTAAAAACTTAACTGTAAATGATCCCGGGTGGAGAGAGAGAGAGAGGGGGGGAAGGTAGTTCATATGCAAATATACATATGCATTGCGCTCTAAGCAAAAACTTCCAGTGTTTTAGCATATCCAAGTCATTCCATATAGAACCATTACTAACGGTTAGTTTCAACTAACAACCGTGAAGTACTTTCTCTTTCCAAATGAACATCACGATAGTTATCATGAGAGGTTCTTAACAGTACTTGCACAACTCTAAACCTTCAGTCCACAATTCATATCCTCACTTTACAAGACCGGGAGAGAAACGCCAGAAGCGAGAACCGCGACACCGCAATCATAATCAGGGGTAGCTTAGGAGTTACTATAAAGTAAATATAGCTTGGCCATGTCCCAAAATAAGGCTCCGCCATTGCACCGAAGCTAGCCGAAGTCGAACGGAGGAGTTGCCAAGTGGTCGATAGCAAGTAGTTAACTCGGCATCGCAACGGATTCAAGCAGCCATTAGAGGAATTTGCATATTTATCAACTCCGTAGCATTTGAATCTATGACACAGTATCTAATTCACAGCATATAGACAGCAAATGCACTTCCCGGGCTTTCAATGCAGCCCTTCTGAACCACCAAGATCAAACTTGGGTTTAATGATGTTCAAGTACCACAATTCCTGCCAAGTTCGTCGATTTGAAAAGGCTGTTTTACTTCCCGCTATTGTTGTAAAGAAGCTTCGTGGTGGTTTTATCGCTTGCACGGACAATGGAGCTTTGGGCGAGCTCTTTGAGACGGTTACAGACTTCGTTTCCGGGAATCTTCTCAATTGCCATAATATAGGCACCTGCCCCAGAAACGTGAGCTGCGGCCATAGAAGTACCCGATTTAGTTCCGAATTTTTTACGTGGGACGAGCGAAACAATATCCGTTCCAGGAGCAAAGATATCAACTGTAATCAGTTGTGTGTTAGGGCTCACTAAGTCAAGACATAGGTGTCATCGGGAGGTGACAATTACCAGAGGGCCCAAAGGCGGAAAACCGTGCTTGCATATCGTCTTTATCGGATGCTGCAACTGTGCAAGCGAGAGGTTCGGAGGCAGGGGAAAAATTCACAGCATCTATCTACAAGATATCTGGTTTAGTCCAAGCCGCGGCATAAAAATAGTCGAACTTACCGGAGTATTGCCGGCAGAAACAGCAACAAACATGCCGGCCTTATGAGCATTGGCAGCAGCCATGTTCATAGCCGAACTTCGACCGCCACCAAGGCTCATGTTAACAACAGATTTGGAAAGCATGTTATTTTTCTTGGCATGCTTAACCGCCCAGTCGATGCCACCAATTATGTCCTTATAGCTGGTGGTTCTCTCCTTAAACACCTTCACAGCAATGATCTTAACCGCTTTAGCAACACCATAGGTCTTGCTTGCAATTGTTCCAGCAACATGGGTGCCATGGCCAAGGCGATCAGTCTTAGATCTGTCAACTGTGCTGGTGCCCCAGACAGCACGGCCTTCAAAGTCGGGGTGTTTAATATCAACTCCAGTATCAACAACATAGACCCAGATACCCGCAGCCCCGCTGCTATCATAAAAGTAATCAGTGTTAGAAGACACGTGGTTCTCCTTAACTGAAATACGTGAGAGACCCCAGGATGGAGCTGCTTTCTGCACAGAAATCTCGGAAATCGTCACAATTTGATTGGGCTCAACGAACGCAACCTAAGGCGAGTCAGCTCAGAATGGTGGAAGGCATTGGAAGACGATGTGGGTACATCAGGTTCTTTCGCAATTCTCTGAATGGTATCTTCGTCAAATTTGCCAGAATAAGCTTTCATCTCGTAAATGTCATATACCTCCTGAATGCCATGACCGGGGAGTGCTCGTTTGGTGTGGTTGTAATAGTGCATATCGGCCACCCAGGCGCTATGAGAGGCAAATGATGCGCTGGAAACTCCATCCTTCATAACAACAATGTATTCATTTGGAATTACATCATTGGGGTATCTAGGTGACAAAATAGTTGCAGCATTGGCCACAGCTGTAGCCGCAAGAGAAACGGAAAGGATTTTGACAAAGGCCATCTTGAAAAGAGTTAGAATTGAAATGCTAACAGCAATGAGTTGGAGCGGTGTTTTACAAGAGGACGAAAGACTCCTATATATACCCATTGCACGGAACATATCTTCCCATGGCCTCACTCCGGAATGAAGCCATGGGGAATGGTATATCGTCAGCCTGCACCACCAAGGTAATTTCCACCAGAAACATGGCGCGTCCTATTTTCACATGGATATCCAAGGAGGAATAAGGCAGGAAAGGCACAGAGCTTCTGAGAAAAAGCCAGGATGCGCCTGGCTCCATCAAGATCTATGGGTGACACATTGTATCAAGCCACAGTGTGGGAGCTAAAATAAGTGTCAGCTAAGCAGGTACTGGGTACTCCGGGTTGCATTGCCTTATCAAGTCCAACAGGATCTCCCTATTGGAATAGCTACTCGACAAAAGACCACAGAGCTGGCCGTCCACAAACGTATTCTCATCATATTGAAAAGCCTGTTGCACAGAATCCAGATTAAAGATATCCATCAAACAGAAGGAACTGCGAGACATGGGGAGGACAGGGTCTAAAGGAGCGTAAGACACGTGTGGGAAGTAGATTATCAAATCATCAACTCACTTCCTAAAGGTTGCAAAAAGCCATACGGAGGGCGTGTGCGGGCCGGAAGGTGCGGCGGGCGGAGGGAAGGATGTCGGGATGTTTCCGAAGTACTCCGCACTAGTGGGTGGCTTGCTGTGGCTTTTGTCCAGTGTCACCTAGGTACGCTGCAGACGGATTTCCGGAACCCAAGGAGCCGCCTACTCCGTAGTTCCATCAGCTGCCCAGTTGCTTCAAAGATATTGTAGAAGCTCATCAGCAACAACAGTCAGATCACTGGTCTGCAGCGCATCTGCTTTCCAGTTTTCTCTCATGAAGACTGTAGCCTTCTCTAAATGTTGTCGAAATCATCCGCTACCTCTAATAATCAAGAGGGAATCTCCAACTTCCCAAAATGCTACAAGAGTAGTACTGGAAGCAGACCGCTTCAATAACCTGCTTCAGTGAGACATGTGTAAGACGGGGTGAGCTTCAGTAAGGCAAAATCGCTTTTCCTTACTGTATTCATGTTGACTTATCTCTCTGAATCTTGGAAGTGGGCATTGAGGATAGCAGAAAGTCTACAAATTTGAAGCAGCCTAACCAGAAAACTATGAACTAACTAACTAGTAATCCAGCAGTCATGACCAAATTTCCAACCTCAACATTCCACAATAATTGTTCGACTGTATCCAGGGAAAGCTGTGATGCTTAGCGGCCTAGAGCATTTCATTCATCCATATTCTTGACATAGTTTCCTTCTGGAGAAAGGACAGAAATCAGCCAATGTTTGACCGAAGGCATTTTGGATCCAGGAGTTGGGATTGACTGTAGGCAATTCCAGAGTCTATTTCATGAACAGCTGTGTGATGCTCTTTCAAGGTGTGCCCGAATAGCAATGACCATCTCAGCCGGAAACAATTTCGGTGCCGTGTGTTTGCTGGACATCGAATCCAAGTCAGGTCTATACCTCTCCGCTAAGGAATACTCTGATATATATAGAATTTTACTCTAGTGATGGTGTTCCCCAAAAAAAAAAAAAAAAGGAAAGAAAAGAAAAGAAAAGGGCCCTGGCGGGCTTTATGACACACAGTGTAAATTGGCACCCTGAATACTCTGTAGAATGAAAGAAATGAGATGTAACATTGGATTCAAAAATGTTGCGAAGATAGACTAAGCGTATCTAAAGACTGGGCGCAAAAATAGCAACAGTATGAACATGCATGCTTGCAGGCTTGAGAACCCCAAAACCTATCAGCACTGACTCCAGCCATTCATGCCCCTTGGAAGAAGTGCGAGTAGTCACAGTTCATGCTCATTCCCTCAGATAACGATGACCAAAGGCCTTTCTCTATAATGTATTGGATAACATGTTTCTGCCCCCCATCAGTGGCGGAAGAGATGATCTTTGTAGGGAATTCTGGTACACAGGAATCGAGCATCAGTTGAAGTGATCCTGTGTGTCCAAACTTTGCTGCTTTTGAAAGGGGAGTACAAGCCTTGCGGCTTTCCTCTGACCTTGACAGGCGGTTTGGATTAGCACCCTTTTCTAAGAGAAGGCGTACTATTTGCTCATAGCCGTGACCAGCAGCCAATGACAGAGGAGATTCCAGTGCTCTTCTTGGCGAGTCCAGATCGACCTCTTTGTCAAGCACCATTCGAACCACACCCTCAGCACCACGATCGCAAGCCACACGCAGTGCCCGATGCCAGAAATGTTTAAGGAATTCTGGCTGCATGGAATTCAGATCTCCATTGTTGACAAGATGGTTCACAATGTCTAAATGGTTCCCTTTAATGGCACTCAGTATGGCAATATGATAGTGAACACCGGTCAGTGAAACACCATGTTCCGGTAAGAGAAGTAATCTGACAATTTCCCATTGGCCAGCGTAGCATGCCATCTGGAGTGGTGTTTTCGGAAAGATATCTTTCCGGTCCTTGTCGTCTAGGTAGAAGGTGTTTTCGATCTCGTTATACCGTATAGCCTTTGTATTAGGGTGTGCTCCTGATTTGAGCAGTAGTTTGGCAGTGGCAGCATGCCCACAGTATGCCGCAAGGTGAAGCGGGGTTCCAAAGATATTGCTGCGTGTATTGCAATCAACACCCTGGAGGAGTAGTCTTTCTACCAAATCTGTGTTTCCCACACATGCTGCAGCAGAAAGAAGATGCTGAGGACTGTCGACAAAATGTGCTTTTGGAAGCCAATCAATGCCATCGTTCGAATGCAGCGCAAAAAGAATAAATGGGGCTGGAAACACGTTTACAAGCGCTTCCGATAGCGTAGTCGTGTACTTATGCACATCGGTCTCGGATATGGAGCCTTTTTCTGTGAGGACCAAGGCTCTGACAGTGGTGCGAATAGTGTTGATAAGATATAAATCAGATCCACCATTGCGCAAGACCTGGAATCGTAGATAATCAGATGTTATGCGCTCGGATGCAGCAACCCAAACGCCCACGGCGAGGGTTTGAGTTGCATGAATAGCTCTGATGATTTCGCGATCAAAGAATTCTGGTGTGTGCAGTTAGTTCGCATTCATATTTACTGGGAAACAGATGGGGCACACACTGCAGACAAGCCTTAATCTGAGAGCAACTCTGAGTCCCCGATACCCGGGCCCAAGGATGAGGACGAGCTGGTCAAAGATTTCCAGGCAGATCTCGATTGGCAAAGGGCCAAACATGATGATGGTTGCTGGGAGACTTGAGAACAATGCTGAACATGCTAGGGGAGAGAGGGTTCTTGATAGCAATGGTCATTGTTGCAGTCGGAGGATTTGGCGTTTTGGTCCATTGGCTGTGGATGCGTCATATCTCCCAGTCAGGGAACTGCTCCGGTATAACTACCTGTTGGTGGACTTGTCAGCATACAGAATCAACTCTCAGTGGGCTGCTGGCGAGCTCGGCCAATGACTAGTTAACTAAGTAAAGCTGGGGTAAGGTTATCTGACACTCCGTACGGAGTACGGAGTAACAACATGTAAAAAAGTCAAACCAAATTTACATGATCAGGCTCAAGAAAAGATCTAATTTGAAATGGAATTTCTAATCTCACAGTTAAAATTTCAGTTACATTCTATAATTGATCTCATTTTCCAAAAGGAAGACAAATTCAACAATGCTCTCACAGTTCTCTATTTGGATCACGGAGTACGGAGTACCGTTCTCGCACAATTCCGAATAAGATTACTCCGTACTATGAAATTTCAGGAATTCACCTACAAGGGTTCTTCGGACTAATAATGAAATTCCCATATGGAAACATACAGGAATCCGGAGTACGGCGAAGTGCCGAGAACTCCACTTACACACTACGGAGTACTCCGTACGGAGTATTTACTTAAGTACTAGTTACTTAACTAGTTAATACCCCACCAACGTTTTTCACCATGAGAAGACTCTTTTTCAGGCAGCACCGGAACAATCTCCATTTGGGATTAGAAATATCAAGCCAACGTACAACATCGAGACACCAACAGAAGAACACCAACGTTGAAAGCAATCAAAAGACCTGCTTGAGATTATCCCCTTTGGTCACAACTTGTCAACTTCACCATCATCCCTCCCACTTTCTCTCGGGCTCCTACCCTACCTTAACGGCCCAGTTCGATTAGGAGAAAAGAGTCGTAAGCGTATGTGTGGATTTTGACAATCTTAAGGTCACCGAATTCCCTGTGGTGATCAGCTAGCATGTGCCACACAGATCTGACATTGGGTGTTCCTGCTAAGCTGTTGAAAGCGTTGTCCATCGCAGAGCCCGGCGTTGAGGGATGGAATGCTGCTGGATCGTCCTCGGGAATTTTGAGGTTCAGCCTTGCCTGGGTTATTGTGTCAGATGTGCCTTCATTTATAATTGTGTCACGGAGTATATATTTGAGATCCTTCACATTGTTTCCTGCCACAGATTTCCAGTTTTGAAAGGTTATTTCCGACCATTTTAGGCGGACGTCATCAGGCAGAACGTCCTTCATGGCAAAGCTTTCCTTGACCTGAATTGTTCTTGCCTCTGGAAAGTAGACTGCTTGATGGATGTCATCAGTAGTGATTTTCTCCTTGAAGAGGCCCTCATCGTTTCTAACTGTGATCCGTGTGAATATCGTTTTGCTCGTGTCTTTTACCACCCCAATTTTGTCATGCAACTCAGGCAGTGTAAAATCTGCATCGACTTTGTCCTTGGACACATGGTAAAGCTTGTCCAGCTTTGGCCTGTTCACGTTGGGTTTGTTGCTAGAAATAGCCTGGTCTAGCACGCGCATCGCTACCCTGCCCTTGGCGCCGTATGCCTCGAATGGAAGGGGGAATTCATCCGCGGGTGCCTTTCGAGGCTCATAAGGTCCTGGCCGTGGTTCAGGCGGTGACCCTGGTCTCGCTGGTGGCTCGTGTGGTATCCCTATAGAAGGGCGTTTTCCCCCTGGCCCGTTGCCGCCCGGCTTTCCTACATGGTGAGGGTTATTTGGAGGCTTCCCTCCGGGTCTTCCGACCGGCGGTCTAACGGGAGGAGGAGGAGGAGCCCTGATGCGCAGGTCAGCAACAGCCCCGTGCGGGCTGCCAGGCAGGCGTTTGTTAACTGTGACTTTTGGTTAGCGTATATACCCTAAAGGCTCCCTTCACAGAAGATGCTCTACCTTCGCAGGGCTCGATATCACAGGTTCGCTTTGCATCTGCGAATCCTTCCGGAATTCTGCGAGAAAAAACAATCTGTTCAAGAAAGGCAAGAACTGCCAACAAATGAAGAGCCTTTGACACGGTGAGACGCATTGTATCGTCAAGTAGGATCAGTGGTTAGTAGTCAATATACTGGTTGAGATGCTTGGTTTTAACCCCATAGCTCCGTGGTCGAACCCTCTTTTATATCCAATTGTCAAAGCCCAATTCACTATGTTCATACGGAAACGCTTTCTGAACATCTCTGGCATCTGAATGAATCCCTTGAGGTGCAGATGTGGATGAAACTCCGACTCCAACTCCACTATGTTTCCACAGATGAACCTTCAACTCCGATCTCATTTCCTAGTTCCTTTTTGGATAATACCAATAAAAGAAATACAACTCTGATGTTAAGCTCATCCCCAATTGATATTTCTTCTCCGGTGATCTTTGCTACTGACCCTCTTTGGTATGGATGAGGATCAAAGAGCCGTGTCAAATTGATACGTTTTTCATTTATTCAAAACCTGGGTTGCGTCCACGGGATTTTGAAGCTATTCGAACCCTTCCCACTCATCACAGGTGATGGGATATTCCCTGGCCATTTCTAAAACCCTCCTTTCTTCACTTATTCTGATACTCTCTATGTATTCCTCCTAGTTGTTCGACTTCTGCATCCACTCATTCTCTGTTTTTGGCATTCAATCCAAATGTTGCCGGGCAGATTTCACCGTTGTGTAGTGCATGATCAGCGCTAAACCATCAAGATTCCTAGAATCGTCCAGATTTACTCAGAGGTCAGGTTTTACCTTGTGGTAATGGGACTGACTTCGCCCTCTCCATACTGTCAAGGATATTGATGCTCTTTCGGCTGTCTTACCTTTTCTAGATTTCTAGATTCGAGACTTGCTCCGCTTTGATCTAGTGGATGGTAGGCAAGACTCGAATCAGGAGATCTACCCAATGAGCTCAAGTCAACAAGTCGTCCGTTCCGCTTATGCAAGGGTTGGCGCTCCGCTATGGCATCGAATACCCTTTTTTTTCCCTGTCCTTCGGCTCCTAATTTATGTGAAATAGGAGGGATGAAGGCTATGCCTTTGGCGAGTTTTAGATGGATATAAAAGTAGCAAACCAGGACGCCATTACCATGTTGTCTCGGGTCACTCAACGTCAGTCTTGTCTATTCCTGCTACTCTCTATCATTGACCTACGGACCTTTGATTTCCTACTCAGAAGCGACTGCTCTATTCCCTTACGGTTAGATTATCATATCTGTTAATATCCTCGATTCCTAGACGGTCGGCCGCTAGAATGGGCGCGCATGCTGTATTCACTGGTATTGTGCTTGGGGTTACGGGTCTCTCCCTGGTTCCACTTGGAGATTACTTTTTTCCCGCGCCGTACAAGGCCAATACGATTGTCCGTGTTGCCTCTGGCCTGTCACAGCCTCACAAGCATGACGAGGCTAGTACTGGAGGTGATATGCCGAGCATAGCCCTGTTCGATGGAAACGGCGAGCGAATTGGATTCAAATCTGGGAGTAGACATGGGAAAATTCCTGATGGCCGCTATGAGGACATTTCCATTACTCCAATAGATAGAAAAAATAACAGACCGGCAGAATATATTTCTCTCAGTGCTTCGAGTCCTGATGCCCTTTGTGTTGCATACATTGCTGTGACACATCCCAGCAAGGAATACTGGGCTTTCACAGGAGACAATGCAGCCATGTGCGGGGTGCCTTGGTATCATTCTAATCTTGTGATGCAGGTGGGTGATCTGGCTCACAAGCCAAAGTGCTTTTGGATTGATGGCCCAGACGATGATGGGAAGACAACATACAACTTCCCTCAGGGAATTGGCATTCATCTGATTGACTTTATCGGTTCTGAGGCCCTATATGCGCAGTACGCGGATCATCCAGACTCAATGTGCAAGAGCGCACCCAGATTGAAGATGTACAAAAAGTTGAACGAGCTGCAATGCCTCCCTGTTTTCAATCCTCCGCTGGAGTATACCAGAGACGGGCTTGATGCGGACTTGGAGGCATTAAAAACAGAGGGTGAAGTCATGTGCAGTCCTCCTCCAGGTCAGCTTCCAACACTAGAAGAGAGAATCAAGTTACAGAGGGTGCTCCGGTTCCCAGCTCGGCTCTGGCGTCCAACTTATGGAGTCAAGAAGAAAAGGGACAAGATTATGCAGCTGGATGAGAGAGAGGAACAATTCAAACCCACTTGCTTCAACAATGACATTGTGATCAGCAACTCCATGAGTGCAAAGGAGCTTTGTGATGACCCCGGTTCCCGTGGTCCGGACTTTGTTTCTAAAAAGGAAGGCTTTTATTGTGACATGTGCACACATACACTGTGGCCTGTTTGTCACAAGGGTGCAGCTGTCCAAAGGCCTTTAGGATGCTTTGATATTGATGCCAAAAAGCTGCATTATGACAGGGAGAAGACTGCACGTGATAATAGTACAATTGTACCGGTCAAGAATTATCAGAATGTTAGAATCTGGAAATGAGGGCGTATTGTGTTTCTTCATAGGCAAAAGGCATTTTTTGACCTGTTGTACAAGGTGAAATTGATTTATCTTTTATTCCTGCTTATTTGGCTGGTTAGTACATATTTATTCTAAATAGCTATTGAATCACCAAAGCTACAACCCTTTACAATCACTCCCTTATTCCACTCTTGGTCTTGGGATAATACAATGGAAATATACAAGACCCTTCATTGGGATAGTATCAACTGCTTTGATTGATCAATAATTCCCTTCAGGACAATTGTATCCAATCCACTGTGTTTTCTCCTGGTGTTGGACTGATTCATTCAATATTGTTGGAATCACACTGGAGAAATAGCCTGAGAGACTGCACCTTAAAGATCTTGGAAGACACAGCAGTTTGTCGTACACAATGAATTGATTCATGAAAACAAGAGGGTGTTTCCTGGAATTACTCGTACCATACCAGTTCTGTACGAGTTTGGGACTAACTTGGGATTGGATGGAATGAAGCTGGAACCTAGTTGAAAATTGTGTAACTTATAATTCTACTTTATTCTGGCTTTCTTGTTAATATAGTTATAACATTTCTATGTCAATATTGCTGCTGCTGCCATCCCACACACTTATTAACTACTAATTTGAGGCCTTAGTTAACTACTCCGTATCTGAGATCAGGCACGAAGTAACTAACTACACAAAAACCGGCCCGCCCCGTTGGAATATCACGTGACCCACCCTTCCAACGCCAGGCGGCCAGATGAGAACCGAATGCTTATAGCGGTGTTTATTCCACGTTTCGGGATTGAGTTAACTTCTACCTTGATTTAAAATTTCTCACAGCAATGTCGTCCGGTTTTATCTCGGCTGGCGCCACGGAGTACACTCCGGGCAATGATGAGGAGTGGCAGAGAGTCAAGAAAGAGCTCGAGGAGTCCCGGAAGCGCAAAGCAGAACAGGGGACCCAAGAAGGGGGAAAAAGCCTTTACGAAATTCTCCAGCAGAATAAAGGTGTGTAGGAATTGGGCCTGTCATTTAGGTTCCATGCGGAGCTTGTACGTATAGCTGACTGCTACTTTCATATCACTTTTGAGAATTAGCGGCAAAGCAAGAAGCATTCGAAGAATCAATCCGGCTGAAGAATCAATTTCGAGCTCTCGATGAAGATGAGGTTGAATTCTTGGACTCCTTGCTTGAGTCAACTCGTGCGAAGGAGGCGGCTGTGAAGAGGGAAACCATGGAACAATTGGAGATGTTTCACCGCCAGCGAGAGGAGGCGGAGAAGAACGCCGTTCTGGTAGAAAACAAGCTTGGTGAGCCAGGCGCTGGGTCGCATGGCGAGGAGGAGAAATGGGCGATATCGGGTAGGAAACGAAGGCGGACCAAGGATAATGATGTCCTTCCAGGGGTAAAGCTCCGAAAGTCGTCGAGCACTAGCGGCCAAATCCCTCCCTAGGAAAAGCCGAAGGCCGATAAGCCTGCCACTTTGGAGGCACACATTCCATCCAACGCTCAGCATAAAGTAGCGGACTATTCAGAGCCTCCTGAACCGAAATGCGATGCATCACCTGCTCAGGGCAGCAGACCTGGGCTGCCAGCGGACCCTGGCACCAAAATTGCGCCGGCAATCTCCTCCAACCTTGGGTTAGGAGCATATAGCTCCGATGATGATGACGATGATGATTGATTGAGTACGGAGTAGCTGTCCTTAATTATTTTTACGAACGGGGGTGTCAAGGCGGATCCGGATGCCGTATCGATAGTTCCTTGAGCTTGAAAGCTTCGCAGGAAGCATGGACGGCTGCGACGGAACAAAGGCTTCTGGGGACTTTTTCTCCCAGTGAACAAATTTCGAGGAAGGCCAAAGGTATCATGCACCGGTCCGGCCCCACTCCAAATGGGATTTATAGGCCATATTCCGAGGCAGGCAATTGTTCCCGTACGGCGGGCAGATGTTGGGTCAAATGAAATGGGGTGTGGCTGTGCGTTTCCCTCCCACTTGGAATGGTTATCATGGAGGCTGAGAAGACATATGTAGGCATGCAAGACATAACCACATACATTATGAGCAGAGATCGTGACTGATGATCCGAAGCAATGTATGAATAGACATACATGCGCCGAAGATCAGTTTATGCAAGATTACTGGGTCTTTTTTAACATATATTAAATTGTAGTGAATACTGCATTATCAGACATATATCCAATCACAGTCAATGTAGCACCATAGGGCAAGTCTTGGTCTTTCAGCTGCTAGTTCTCCAGGAAAAGACGCCGTTGTTGGTTTATAGATTTAACCATGGTTGACTTTAACAACAGTGTCCGAATCATCGAGATAAACATTAAGCCTGGGAAGAGGGAAATACATCAGCTGCTTGCTATAATCGTTCTAACTTGGGTCTGCTGTAGTGAGCATACCGATCCGGTACATAGTCCATGGTAACCGCATAACCAGGCTTGATGACACGATGCGTTTTGGGGAGGTCTTTCACTGCGAAGGACTGGCCATATTTTAGATTATAGTGTACAAGAGTTTCGGAGCTCAGATTACGCACGACATTGTCACTGACATCCTGGGTCAGCTTCTTTCCCATCAGCCTAGCGGCCCAGGCAGCTTGGTCATTCTCGTTGACTTCTGGAACGACAAGAGGCATGTTGCGAGGTGGTTGAACGTGATGGGTGCGGATGGTGAAGTATTGATGAGGGAGTTTCAGAAAAGACACCTTATTAGCTTGCGAGGGTGGGATGTTTACTTCGGGATATAGGGCGACGTAGGATGATGAGAGAGAAAGGGACATGTGCTTTATACCCGGCTTCAAGAGATGTGCTCTGGAAGTCATGGAGAGAGGAGACGGTAATGGAGGGGAGCAATGTATCCAGTTTTTCTTGATTTATGGGAGGACTTTCTTACATCATTCGCCAGCGACGATGGACCAGTTCGACAGGGGGATGATACCCTGGTCTAGGCGCCAGGATTCTCTGGCGCTACCTTGGACTTTTCTTCGTCGACCTTCGGTGGGAAGCGGAGAGGTTCCTGGACGGGAGGAGGCGGTGCGGCCCTAGGAGGACAACGTCATGATTACTAATCAGAACTGATAAACTAGTCGTAATCAGCTGACTTCCTCGGGCCGACCTTTTGCCGTCATTGAGGAATTATATCGGCCCGTAAAATACGATACGGGGCTTGGCAGGCTTGGCGTCCCCCCTGCATGCAGGCGTTGTTACATCTTCGTATTAGCGCAGTCAGCAGCCCATCAGCTCAGGCTACTATTAATAGCTCGTTGGCAATTCTCCACGCCGCTGGCGGGCCTGGCGAGACGAAGCGATAGCGAGCTTCCTGTCAGCTGCGGAAGAGGTCGGCCGGGTGGAGCATGCAATTACGCCCATCTTCTTCAAATTTTGGTATTTGCGCCGAAATCTTCAGGTCCTGGTGGCCATCGCGTGCTTCATGCGTCAGGGAATGATCTCAATTTCTGGCGCTTGCTCGCACCAAAACATCCGTACATAGCCTCCCGGCCAGTGGGGTCGCACCCATAGGTTGGACGTTTTACCGGGTCTTCGTCCAAACATTCGGTGACGACGCGTTCACGAATAACTAATCCCTGAGAAGTGCTAGGCCATTTTATATTCCAACGGCCAGCCTATCTACCGGCCTCTTGCGGTCGAAGCCTTAAAGCGGGCATACTCCCGAGCCTTTCTCCATCCGCATGCGATTTACAACCACCACGACAGGGATTCGTCTGTTTTGGATGAGTCGCTCATTGCTCCATTCGGGTTGATTGGACGCTTTTTATCCTTCGTTCGCGCAATTGAGGCTATGTTCAATCACGCCAACGTTTGAAACAGCGATGAGAGCGGAGGCCCGAACACAAAAAAAGGTCATGATAATATCTCAATATCTTCTCCAACGACACAAGTAAGCTCCTCTAGCTCTTCTTGCCTTTCTGCTCTTTTCATGTTCCCTTCTGTGTTGTGTTTGTTGGCTGGACACCTTTTTTCGCCTTTGCTTTGTCTGTACGCGGCTGGATCGGGACGGCCCACTACATCAATGCCTTCAGACGATCCAAAAAGCTTCCTTTGACAGAAATTTACGTTCGCTTTCAGCTCTTGTAGCTAACCTGGAATGCGCCTGCAAGAAGTGTGTGATTGATTGAATGCGTGCTGTTGTCGCATAACCAAGAGTCCTAACCATCGAAGTCGAAGCGTCTGGTCGCTGCGATATAACCTCGAAGGCGCGATGAAACTATTCTTATGGACCAATATCTTGCTCTTTCAGACATGGGCGACGGCTCTAGAACCTCCATCCGCTCTTCCAACGCCGTGCAGGAGGAGAGTGGGGGGCACAGGCGAGATATTTCTCGGTGATTGCATTAATGACGGCCGCATTCCACGTCTTGCGAAAAGACATCCCTCCGAAGATGATAGGATATCTCGCAAAGATCCGATTATTACACCTTCGCCCAGATCTCCAAGCTTCCGGAAGTTTAAGCGCAAAGAGGATCGTGGTAATCCCAAGCCAGCTGGTAACTCCAATCAAGGTGCCAGCAAAAACGCTGCTGAGAACAAAAACCCGCCTGGGAACGGAAACCCACCTGGAAATAAGAACCCTCCTGGCAATAAAAATCCTTCTCCTGACAATAACAACCCTCCTGGCAACAAAAACCCCCCTGGGAACAAAAACCCCCCTGGCAACAAAAACCCTCCTGGGAACAAAAACCCTCCTGGCAACAGAAACCCTCCTGGCAACAAAGGTCCGCCTTGGACAAATATTCCTGTTGGCGGACCTAATCCGGACCAAAAGGAGCCACCTTGGCGTGGCAGGCAGCGTCAGGATGAGGACGACGTTCCCGACCCTCCTGACCCCGACGGCGAGGACGGCGAGGACCACGAGGACGACGACGACGATGACAATGATGGTGACGACGATGATGCCCCTGGGAGGAACCCTATCACGACAGCTTTTAGATCGGAATCTACGAGCAGATACTCTCACACGCGACTGGACTCAACCACGGAAGAGTTAGCAACTGAAAGCTCTACCGCTGCGACGGATTCCAGCCGCTCTACCTCCACAGCGCCTGCTTCAACCACCAACACAGCCTCATCTTCATCAAGTCATTCGCGGATAACTTCTACTGACAATTCCGCACCTGCATCCACAACCTTATCCCAGGTAGCATCCACAACCACCACGCCCACATCCGCATCTCCTACCCCACCCCCGGAAGATGACGGGATAAACAAAGCAGGGGTTGCAGCGGGGTCTGTCTTTGGCGGTTTTGTTGTCATCGCGGTCGCTTTTCTAGGTCTACTATACTACAAGCGATGGCAAAAACACCGAGATCACAAGGAAGAAGAACGGCAGAACCGAAAATCACGATACTTAGCAATATCCGCTTCGGACAGTGGGGATTCGCAAGCAGAAACTCCCGGAAGCGGAGAAAGTTATTTAAACCGTGGGCCAAACTTCACTTGGCATCCTAATATGGCATACGCACCTGTTTCGCAACATATATCTCCTGGGAACAAGGACGATTTCCAACCCCTTACTCCCGATATGCCCCGTGCCACAAGTGGTCGCTTTTATTCCTCTATGGCGACAGATGACGATCAGCAGCGGCTTTCCTTGTCGACTAATCCAGCATCCAGCGGGCCTTACCCACCCCCTGGGGCCTTACAAAGACCGGTCTCCATGGAAAGTTCTCTTCATCGGCCGCATAACTTCGATACCCATGGCGTAGGTCGTAGCCATTCTATTGAGCGCAAGCCACTGCCCCCAGCAGGAGCACCGTCCACCGAGCTACCCATTGTCATGGAACTTCCTCCCGATAACCCACCAACACCACCATCCTCGGAAATGCCGTCAAGTGGACCTTCTTCAGCAACACGCAGCACTCGTCGAGCTTCGCGCAGCAGTATTTCCACTGTTAACCAACATATGAACTATCGTACTTCCCAATATTCCCCTGTCAGTAGCATCTCGCCTGTAGATACTGGCCAAGCGAGTCAAACTTACGACATTATGCAGCACGTCGATCAAGCCGAGAATTTTCCAAACACCTTGCATGCCAATCAGCCGCCGCGGTCGGATGGTTATGGAGTCTATCCGTACCCAGGCACATAGCCTGTCACGCGCGAAAAGAGAAAAGAATAACAAACCTACACATTGCCACTTTGTATGACATATATTTTAATTATTCCTTCTTATTATTATCTTTTTCTTTTTTCCTTTTATTTTTTAGTTCTCAAACTTTGTTCTTTTTTGGATATTAAATGGATTTGCATGATGCTTTTAAGAGATACCAATTTTGTCTTTTCTCTGGCCTGTGCATTTTTACCGCAATTTTTTATTATTGTTATTATTATCATCAGGGGGAATTTCTATGAACAGAGCAAAGAAGTACACAAAAAGAGCTTGACTTCAGCCGGAGAGCGAGAAACACAGGGAGACGCTCCTCTTCTATAGCTAGGCGGAATAACATGCAAACTACACCTTCATGTCCCTGGGACCAATATGTTAATTAATACAATATTGGAATCAAAAAAGGTTTATTCGTTTGCAAGTAAAGAAATCAGAATACCCCCGATTACGTTACAAATGAAGATGCCGGACTATGTGCGACCCAATCCGTACGTCCCTCACCCTACCTGGTTGAACCAAAGCTATACGAAACCAGAGCAAAAAGACAAGAAAGATAACCATTTAAAACAGCCCATTGACGAGGCCGAAAATCATGGGCGTTAAAACACGCAAAGAAATCAAATCCGTCACCCACCTATGCATGCTTAAAATAGTGTTGGATTGGGAAAGGGGAAAAAAAAAAAAAAAAAAAGGGTTACAAAAGCTAGAGAAATTCAACGTCTTAAACTCCTCAGACATCTCTCCATCCTCTTCCCACGCTCTTTCTCTCGAACAAGCGTAGTTCTAACAAACTCCCTGATTGCTTGTTTGCCCATCTTCCCCCTCCAATCCGTCCACCCAGCCAGCTCTCCCACAACTACGTCTTTATTCCACGCAATCTCTTTCCCGACTTGCTCCACTTCCACGTTCAACTCTAGAATCTTCTGTTCTTGCTCTCGGACCGAGCGTTGTCGAGATTCTTCTAAGCCGGGAAAATTGAATTTGCGTGGGACAGAGTTAGATGCGAGGGTGGAGTGACAGCGCGCTAAAGACCGGGTGGAGGAATTAAGCCTGGATACGAGCATTCCGGGGCGGGAGAGGGACTCTAACATTGCGCTTGTTGTGGTATGTAAGGATGTTAGGGCCGTAAGGTACTGAGTCAACGGAGAAGAGTCGAGAGACGAAGAAGTATAGCAAGCAGCAAAACGATTAACGGCGTCTATATGCGAATGGGGAAGGGCATTTGTGGGAGGCTGTAGAGAAGAAATGGCGTAGGAACACATGGATATTGCTTCTGCGAAGTCTATAGATGCATTGTGAAGCTTATATCCACGTCGAATTATGCTTCGAGTGTGATTGCTGACTGCACGGACGGCATCTTGCGCATGGCCCACAATCTGCTCAACGTCGCGGATATCTTCTGCCGTGACAGGTTGGTATTCATCCGCTATTCTTTCTACCAGCACAGCAGCCTTCCGATGCGATCTTTCACTTAGCATTTCTGTTTGTATCTCGGGCATGAGGAAGAATTCCCAGAGTAGTTCATGTGTCGAAAAGGTGGGATGCGCAAGTAAAATTTTCATGAGCCTATCCAGACGCTCTTGAACTTCGTGGAGCACAGCGCGCGAGGGCTTTGAATAGATCTGTAATGGAGAACGAAATGGCGGAACATCGGGAATGTATGAAGCAGGGTGTTCGATCCTCAGAAACTTAATAAGATTCTCGAAATCCGCCAGACCACGGCGGGAAGTCGTTACCGTGAAAGTGATCATCTTTCGGGACTGATCTTGTTCAGAGGGGGATGGAGGATTAGGTGCACCGGATTTGATGATGAACCGAGTGCTACCATCTTCGACAAACACTGATCGAACGACAGCGGTTATGCGGCCAGAAGAATCGACGGAAGAGGGTGGTGGATTGGAAAATAAGATAAGATCATCAATTCTATTACGAACCTCGTCGTCTTTTGCAAGTTCAACTGCAGTTAATCCGCGAGACTCCCGAAGATGAGGGTCAACTCGTGGATCCGCGAAAAGAATCCGAACTAGGTCGACACGTCCATACTTGCTCGCCATCATCAGGGGGGTAAATCGTTTGTCATTAGTCGCGTTAGGATCACAGTCGCATTCACATAGGATCCTATGAAGAATCTGGGGGTCGCTAACGACGTGCAGGAGGGTGTTTCCTTTAGCATCCACATGATCATCAAGTCTCAAAGGATCTCCATCCCCTTGAGAATCTCGGGCCACAGTCAAAGCTTCGTTAACCATGATGTTGTAATCCGGGTGATCATAGGATCTGCAGAGTGCAAAAAGAGGAGTTTGACCGTGTTTATCTCTTTTTTTCCAAGGAAGTGCAGCGCCAATGCGAGACATCAATGAAGGAACACCGAAAAGATAATGTGCAACCGTTCTTCCTCGAGCATCCGCCTTAGCAAAGTAAGTTCTAACGTCATCAGGATGCGCATGTTGAAAGATAAAAGCTAGGATAACGTCCACAATCTCGGTGTGCGCGAGTTGTACTGCGGCGCTCAACAACGTTGTGCCATCGCTGTTGACATCTTCCAGTATACTTTGGATTGGATAATATTCCTCCAAGCTCAAGAGGTATTTTAAGGACTCGGGCTGGCAGGCTTCGACGGCCATCATTGGGATCGAATCTCCCGCCGGATCTTGCGTTTTTGTTAAGATTAAAACAGATGTGTCGCCTTCCATATGGCTTGTCGCAGAACCAAAAGTGGTTGAGCGAGAAAGAAGGGAAAAGTTGGAGGTTTCGGACACGCTTCCAACGTCCATAGAAACACTTTTAAGAATACGGGGTTGAGTCTTTGGTGGAGAGCTTGGTGTCCACGTCTGAAATGGAAAAACGTGTGCTAGACGGGGCGTTTCTGGAACTCTGGGAATATCTATGGGCTCTCTTGTAACATGTGGAGATATACTACCGTTAGTTGCAAGCTCCATGGTTGATGGACCCTGCGCATCTTCCACGCCATAAATGTCCAGTTGAGACGAATGTTCCTGTTCTCCGTTACCAATGCTATCTTCAGATAAGCTTTCCTGACTTTCCGGCTCCAGAATGGCCTTCATATCAGGCACTTTGCCTGACTTGGTAGCACACCAGAGACGCCGGTTCTTTGCGCTGGCCTTTCTGAGCCCGCGGGAGTCATGTCGGAGGTACGTCAATACTGCCTCGAATGTACTCAAAGCGTACCCAGATTCGCCGCTCTCGACATCATCCATATAAATAAAATGTTGCATATATGAGAGTCTGGCTTGGAGGTGACGGACCTGCGATCTGATGACCACTACTAGTAGTAATGAAACCAGAATATCAGCGTTGATTGTCAGAACTGACGGTTTCTTTTCGACGACATCACCGTCTTCAGAATCGGGTTTATACTCGAGGGTAACGGTTTTTATTGTTGTGAGAAGTATTTTCAGCATCTCTTGGGGACATGTGGAGTCAACCATTTTTCGAAACTCGTCGACACCCCTTCCAAGGCGATGAATAAGTTCTTCTTTTCCCTTTCGACCTCCTTCTATGGGGATACCGACCTGGGACACGTCAATACTCTCCATCTGTCGAATACGTATATCCAATTCCGTATCTTCGGTTTTGCGGCACCCGCATATTCTCGGGAAGAGAAGGGAGTCGTGAACCTGCTCAGTCACATAGCGCTCTATCAGCCGTTCTACCATGGGTCCGGTGAGATTTGTTGTAGCTCCTAGAAGAGACAGCTGCTGCCTGTCTACTAGGCGGAAAAGGTCAATTGCCGCCGTGACCGCCGTTTCTAGAGCACGCCTCATGAGGTCCTCGTCGTCTTCAAAATACTCCAGTGAGTTGAAAGGCAGCGTCTTTTGGGTGCATGATGAAGTGCTTCGAATCGATGCTGTCTCGTCCACATTATCGGCTTCATTTTCGGAGTTCATGGATGAAAAGCGTGACGGAGGAGGTGGCAACGGTTTTCCGAGCTCCTTTCCAAACTCACGAAATAGTCGCTCCAGTCCGGGTTGCATCTGCCTGGCGATCATTGGAAAGTTTGCGAGCAATTCTCCAAATGACTGAACGTCTTTCCGGGCAAATCCCAGGCTGCCACTGTCGCATCCCGGCGAAGAATTCAAGAACTCTGGATATTGTGAAGGGAAGCCAGGTACAGCTGCTTGAACGATTCCCCCTGGATCGTAGATTCCGAGCAGCGGTTTGGAGATGTAGTATATTAACCATGGCTGCGACTCGCTGCCCGGAACGTAGTAAAGAATATCGGAGAGCAGGATTGCCTGGTTCAAATTCTTGAAGCCTGCAAGTCTTGTCAGCCACACCAACTGGGCCTCAAATTTAAAAACGCCAAAACTAAAGGTTACTTCTTTTGCGGTACCTTTGTTACTGAATACCATCGACTCCCGGATGGCTACAGTGCGGCCGTTTGCGGTGGTCATTTGCCTGGCCTTTCCCCTGGCGTCCCGTGGCCCTGAAAGGGCATCCTTTGCGGACGTTGAAGCGGGAATGCGCAAGACATGGCTACCCAGAAACTCTTCGGAATGAACGAGGTCAATGTAGGGGGTATTAGAATCTCGATCGCGAGCGTTGACGAGGGATTCGGTGGTAGGCACCAGTAAGATCTAAAGCGGACATCAGCAAGATATATGCCATGGAGTATGCTGGCGGGAGAAGCGGACATGGTTCTGGACCGGAACGCATTGCGACGGGAGCACGCTGCGGAAAAAAGCGCGAAGAAAGGGATTTAGAGGGGGCATCCAAACGACATCGGAAGGCCCGGCGGGCAAGCTCCGCCGTTCGTAGAGCTTTGGCGCAAGTGTAACTCAGGACAATCTCGTGGGGCTTTCGATGCCTAGCGGTGGTATCTCGGAGTTCGAAGGGCCGTCAAAAAGCTTGGGCGTGGAGGCAGCAGTGATGGGGACAAACGGTGAATGGACGGGGCTGAAGGAACAGAATCTCTGGGCTTTTTTGGCTTGGACGAAGCTGATACAATAGGACAGGTACTCTGGCAGCGAGGAAAGCAGCTGTCTTCATGGATTCCGCGTGTTTCTTCCCAGTGGGATCCTGGTTCTGATATTCCCTGTCGCTGGAGCTCAATCAGAGTTGGGGTTTATCGATAACAGCTTCACGTGATTGATTCTATGGCTGCAGGACCGCAAACAAACGCCCGCGCAGACAGGACGGCAGCACATTAGAGGAGATGTCAGGAGAAAAGCAAAGAACTCCAAATGGTGATTGGATTGCAACAATGAGAACCACTCTAATATACATATAATGATGCAGAAAGGTCGCTGGCAGCAGAGGACAATTCCAGCAGATGAGGTCAGTGAAATGGAACCAGCATGATCAACCCAATCTCCGCACCCTTGGGCTTCTCGTGCCGCCGAATTTCAACCTGGTGGCATCGGTCACCCGTACTACTTTTTCCCGTATCTTCTTTCCCTCCGGGCCCAAGAGCACTTTAGTAAATGCCTCGCGCCCCGGTCCGAACCCTCTGAGGACAACTTCCAACTGCCTGATGTCCATTAAAAACCCCCGTTCTTGAATCTTTGCCATCATGTAGGAGCAGAGCTGGTGGGCCGGATCGTAGCCGCCGCGGTGAGACTTGCGGAAGCCAATCGTACCGCAGCTTATGGACATCATTGGGTCGCGGTTGGGCCTTGTTAAGGTCAAATGTGTGTTGTGTTTATGGGCATAAACGTGGAGGTGATGAGGAAGGCTCATGCCGTAGGGATTCGACAGCGCCTCCGCAATTTTCGCCGTGACATCCTCCGTATTCAATTCAAGCGGGTTGGCCTTTGTGTCTTCGGATAGTTTGCCCAGCGCTGAGCGGCCCGTTGGAGGTTCATTTTGGTTTGGTGTATCGGCGTTTCGTGAAGGGGCTGTTGAGGAGAAGGATCTGAACATCGAAGAAGAATATGGATTTTGCTGCTGCAAGAAAGGCCGCATCAAGGCAGCGGACAGCCGCTTGACCACCGTGTGGTTCATCGCGGCGGAGGACAATTCAATTCGGCGGCTGAAGCAAGGCAAGAGAGCGCCGGCTCTCCGGCAGGCTGCGACTGAGCACTCGAACCGACTCTATGGGGCTTAGAGGTGAAGTGGATAGCGCAAACGAAGGCGGGTGCAGGAGAATTCGACGGGTCGTGTCGCTTCGTCTTTCCTGGCCGGCCGATTTTGGCTTGAGCTTCGGCGTCAGTCTTTTCGGTCTTGGCGCTCGGGGCAAAAAAGTCAAAAGTGTTGATTCAGGCAGATCCTCTTTTTTTCCCTTTCACCCATCACCACCGCCTCCTGCTCCCACGGCTGTTGAGGCCGCCAGCGATTATCACTTCTGCCTCTGCCGCAGGCTATTATTTGGACTGTATCGGTCTGTTGCTTTACTTTCATAGTATTGGCCATTGCCAGAGGTTCCCATTCGGTACCTGAGTGTCGCAGCTGCATCCTCGATAGAGTATGATTGTCGCAGGGAAATTGGTGTCGCCAGGCGCCGGCCGGACGGCCTTTCTTCGAGGCCATATTACTTCTACGAGTGTTACATCCGGAAGAGCGCCAGTCCTCCGATCCTTGACGCAGACACGCTTGCTGAGCCGCTCCCGCCTAGAGCGACCGCCGACCAATGCTTTTCAATCTTATAATCCTATCCTCCCCGTCTTCTCTCAGGCTTCTCCCTTCCAGATCAATTTAATACGAGTTCTCCTCCCTGCTAAAAGAGCTTTCCAGACATCAAGTCTCCGCCGGCAACAGCAGCAGGAGAAGTCAGAAACAGGAAAAACCACGAGTGAATCAGCGAGCCAGGAATCGGCTGAAAGTGGTGGTCAGAAAAATGAGGAGGCAGGTGAGAAGGAGACCAAGAAGGAAAAGGAGGCTCCTCCCCCGCCACCCCCTCATGGCGACAAGACTCCCTGGCAGGTGTTCACGGAAACATTAAGGTCTGAATTCAAAGCGTCGAAGGAGTGGAACGAGTCCACAAAGGCCCTAGCTTCCTCGGCAAATCAATTCACAGAGAGTGAATCGGTTCGAAGGGCACGCGCTGCGTACCAGGCTGCTTCCGATGCTGCTTCTTCTACAACGTCCTCTGCTCTGAAACAGACGGGCCGAGCGCTTGGAAAGGGAGCAGCCTGGACTTGGGACACGTCAGTAGTTAAGGGCCTCCGGAAGGGTGTCACTGCTACCGGTAAAGGTATCGAGAAGGTTACTAAGCCGGTCCGCGACACTAAGGCCTACAAAGAGATGAAAGAGGTCATAGATGATGGTAGCAGCTCTCGCTATGGAGGCTGGGTTGAAAAGGAAGAGCGAAGGAAGCAAAGAGAATTAAGAGAACTTAGAGATGTGAAGGAGGGCAAACTTCACAAAGTGGAACCAATGGAAGAGGACCCCAAGTAAGTCCCCCGAGTATATGGGAAAGGAGTTCAAATACTGACAGCTTGCTAGCGCTGGCACAAATATCACTGTCCATAAAGATGCCGCCTGGAAGGAATCCTGGCGTGAATTCAGGGATTCCAGCCGCATCATGCAACAATACTTTAATCTCAAAAATACCTACAATGAATCTGAGAATCCTTTAATTTCCACCGCCCGCAGCATATCTGACCGAGTGGCGGGCTTCTTCGCCGAGAACGAAACCGCAATGGTGATCAAGAAATTTCGCCAGATGGATCCCAACTTCCAGATCGAACCATTCTTGCGCGAGATGCGAGAGTATATACTCCCCGAAGTTTTAGATGCCTACGTCAAGGGTGATGCTGAGACCCTTAAGCTTTGGCTATCCGATGCGCAATTCCATGTGTACGCAGCTCTGGCAAAACAATATACCACTGCGGGCCTAAAATCAGATGGCCGTATCCTTGATATTCGCCATGTGGACATCTCCCATGCGCGGATGTTGGAGCCGGGGGACATTCCTGTTTTCATCGTGACTTGCCGAACTCAGGAGGTGCATGTTTATCGCAACGCCAAAACGAACGAGCTCGCTGCCGGTATGGAAGATAAAGTCCAATTAGTGACTTATGCAATCGGCGTGACCAGAATTCCGGAGGACGTTAATAATCCGGAAACCAGAGGTTGGAGAATGATTGAGCTTCAAAAGTCCGGCCGGGACTATATATGATCGAAGTCCCAATTTTGATCTCTTTCAATAAAAATAAAAGAAGCGAATGTCGTTTATTCTTTCCAGGTCCATCTTTGCCCTTCCTGCACGGTTTAATCCCTGCCTGTTTTAGTACTATTATGTCGATTCCCTTTCTTTGTCCTGCATAGCCCTGGCCTTTGGAGCTATTCCCGTCCTCGATGTACACTATTATTTGGAGTCCATATAGATCATGATCTGGTGGGATAAATGCCTTTTCTTTTCATTTCTTTACGTTGTCTCCTTCGATGCGTGGGCGCCTGTGACTTGCACCGGTTTTTCTTCCCATATGGTTGCAAAGGGGTTGGATTTGTTAGTTTACGAGATGCGTCATCCTCTCTTCTCATGGATATTCACTGTAAATACAAGCAAGCTTTTAGGGCCTGCGGTCTGGAAAATAATAAGATTGTCTCTCTTCAGCTTGAGCCTCTTGAAAATGCCGATGGTGACATACTTATAGATTATAGTGGTAGCGGTATTCTTCAAGACATTTGTCCATCGCCAAACCTCGCTTCTGGTACAACTTGACAAGTGTAAATGATCTTGAAATAGAACGCCCAAACCCCCAAGGCCGTGGCACGTCACTTATAACGGCCGTCGATACGTGGGTCTCCAAGGAGAAACAAAGTGCAGCCATTATTAGAAGTAATACAATTATTGCCCTCTTCCGGCACCTCTTCCACCACCCATGAGATTGCGAGCCCTGGGGTATGACCGGTTAACAGAAGCCCATGGGATTTTAAAGGTTATAAAACTTACATTTCAGCAATGTTCGGATCATTCATCAGGCTCGACATATCGGGAAGACCGCCTTGACCGCCACCGAAATTCTCAGCCATCTGTCTCAAGCGTGGGTTGCTCATAAGGTTGTTTAACATGTCCGGATTGCTCATAATATTCTGTGCCATGCTGGCAAACATCGGATTGTTCATTATGGAGCTAAGGTCAGGCATGCCACCGCCCGCACCGCCGCCAGCCCCACCACCTCCGAGCATGCTAGCAAGGGACGAGAGGTCAGGCATGCCGCCAGCACCGCGTGTGGAGCCGGCCGCATCATCAACATCTTCTGCAGGCGGCTCATTATCCTTCTTCTCCATTTCTTCAATCCGCTTCCTAGCGGTCTCCAGGCCCTTTTTCATACCCTCGCTCCCACCGTTGCCCTCAGCTTCGATGCCTTTCTCGTAGGCTTCAGCGGCACCTTTCGCATCACCAAGCGCAAATTTGGCAAGGCCCAGCCTGCTCCAGGCCTTTACGTATTTCGGATCAGCAGCCACAGCCACCTCAGCGTCTTCCACGGCTCTTGCATGGTTTCCAGAAGCAGAGAAGGCAGCGGCACGGTTGGACAGATAAATTGGGTTTGCAGGGGCAATTTCAAGTGCTTTAGTGTAGAAGGAGATGGCTCCAATGTAGTCTTTACGAGCCATTGCCGCATTGCCCTCTGACTTCAATCTATCCGATTCCTCGGTAGGCGCACCTGGGGTTGGTTTAGAGGCAGCAGGTTTTGATTCACTACCGGCATCTTTGCTAGGCTTAGCGGCAGTGCCTTTGCCCTTAAGCTTTTCGTACACTGTATAAATGCTCAAAAGCGACTGGCCTCCTAGGGCGTCCTGCGTGGCGGCCTTGTTTGAAGGGTCGACCTTGAAGGCGTCGGCGATGCATGACTGGGCAATCTCCATTGACTCGGCATCTTCGGCGGAGAGAGTACCATCTTTGGCACTTGTGCTAAGAAAATCTATTATGGCCAAGGCCAGTTTTTTCTTTGATTCCGTGAGGGCCTAGGAGGGATCTGTTAGCAACGATGCTGGGTGACAGGGCTCATCGCGGGGTAAGCATCCTGAGAAACACGGGACCGTCGGGGGAAGAAGGGCGAGTACCATCTTTTAAACAGGGAATGTAAACTTGGTGCAGCTCTGCGACTGGATTCCAAGTTGGAAGAATAGCAGATCGCAAAGAGTCGAAGAACAGGAGTTAGCCCTCGGGACGTCGAGAAGCTGGCGATTTCGCCATGGAGCTGGGATGATCACATGACAGAGCCGTTCTCCCTTCAGGACTTCCGCTATCGTCGCAAAAAAAAGGCCATCGACACAACGGCAAGGAGCACCGAACGGACAATTATCGAAGCTTCGTCTCCACAATGGTATCGGTCCCTAAAGATGATCCAATGTGATTGGTGTTTAAACTCATCTACAATCACGACCAGCAATGTACTGGCCACATGGAGTACCTAGAATCTATGCGGTCAATGGCCCGGGCATTGAATTGCCGGAAGTGGATGGCGGCGCAGCTCAAGATGAGAATACCACGGACGGCCCTCCCGAGGAGCAGCTAAGAACGGGGGAGCAAGGGGAGCGGGCAGCCGATGCTGAGCAGGGAGGATGGGCGAACGGACCCATAACGGGTTTATGTGTCTCCAAGAACGGCCTTTATTTTGCGACAATGTCCCAGTCCTCCCTTGCGATCTGGCAGACCAAGGTATGCCGTTTCCTTGCTTATATGTGTTTTCCAATATTAACTGATCCGCAGCCCACTGCAGTCATCGCTGCAGTGAAACGCTCGTCACGCTCTCTGAAAAACTACGGCCCAAATGTGTCCCTCCTGCTACGACCAGATGCTGCCATTGTTGTCGTTCAGACTCTTAACGGATACCTCATCACGTATTCCATCGCGGTCTCCTCGAATTCCCATGCCTACCAGCATCGTTTTATGCATACCCAGCCAAGGCGTCACCAACAGGTCTCAGCAGACGATGCACAGGGCATTCGGGAGGCGAGCATCCGGTTTAGAGTAGTCATCAAGGTCGACGCTGGAATAAGCAAGGCACTTGCTCTCGATAATGAGCTGATGGTGGCTACTGTGAAACCTGCAGCAATCCAGTCCATCCGGTGGACTCCGGATAAAAATGGACATCAGACCACAACCGAGCTGTTGCACCGCATCCCATGGCTTTCCAAGAAGACCGCCGTTGTGGATATGGTATATGACCGTGCAATGAATTTGCTATTATGGATTACGAGTGAGGGACAAGCCTACGCTGTGCAGCATAGCGTCGAAGAATCTCAGGATGGCAATCCGCCCAAATCCATCTTCAAGGGTCACAGGTTTCACACCCCGGAGAATGACGGCCAGAAGGCGGTACAAGTTGCTGTAAATGCGAGATTCTCTCTTCTTGCAGTTAGCTGTGTTAATGGCGACATTCTTATATATTTAGCCCGAGACTACATGGGAAACATCCCTCTGTCCCACAAACTTGCTCTTCCTGCATCTGCGGCTTCCTTGGGTGCCATATCTTTCATGGGCTATTCTCCTGATGGCTATTGCTTATTTGCAGGATATATGCACGGCTGGACAACATGGAGTGTGTTCGGAAAACCGGGAGGTAACAGCTTTGCTGCAGATTCCTCACTGGCTTTGAGAAACGGTGAAGCATGGTTGGCCGGTGTCTCCATGGGTGCATGGATAGGTTATGGATCGGATATTCTTTTAACGTCCAACAATGACAGACGATTGTGGATCCTTGAGTTCGCAAGGAGTGCTTTGACTGGATGCTTTTCATCTGCAAACCTTGCCCGTGGGCTATTACAAACTGGCACCGAGATAATTCTATATCGTGGCCATGATTTGCCGGACTTGACTACTATATCGGGGAAAGATTCGCTATGGCACCATGCGCAGTATCCTCCACGCTACGTTCATTCACAATGGCCAATTCGATCGTCTTGTGTGTCCCAAGATGGAAGATACGTGGCCATTGCCGGGAGGCGGGGCCTTGCGCACTACAGTGTCCAAAGCAATAGATGGAAAATTTTTGACGATCCAAGACAGGAAGATTCCTTTGCTGTCCAAGGTGGCATGTGCTGGTATGGCCATATCTTGATTGCTGCAGTCGAATGCAATGCTGCATATGAGGTGATACGTCCACTCCATCGATCCTCATTCCGTGCTAACCTTTTTAGCTCCGAATGTACTCTCGTGAGCTTTCACTAAACGGCTCTTCTGTTCTGTATATCGAAGCCCTCCCGTCACCGGCGGTGTTCATCGGTCCTTCTGGCGAGGACTCTTTGCTAGTTTACACCTACGAGAACATTCTTTATCACTACGTTATAAATACGACAGGGACGAGAATTAGCCTTGTTCAGGTCGGCCAAATAGCTTTTCATGGAATTGTTCGGGCGCCTACCCGTGTGCGTGCTATTAGCTGGGTTTTACCTGAGGATCAGCTCCGTGAGTACTGTGTTGCAATTCTCATCTGCGGCCTGCCATTTAACTTTTCAACGCCTAGGAAATGGAGATCCTTCGCAAGATGTTGCCGTGGCTTCAGTTCTTTTCCTGGTAGACGGGAAACTGGTTTTGCTACAGCCAACCGTCTCTGAAGGAGAGTTGAAATATGATATGCGTATTGTAGTACATGATGTCGAATATTACATATTGATGCGGGATCAACTTTCTTTCAATTTTGCACCACCAGGAGATGAATCGTTACCGCCAAGTCCTTCAGCAGTTTCCGCTTTGAATAGTATCCAGTCTGATATCTCTTTGCGAGATTCATTGTGGGTGTTTGGTGGCAAGGATTTACTTGTTTGGACCGACGTCCAGGATGTGATCCGACCGAAAGGGCCATCCAGCGAAATCTCGAAGCCGCTCCCAATTCCTATTGATTTTTATCCATTATCAATTCTTCTTAATAAAGGCATTATTCTCGGAATTGAGCCCGAGATTACCCAACGGCGAGACGTTACATTTACTTTGCATCGATTTGCGATCCGAGTATGTTTAGATTTGTATCCCCAGGCATTGAATTTTCGCTAATAACTTTCCAGAGCCAATTATTTTTGCCATATATCCTTCAATATAACCTGTCTCAGTTTGATACCCCTTCAGCCTTTTCTATCTGTCACCATTTCTCTCACCTATCATATTTCCCCCACGCCTTAGAGATACTCTTACACCATGTACTAGATGAAGAAGTTGATAATCCACGCGGCAACGATCCGTCACAAGGGGCCCTGTTGCTTCCTGCCGTCCTATCGTTCTTACAGGCTGGGAACCCTCCAGAATTATATCTGGACATTCTCGTCCAATGTATCCGGAAAACGGAGCTACGTTCATGGCGGACACTGTTCGCCCATCTGCCTCCGCCGAGTGAACTATTCGAACAAGCGCTAAAATTTAACTCTCTCAAGACAGCTGGGGGTTATTTACTCGTGCTACAAGCGTTTGATGACTCCGAAGATGAAAACAACGACGAGAAGACCGAAGAATCAGCAATTCGATTGTTGCGGCTAGCTTCACATAAGGGAGACTGGGAGTTGTGCGGTGAACTTGCTCGCTTCCTGATGGCTCTAGATAGCTCAGGAAATATGCTTAGACGTGCTGTCGTCAAGGTTGGATTGCGTGGGGATCAGCTTTCACTGCCGAGAGTGAACGCCAATGGCGTACCAACCCAGGAGCTGAAAGGATTAAATTTAAATATAGCATCACCGGGATCTAGCCCGCTGTCCCCGAATGATAGCGGGAGTGGCCCATAAGCAATGTCTGATATTGTTCACGTTGGAATCCAATGCTGGACAAGTAGATGGTTTGCGGACAAATTCAACCTAATGGCAGAATTTATAACTTCCTCACGAAAATACTCGATGATGACTTTTCGCTAGTAAATAGTCTTTTCTCCCTATGACTCCCCTCGTACCCCGGCTTCGAGGTATCTCAACACTTTCCGCGCGTCTTCTAGTTCGCGCACACGTTTGATAATGTCATTATACCGCAGTTCAGGCTCACATTAATCATAAGTGCATGCTATGGGTGTGTAAACGTCGAGTAAACCCCATACGCCAAAACCAGCATAACTTCGAGGGAAAAACAACTTAGAACAGGAAAAGAGAGTAGTGAGGCCCGGAAGCAGAATGAAGAAAAATCAAAAAAAAAGACGATCCTTCAATCAAACTGCAAATTCCACAAGCCATCACCAAGATAATGGCCCTCATCCATCACCACCCCCTTCGCCTTCTTCTTCATCTCCTCCGTACCCATCTTCAACTCCCCCACAAGACAGATCTCCTCCTTCCCCTCCGCCGTGACCGCAACGACCTGCCCTGCCTCCAGCTCTTTGTCACCAGGGTTATTCGCGGGATCGGGCAATCTCCCGCCAGCAGATGTGAGGCCGGGAGCCATCAGAGTGGCGCCGGAGAGGACGAAGCGGATCGCGCCTCTGTCGATTCCGATAGTCGGCAGGGCGTTTGGAAAGGCGTGGAGGACACGGAGGTGAGGGATCAGGGGGCTGTCGAGGGATTGGAAGAAGATTGGGTGTGAGTCGCTGAGGTACAGGGTGACTCGATCGGGTCTAAGAGGTCAAGTTCAAAACAGTTAACCATTGATGAAAGTTGTATATCAAGAAGGGGAAACCGGAGACAAGCAGGTTAGTTAGGAGAAAGAGGGAGGGAGGGTGTGTATACAGTTTCACGGCTTCTAACGGCGCCTTTTTTGGCATCACTTCATCGATGTATGGTTCGAAACCGGGATAGGTTTCAAGGAACTTGTTTCGGAGAGATCGTTGCACGGACGACTTGACTTTGGAGCGCGCCCCGGGGGATATACTACAATTGTCGGGTTAGCATACGGATTTAGATGTGTGACTTCTACCAAGGACGATATATATATGAATATTTCGTGTTTAAAATCCCATAAGATATTGAAAAATAGCTTATATCCATGCATCACTTGGGCTGTTCGCGCGCACGTAGAGGATGGCGGGGTAGAGAGGACGTGATTTTAAGGGTTTCTCTGGTAGGATACGCACTCTTTTTTGAACATTTTGTCGCAATTTGACAGAGCAGATGTGTACGGATATGTATTCGAGTGCACAGCCAAGGAACCGATTTGGATGAGGCGCGCTGGAGGTTGAGAAATATCTCCTGGCTCCCTGCGGACCTGCGGGGAGGCTGCCATCCTGATTAGGGCTTTCTGTTCACATGATCTTATCAATTCTACGCAGCGATACACCCAAAACACACGCGAAGATCAGAGATGTGGACGCTATTAAATCCTATTCGTTTATCATGGATCGTATTAATTTCTAATTCGAAATGCCGAATTTTCGTATTAACTCAAAAAAGGGTTTGTACTCTATATCGGAAATAGGTTTCCAATCTAACCCTTGGCGGCTCCGGCCTTGATCAAGATGATATCCCCATCTTCGACGACATAATCTTTACCCTTTGTCAGCACCTTGCCGGCAGCCTTGACAGCTGCTTCGTCACCATGCTCCTTCAATACATTGTAATTAAAAACAATGCACTGGATAAAAGTCTTTTCGAAATCTTTGGTTCCATCAGCACGAAGTTCAAACGAACCATGGAGGGAAGAGAAGCATACCTGAATGGATAACGCCAGCGGCCTGTGGAGCCTTAGTTCCTTTTCGAATGGTCCATTGTCTTACTTCATCAGCTCCAGTGGTGAAAAAGCTACCCAGGTTAAGCGCTTGACGCATGGTCACAATGATCTTAGGCAAAGCCGACTTAGTGCCGAGCTTCTTGCATTCTTCCTCGGCGGCGGCATCACTTTCAAAGCGAGTCAACCGCTCTTCAAAAGCTACAGAGAGAGGAATAATTGGATCTCCTTCAGAGTTCTTCTTAATCCACTCCGCAACCTTCGGGATATATTTGTTCTTTTGTCGAATATAGTCTTTCTCACTGAGATTGATAAGATATACAACAGGCTTAGCAGTCAGGAGGAAGAGAGGATTGATGACCTCGACCTATTGTCACACATGTTAGTAACCATGTGGCCTCACATCTAAATTCGCGTTGGGAATAGATGGTATAAAACAGGCAAATTATCAGGGTTGGACTTCATCTCAGGATGTCCTCAACGTGAGAATAAACGAGAACATTCGACGAGCTGGGATTATATCGAGCTTATAGCTCTTATTCATCATAATAGCCAGTACTGGGAGCAAAAAATAAATAAAAAAATAAAAGGGATAATTAATAACATACCTCTTTGGGAGACCAGTCACCCTTTCTAATATCTTTTCCGTCTTTCAGGAACTGTAGGAGCTTAGCGACAGTAGCTTCCTCTTCTTTTAGTTTCTTCATTTCCAAGCTCTGTCCACCTCTTCTCGTCTGCTTGGACAAGGCCTCTAAAGCCTTCTCAACGAACTCAATATCCTTAATCCGGAGCTCTTCACTGATAATTTCCAGGTCTCGTACGGGGTCAACATCTCCCTCGACGTGGATAATTTCAGCATCATCAAAGCATCGGACAACTTGGAATATGGCATCGACTGCTCGGATATGTGACAAAAAGGCATTGCCGAGACCAGCACCGGTGGAAGCACCACGCGTTAGGCCGGCGATGTCATATACTGTCAAGTTTGCAGGAACCTGAGACTTGGGTTTATAATGCTCACAGAGCCAGTCGTAGCGTTCGTCGGGAACAATGACACGAGCCTCTTCAGGGTCGATTGTGGCGTATGGAAAGTTTGCAGGGTTACCTAACGAGCATTTTGTGATAGCCTGGAAAAGCGTCGATTTACCGACGTTCGCTAGACCAACCTGCAGACGATCGAAAGGTTAGTACATCGAAATCCACCGAGCCACAAGATGGCTGAGAAAGTGAAGTCAAAAAGAAGACGAACAGAGTCGAAGAACAGACAATGCGATTGAGTCCGCACGTACGATACCGCTTTTCAGGTTGTTTCCAGGACGGCCCAGAGGGACTTTCTCCTCCTTAACTTGCTTCTTGGGGGGCATTTTCTTCTTCTTGCTAGCGTAAGTGCGAAAGACTATGCAGTGAGTGGAGAGTGTGATGCGTGGACCTTTGGAGGAGGTAGCCCTTAGGTGAAAAGCAGGACCAGCTGCGACCTGTGAAAATGAAGAGTAGAAAGAAGAGAAGGATATGCGAGATATTGTGAAGGACGACACGATGACAAGACCCAATGGGGTCAATAGGCGTGATGACCAGGAAAAAAAGAGGGTAGAGGCGGAGAGGGAGGGGAGGGGCAGAAGTGGTGGTGGTGTGGAAAATGCAGGATGTTTTTGGTTGTGCAGGTTGCAGATGAAATTTTTTTTTCTTTCGCTGAAATTCTCGCTGGGGCGGCGGGTTGGGGGGGGGATCACGTGACAACTACCCCTGGAACCTTGGCCAAACCTAACCGCCCGGCTATCATCCAGCAGCAGAAGCATGTAGGATGTACAGGAGTACAGGAGTACTCTGTACGGGAAAACGAATACTCCTCTCCATGGAAGCGCATCACAAAGCTATGCTACAGGTAACATTAGAACTATAATCGCCCAGAGAGCCTCCTCATCGATGTAAACTCCAGAGTGCCCATCCGACGTGCTTCCAAATAGGCCAACCATGAAAACCCCCCGTCAGCGCCAGCAAACCCGTAAGAACTTCTTGAGCAAAGATCAAGTAATAACTAGGTGATGACCATAGCATCGGCTTCATTTTTATCTTCGTCGAGGATCCCAAGCAAGTGGGCATATGGAACGGTAATTCGTTGTAAATCTCGATGTTTTCCTAGAAATGAATCAGTAAAGCCGCCAGCGCGAGGAGAATCTCCAAAGGCACGGGAGGAAAAAGAAGAAGAAAAAGAAAAAAGAAACTCACCAAGAGCAAGGACTACTTCCTTCAGTAGATCACGTCGCGGCCAGCCGCAGATAGTGTCTGATTCACACTCCCAAAGCCCTTCTTCTGAATTTTTGCCTTTGTCACCCGTCACGGAATTTTCCTTCTCCTCACCCTCGGAGAAGATCCCACCGATGAGTCCTTCCAACAACTCTTCCGTCTTCATTTTCAACCCCTCTGCCCCCAGGCGTTTTGCGTACATCAGTAGGTATAAACGAAACTCTTCCTTTGCCCCCAAGGAAAGTGCAGCTGCAACACGGTTTTCAAGGTGGGCAATAGAAGCGCCCGCTTCAAAGCTCTCAAACCCTTCCTTGGAGAGCAGTACCTTAATGAGTCTCTGTAGAAAATATGCACGTCCGCGAACGACAATTTCATCCGTAGTATTTCTTTCAAGGAAGGGAATAATTCCCGCAGATATTGCCGCATCAGGCCCGGTCTGATTTCGAGCCAACTGTAGGTCGCCCACTGAAGAATCAGTAGTATTCCAATACTGGCTCGCCACCGCAAACCAGGGCTCCGACAGTCGCTGCCAGGTATACAATGAAGGGTTATAGCTATAGCCATCCCCGTTCGACACTGCTAGGATGATGCGGCCCTGAGAGCTGATTCGCGCAGCGATAATCGAGGGCACCGTTGTGGGGGTTTGGGTCATCGTGTGTACCGCCGCGTCGAGCACGGGGGCTAACGAAATGGGCGGATGGGGGGAGGTGAGGGTGGTAACGTTCCAAACATAGCACATGCCAACCGCTGTTATACACAGCAGCCAAGATTCCCTGCATTCAAGAAGCACCGGCTGTGCTTCTAGGACAAGAGCACTGACAAGGCGGCGCCCCGCTGGTGTCCAAATATACACTGAACCGTCTTCCGTGGCAGCGGCCCAAAACTTTTTGTTTCCGGTGACGAGAAGGACAGCTTTTGGAAGGAAATCCTGCCACAGAGGCTGGTCGCCGCGCGTAAGACTTACTCTCGAAGGTTCGCGATCGGTCACCCGACCCGTTAAACTGGGCCCAGAATGATTGCGAGCTTCAAGTGTAAGGTCCGCTTTTGACTGGGACGAGGATGCCAAACCCGAAGACACACTAGTAGGATTCCCAAAGGTATCGATGCCTTGGACGATATGGACCCTAACTTTCGGTACCGCTAATCTGATTTGACTTACCGCCATGACAGGGTTAACCACCGCAGGCCGAATAAACTCCGGCGTCTCTTGTAGCTCACGTGCGGTCTGTGCTGCTGGAACAAGCCCATCCGGCTCATTGATGAGAACCGGGTTTGCTCCGTGTTGGCTTGCAGCTGCAACTCGCTTCTCCACAGAGTTATCCTCTCCGTCTTCCATCTGAGCAAATTTTCGTTTGTTACCAAACAATATTGCAGCAATTCCGCCTTTTGGAAGACCATCAAACGGCTTCGACAGATCCAGGACGGTTTCTGGACCCTCGGACCTGCCAGCCAGCCCGCTCGCTGACGAAGCAACCAGTCTCGACTGAGGAAGCGATGATTGCGTACCGCCAGCGCCAGACACTAACAGCGGTGCGATGCGCTTCTTGCCATCTTTCGTATATGTTGGTCGCTGCTTCAGTCTCTCCAGCTTCGCAGCATAAGGGTCCGGCTTCTCTTGATCTCCAGGGGTTCCGTTCGGTGTTCCATTTTGTTGCGGCTTCTGAGTTCCGGTGGGCGTCGCAGTGCCCGCAGTTGCAGCTCCGCTCCTAGATAAATCTCCGGGAGTACCATTTACCCCTTGGTCGGTTGACGGATGGCCGTCTCCCATCAACGCTCCCATACGACCTTCGACACCTTTGATTTCTCCCGCTTTACTCATCTCTTCAAGCAATAAACCATTGGCTGATTCCACAATCCCAGCACCTCTCCGACTTGTGCCAAACTTGGTTAAAGATTTCTCGTTTTCCTCCATTGGCATGGGGTAACCAAGTTCCTGATCTTCAAAGCGTACGACTAATATCGTTCCATCAAGCGCTGTGGCGAATAGGTTTTTTCCATCAGGACTCCACGCGAGATCAGAGATCGCCTTCGCGGATAGATCTTGAGTTATAACAATGGGACGCGGGTTGATCGTAATCCAGACACTTAGGGATTTGTCTCCACCAGCACATGCGATTACCGTCACAAGCGTGGGGCCGGCGTTTCCTTGGTTATCAGTTGCGTTTTTGCCCGGCGGACTAAATGAATATAGTCTTGGGGAAAAAGCACAGACTTCAACTGGTGCTTCATGGCCAATCAGGTTAATATCACTATCCCAAGAACCGCGATTTATGATTGCAGCTGCGCTAACAGGTCCATTGACGGCATTCGCGGCGGCAATATGGGTTCCGTCCGGAGACCAGGAGCAACGTCGAAAATAAGTTGTCAATGGAGAGTTCACAAACGGTGCTTTAACAGTGTGTTCTAAGACGAAATTTTGAATCTGGTCGTGAGCAGTGGAGTTTGGAGTGGGAGAAGTAAACCGAAATATCCGTATCGTGCGGTCATCACTTGCAGTAGCGAAATATTTATTTGCTGGATCGAAAGTAATCCCTTTGACGTGACTTTGATGGCTTGGGATAGTCTTCAGCTTCTCAAATGTATGCCCGGACCACACCACGACCTTAGAATCCAAGCCCACAGACACCAGTATGGAGGAGTCCCATGACCATCCTAAATCTTGCACATCATTGTCATGGCCTATCAACCTTCGTATGGTGCGCCAGTTCTCGACTGGCGGAGGTTCATTTGTTCCTATGAACGGAAATTTTATCAGCTCTCCTATCCGCTCCGAGACCCCCAAATCCTCAAGAAAGCTTACCGAAAGTCGAAGTATGTGAGGGAGGATTCGGTTCATGTACATATACACAAACAATCTTATCATCTGCGCCGGAAGCGAGATATTTCCCGTTGTGAGAGAATCGAACCGCATGGATAGTACCCGAGTGATTGCTCAACGACGCCAATTGCTTAGGTTTATCTGCATACTCTGGGTCCGCCGCATTGTAGATCGCGTCCGTAGACCATATCCTAACGTAGCCATCTGTATCTCAAGTTGACCATGGGCCGGTCGTATTTGTTAGCTATTGTCCACTACCAGAACCGGAATGAAGGATGCGAAATATAACATCGAGTCGCAAGAAATAATGGAAAAAAAAAATGAGGCGCGCAGAAGCCCATCGTCGCTTACCTCCAGCGGCTGTGACAAGTCTTTTCCCATCTGGCGAGACGTCGCAACTATAGACTTCATAATCCTTTCGGTCACCTACGTGAAAGTAGAGTAATGGTCAGCTCAATGCTCCAAGGCGGCAAGAACCTAGAAACCATTGCAAGACTCTACCTCCGTGTGTCAGCCAGACAGGCTTGATAATATGCATTTCAACGCTTTTCGCCCGATAGTTATTTGAGAGCGTGGTTGGGTTTGAATTCGGCGTGGTGGCCGGAGCCTGTGATCACTGGATATTCAGGGAGCGAGCTGATCACGCATGGCAATGCGGGATGGTCTTTGAGAGCGAAATTAAATTCGGTTGGCCAGTTGTCCGAGCGGATAATTGCGAATGAAAATAAATCAAATAATGAGACAAACCAGATGGTCAAAGAGCCACGGTTATGACTGAGGCTTCGCTGCTTCGCGTGGTGTCGTCGCCGATGATCTGCAGGTGGTGGAAGGACAAAGTTAACTAAATAGGCGTGCGTCTAGTTGCAGATTGGTTCGCTCACTGATTACATGGATACGAAAGCTTAGGTCCCAGCACAACCGGGAAGCTTAGTACAACCTTGAGGTTATCAAAATAGAGTATTCATACAAAGATCGCCTATCATACACTTTTGGTATCGGGCAAGTATCCCATGCAAACCCCCCTGCCATCTAGAGACAAATGATTCTTCTTTTTCCGATGTCGACGAGCCGTTTGTTACGCGCATCCAGGACCAGAACGCCGGCAATTATGCTGAGCGGCGAAGCCAAGTTTGGAAACCAAATATACCGAAAACGCTAGATTAAAACACATGAAGAAGTGGATATCAATTTAGATTAGAACTCATGGCCTCCTGCGGTGACTCGTTTCCTCGAAGGATTCCAGGACGCTTTCGGCAACCTCACTTTGTTGAGGAGCAGGGGAATCAGGCTGTTGAGTGCTCTGAGGGGCTGCTTCTTGATGGAGACCACGGTCTGTCTCAACGCTTCTGCGATCCCGCGCTTCCTTTTCACCTGTACCCTGTGGAAGAATGGCCTTTGCGGCAAGGGCTTTAGCCTGGCCTTCATTGACCTTGCCATAGACAGCCAAAGCGCTAGCTATCATGCCTCCCATGTCTCCAACGTTACCCGGAACCACGACTGCAGTCCCTTCCCGGGCAAGTTTTCCAAAGGCATCAACATACTTCTCGGCAACAGACAAACTGACAGCTGCCTGGGCATTCTGTTGACCATCCTCTATGGCCCTTGCGATAGCATCAATTCCACGTGCGGTTGCATCAGCCTTTAGTCGGATCGACCTTGCTTCACCCTCTGCTAGGTTAATCTGCTCCATTTTTAAGGCTTCGGAGGCCAAGATCACGGATTGTTTCCGACCCTCTGCGATGTTGATTGCGCTCTGTCTCTGACCTTCAGATTCCAAAATTTCAGCTCTCTTGGATCTTTCTGCGGTGACTTGACGATGCATAGCCGCCACAACTCCTTCAGGAGCATGGATATCTCTTATTTCGTAACGAAGACATACCACGCCCCAATCCTGCGCGGCCTCGTTGATGGCTTGAGAAATATTCGCATTAAGATTAGCTCGTTCTTTAAGGACGTGGTCTAGAGTGAGCTGGCCAATTTCCGAACGCATGGTCGTCTGGGCCAATTGAGAAATCGCGTATTCGGCGTCTTCTACACCATAACTATAAACACGACCTTAGGTTAATAATTCCGCTTCAACGCCACGGTGGCTTGTCAAATAAAATGTAAAGATAATCGCATACCTAGCCTTGTACGCGTCAAACACTCTAGTATAAAGCACTCCGTCCAGCTCCAGCGTCACGTTATCGGCTGTGATAGCATTCTGGCTTGGTATCTCAATCGCCACTTCCTTCAAGCTCTTCACATAGGCAATCCGGTCAATAAACGGCATCAAAATCGCCAATCCCGGTTCTAAAATCCTGTGAAATTTCCCCATCCGCTCCACAATCCATGCCGTCTGCTGCGGAACAAATCTAATAATCGTATTTGCGGGTAGCGACTGACGATTGGAAAAGTAGGTTGGGGGAACGGAACCGCCACCGCTAGAAGCGGAGAGATTGAGGAACGAGTTATCTGCGGCAAGACCTCGCGAACTGTTGAACTGCCGTCTTGAAAGGCTCCGATTCTGGACGAGGCAGAGATTGGCCGAGGCTGCTGTCGGCCATGCTGGAATCGTCGAGGGGCGCCAAAGGTGCGTAGAGCTGGAGGCGAGCAACCTCCTCGACAGGATTGATCCACGCGCCACCTCCATACTGAGCAAACTGTAGGTTGAAAAGGAAAATTCTTGTCCAGTAATATTTGTTGATAACAGCCTGGAATTATTGCCGTCGCGATAATGCCGTCAAGGTTGGCAGACACACGGTCACATGACTAACCATCAAAAACCGTACAAGCGGCGGTGACGAAGGTACCAGATAAATAATTTACTATTATATAAATCTTTTTTTTTTTTTTTTTTTTACTGGGGCCTATCTGATAAAAGCTACGACTCAGAATTATCCACAGCATGCAGACTTGATCCTCCATAGTAGGTCACGGGTAATCCATTATGAGTCAGAACAAACAACAGATAGAAATGGACGCGAGTTAGATCGAGAGTCTCAAACTGAGAGAAAAGAAAGGTCACGAATGAAAACTAATGTGAAAATACGATCAGGGAACATCGATCTTGTAACAGACATAGAAAGACAAAGGCATAAAGAACACAATAATCAGAAATGAAACCCATGCCATCATGGTAAGTGCTTTTTGAAACGCGTCCTTGGACAAAAATTGGGAAATAAACATCAAACTAAGACCCTGACAGACATGCAGCAAACCGTAAAATCATTAAGACCAAATTTTTAAGAGAAAATCAAAACAGCATCCTGCTATTCCATGAAGGTCCCTTTATCCCGCATGAGCCATTGTGGCCAATGCTCGGCTGAGTCGAAGGCCAAAGAGAACGCAACGGCAGCAGGGTGATGCGCAAAAGCATGACATTCCATAGACAGCGGAAGTAGAAAGATCGAGGAAAATGAAGTGAGGCGCCTGTCAAAGGTCCGAATCGAAATGCCGAAGAGAAAAATGGTGAAAAAGTGTAACCCCAGAACTTGACCAAATGAGATTTTCCATTTATAATGCAATATTTTAAACGTGACTTGTATTTCCTTAAAGATGAGATATTTTTCTTTTTTTTTTTTTTTGGCAATCCGGGGTATGGGTGGTGGGTCATATTCGTAGAGAGAAGGGCGAAACAAAATACTGAGGTCGACGTCAATTCTATCAGAACAGCAGGATTGATCTCGGAATTGGTGTGATATAGCGGACAAATCGACATGCGCATCTCGAAGAAAATATCACGGCGACTGCTCACTAGAGGTAAAAAGTCTGAATAAATCGCTCTTGACAGCGGGCACGGTTATACGAAATCGGATATCAGGACGAGGGTTGCGGAAGGATGAGCATTAATAATAGAAGACCGTTCTAACTGAAAATTTGATGCGCAAATTAAACCTTCGCAAGACAGTTAACGTTCCAGTTCGGCTCGTAAATTGTCGTCAATCAAACCATCGATTTTCTTTCTGCTTCTGAGGTTAAACGCGCCGTTCCTCCATGCACATCGAAGACGTTGAAAAGCGGGCCGCTCCTTATCGCCGGTTTCCGATTTCACAAGCGCGATAAGATCACGAGCAACACCATCACCGATCGGTCTGTTGCTTGAAAGAACGCCATCATAGAACTTGATGAGATATCGAAGACCAACGGTAGAACTTCTAGACGAAACATCATCAAACGCCAAGCTCCTAAACTCATTGTACATTCGAGAATTAAAATTTCGAACCAAGAAGTGAGACCAAAATTGATAGAGCACATCCATATCCACAAGTGTTTCACTCAAAGAGTCGGATAGACGCTTCTCAAGGGCCTGCGTGCGGAATACGGTGTAAGACTCGTGAACAAGACCTGTCGGAAGGGATTCGATGGGAGACTTGTCGTTTTTAATCCAGAACGTAGGTAAAGGACCGCTTGCTTGCTCAGAAGACTTGATCAACGAGTGTGACTTTGGTAAGCAGGCGGATTTCCTTCGTCGATCCACATCGGCACTAAACGTCATTAGCAAGTAAACAAGCGATTCGGGATTGACCTGACCGGTACCTATCTGACCCGGGTGAACTTCCGTGAGCAACTAACGGCGACTGATTTTCTGCATTTAATTGCCCGAGGGCTGCTTTATAACCGTCAACAAATCCATTGGAGAAAGAACGAGACGAGGGCCCGAGAAAAGGCGACTGAGCTGGGCTGGGAATTCCAGGCTTACGCACCACAATCACCAAATCCCCGATTTGCTCGTCTGGAAAGGTATTTTCAGAAACGGGATCTCTCTCACTAACATTTTCATTCTGTGTCGTCGGAGGGACCAGAGGAGAGAATTCGGCTGCAGTGGAAGACAACTTGACAGAACGAGCGGGGGCTTGGCTATTGGCAGTGTCCAACGACGGCGCACTTGATGATGGCGATGTTGTGGAGGTAGCATGCGTGGCTCCGTTGGTAAGATTAGAATATCCATCCTGTTGCATAGTCATTCCATTCTCATTGAGACCATCAAAATTTGTGGAAGGTGAAGTTGTAACTGGCGGTGGACCTTCATTCTGAGCTGAAGGGTCTCGCATCTCCATGCTTAGGACCCACTGATCCCATTTTTCCCTCTTGCGGACACGATCCAAACCATCCTCGCTAGGTCTATATTCAACGTTTTTCAGTTGGCGGCAAACCAGGCGAAGAACGTCCATGTCCTCAGTTAGGGACTTAATGCGCTTGAAGGCAGCGATAACGCTCAAAAGAACGAAGCCTTGAGAATCCATGTGCTTTCGAAGGAATAAATCTTTGCAAAGGTTATCAACCGAAAAGTAGTATTCCCTGAAAATTAAGTTAGCAGAGTTCAAGAATCAGGGCCACTTACAAACTTTGACATACAATTGCATCGAAATCATGCTCATCAAGGAATATTGCTCCATATACGGTTGATATGGGACGGCAGTCATGGGACCCTGGGGAATTTGGGGGTATCCATACACGGAAGTGAGGTCGGTCTGTATCGGGTAAGGTGATGGTCCATAGATCGCGGGATTGGGCATCGAGGGCGACCGCAAACCCATTCTAGCACTGCCCTGGGTTCCGTTTTGGGGGCCCGACTGTTGCATGCGGTGTCGGTCATTGCTGAAAGTGAAGTTCTTAGGAGTTGAGAACGGGTGTTGTGGGATCGGAGCGCTATGGAATGCTGTATTTTGTGCACTAGTATAATTAGAATGTCCACCGCGTCCCCGGTAGCTGCCCCGGCCCCTTTCAGAACGGGACTCTCCCCGATGTTCTCTACCATAGTCTCTCTCCCTGTGGAAATCACCTCGCTGGTAATCACGGTCTCGACCAAAGTCCCGCTCCCTAAGCGCGAACGAGTTTGACTCTTTGAAAGGGTCTGCAGAACGCGGGCCGCTTTCGAAGCGTCGTTCTGCATTTTGGCCATAGCGGGAGTGACCTTCGCCGTGCGGCCCGCCCTGCCTTGGAGCATGGGTGTGAGGTGCATTTGACGACTCCTGAGACTTACCGAATGATTTGGAGTCTTGTCGTTGCTGGGATGATTCAAAGTGTGTAGTACGGTTGCTCTCCGGATACGTCCCTTCAGCATTTTTAAGTTTGCCATTTTGTGCTCCGTCTGAGTGGGAGCTTTCTCCATCAAATACGGCGTCTGCACCATTTAGTTTAGCTCCTTGGGCAGACCTGGAATCACCGGTCGCTCGCCGGTCTAACTCTCGGTTAGAAAAACCCATACCATCAAAACTGAAGTTGGATTTCTCACCACCAGCATTATTTCCATGGATTTGACTGCCACCATGTGCACCACCCTCCCTGGATCCTCTTGCAGCTCTGCCACCCCTTCGAGCGGCCGGTGGTAGCGGGGTGGAAAAGACTGCTGTAGGCACATAAGGCACAGGCATCCACTTTTCCTTTCCGTGAGGTCGGGAGCCAACGGGCTTTTCTTTATCAGACCGTTCTGTTTTCTCGACTTTTTCTTGAGCCCTTCGTTGTTCCTCGCCTTGCGCAAGTTGTGGTGTTGGCCATGATGCAGTGTCCGCCATTGATGGTAATGGCTCAGTTGGATCAGGCTCTGTAGCAGACCGATGCGATCGTACGTTATTCTTTTTTGGAGCTATGAAAGGGTTAGAGTCGTATATATTATAAAGCGAACGAAAAATAAATAAATAAATAAAAATAAAAGAAAAACAGGTAGTCCGATAACTCACCATCACCTGCTCTCTTCTTCTCCCCGAAAGACTCAGAGGACTTCCTCCTGTTACTACCCTTTGATGCGTCTGGACGAGCCTCAGAGCCAAACTGTGCGATAGAGGCCTTCGGAGCAAGTTTGGGGAGCGTACTCGCTGGCTTCAAAGCCGCATTGGCCTTGACTTTCGCTTCTTGGGCTTCACGTCTCTGCTGCCAAATGTTTACAGCAGGAATCGGGGCTGCCCTCAGCTCTTTCAAAGGCATGCTGCCTTTCTCCGACCCGTTTTCCGAAGACTTCTCTTTGCTTCCTTCTGGGGTTTGATTGGGTTTGTCAATCAAAACAGAAGCCTGGGATTGCTTATCCCAGGTAGAATCTGATGACCCGTTGGGCGTAAGTGACATATCGTCCTCTTTGGGTAACGTGTCAGTGGATGCTGTCGCAACACTCGGAGAAGATGCTCCCGAAGAGATGTTTTTGGTAAGGTCTCGTTCTATTCCGAGTTTCTGTTTCCCAATGATGTCCGTAGACTCATTAGAGCCCGGGGCCTGTTTCGAGTCCTTGTTGTTGGAGCTATCAATCATCTCGACCTTTGTCGGTTCATTCGCCGAAATCGTCGATTTTCCTTGGTTTTCAGTGGTTGACTGAGTAGGAGTTGAAGAAACCAAACCCTTCGCGGCCTGCGCATAGGAAAAAGCGGGCATGTCAGCCGCCGACTTTGGTGTCGGTGTCGCCATTTGGAGACAACTCAAGAGGCTGAGGAAATCAAGCTAGAGGTACGAGTTGGATTCTACTGGCGTTACGGCGCGGTAGCCAGTAGCTGTCCCTTCTAGGCTATGCCAGTTGCACGCCCCCGTCACCAATCTAACAAACAAGAGACGACCTCCACCAGCGAGCTGCCCCACCGATGGCAGATTATCCCACAATCAAACCAACAAGGCTTGTATGGATGTGGCGATGATTGCTCGGGGATGTTTGTGGGACGACCGATCGCGACACGGAACTTTGCGAGATACCGCCCGGGAAATGTTTCAAACGATAAAAGTTAAAAGAGTTGTATGAGCTCGGGGCCGGAAGGCATCGATAACAGACGCTCGAGTTCGTCACAACAGGGCAGTTCAAAAACAAAGCTCTTAAATGACTTGTCCAGTCCAACCAACGGAAAGTTGGTGCGTGGAGGTAGAAAATGGACGCACGTGAACCGCCGGACGAGACAGCCTTACAAGCAACGGCGGGCGACGGCAAAGTCGAAGACGCTCTTGTGTGGCCAGGAAGTCAGTCGACCCAGAGGTCTAAATGACTCTATTCGTTGGTTAGTTAAAAGCACAAGAGTATCGCTACGGCCAAGGGAGAGAATGCCGCAGAGCCGACCACAGCACAATAAATCTCGCAGGACTTTCGAGGCTGGAAATCGATGGCGTCAAACAAAAGTGAACGTGATTGTACGTGTAGACGAACCAGATTGTATCTTTGTCAAGGATCGAAGCCAACAAGGACGTCGGATACTTGACAAAGGGGCGGAGGAAATGGAGGATGTCGAGGAATTGAGCTCCTTGGAGATGATATGGAGGTGTGTGCTAAAAAGTGTGGGATGTCAAGGGAAAAAAAAAAATAAAAAGAGAAGTCGATTTATTACATACGCATGAAATGGGACTAGTGCGGATTTAAGCCAGAGAGGATCCAATCTTTCAATACCTCAGTGCAATCACCAGCGCGAAATACCGTGCGAAGATGGTTCTGTCTGAACAAGAAGGGAACAACTTCAAATGGAACAAAGTCAAGGAGAAGGTGAAGGTGATGAACACATGAAAGGTAAGAGAAGAGGAAAGGAGATAATATCAGAGAGAGAGAGAGATGAATACAACAGGTCAAAGGCACAGCAAAAGTGAGACGCAAATGAGTGAAAACACCTATGTAACATCACTACTAAAAATACACCTCTGTTACAAGTAACAAATTCGTGGGCCTGCCCGTTAAGAAGGGCGAGTTCGAATCCAAATCGAACAGGGCCACTCATAACTGAATATTCAACAGTGAGGGATGTAGATCTCTTGGAAATCAAGCATCCCCCATCGCCAGAACTACAAAGTGATTTAATCTCACGGAGTTACATTGGGCTTTGATGAAAAAGGCCTCCGGTGAGATCCCTTCGACGATGAGAGAGTCTCCATCTTGTAAACCTGTAATTATCATAACCAGCCTGTAAGTAATGTCTGTACAGTACAGTACCCGCCTAATTTATTACACTCCGGGTTATGCCCTGCTTCCCCACATGTAGACACACCGAGAGAGGGCCATTTCTACTTTGCTTCTTGAACTGGGTGCCGTTTCTTCCCTCTCCACGAGTAGTGGTTGTCTATGAATCGATGTTGTTGGTCGTCAATCGGCCCCAAGCCGCTGTTCAACCACAATGCACCAGGATGCAATCGATCTCACATCCGCATTCCGTCGCGAGAGCATCCAAAGACATGGATGAGAAAGCGCGCCGAAAGAAGAAGATAAAGCCAGATAGCCTAGTTTACATACATATGTATCCAAGCAAAAACCCGTGCCAATCCCGCCTGCTGCACTTGTTCCTCGGTCGGCCTCCTCAGCCTGATCCCGTTTGCATACGTACCGCACATACATATGAGAAACTACTGTATTGTCACTCAAGATGGGTTCAAAGAGCACGTCAAGGGCCCGTCTGTAAGTATTACGGGAAAAGCAAAACGTGTCTGTCTTGCCAGCTCGACCCCTCCATCCACCCAAGCCACGACGGAAACCTGAAGAACCGTCAAAGCGTCGCCGGATTCCTGAACCCAGCACTACATTTTTTTGAACGGCGTTCCATCCCGAATGAGCCTGTACGATATACCCTCGGAAGCAATATCCCCGCTTGGCTGACTTTTACGGGTGCATATCCTTTCTTCAGGAATCCGGTTCAAGCCGCGGGCATATCTTGACGATATTAACCAGGGGCTATTTGCGCGGAAAAGCGACCTTGGGTATCATATTCGCGTTGTTTTAATGGATGCTACGGCCCGGAATTATAAATGCATTTTTCCACTGTAATAATCACAAGGTGATGGAGGGTGGAATTTATACGACACTGACTTGGGTTTCAAGGGTATGTAATCTATACGTAAGAGGTATTACAGCCGCTCTGCACTCGGCTGATTCCCGTACAAAACCCGCGCATTTTTCTCGAGCGCTGACACCACGCCCAATTATCGACGTCTTATTTTAGTAGTTTTGGCCAACAGCAGACGCTATTGGCTACTCATGGGCTGGTTTGTCACCCTAGGGAAACGCCTATTGGCTTATCGATTTTAATTCATGGCAGTGCGTTACACTGTTATCCGTTCTTTATTAAAAGGAAACTGATAATTACCGCGCCGTGCAACCGCCCGTCCTCGACAGGTCTATCACCAATGCCGGACCGTAACCAGTACTTTCTCATTACGATGCACCTCGCCATCAGCTGGGTTTGAGCTGATATCAATCCGGGACAGCAACCTCCATACAAGCTTCCGGCTTAGGCCTTCTCGAACAGGTATCTTCTCCAGCGCGTCTGTTCCGTTGAAGTATTTTGTAAAGGCATTCCAGTATCGATGGATCGATACTTCACCTTCAAAATCCTCGCTCTCGTTCGCTCTGTCGGCCAGATGGTCGTCCGGAAAGCGGGATATGATTTCATCGAGCCATCTTGCCTCGAGCGGGGACGCCCGATGCGGCCGGAGAATTAATGACGAGATTTGTGCCGGGTCGTGTCCCTTCTGGTGCCCCTGGAAATGTGCAAATCTTTCTTGAACAGGGGTGGCATTGCTATGCTCACTGTCCAAAGACGATGATGATGTCGATGCGCCGTCGTCAGTCTGGGGCTCATTTACCCTAATGACCGTAGCTGTAGAAGAAGCCAGTTCCTCCTCTCTTTCTTTGGCTTCCTCACTTGCGAGCGCTTCCTCAACAGCACTCTTCAGTTCTTGGTCCACCTTTATCCAGCCAAACGTGCGAAGCTGGGTGACCCAGCCTCCCCTCATCAACCACGCAAGAATATCATAGTAGATACCTTTGTGGTCTCTGCTGGGAATAAAGCTGGCATAAGGCCGTGGTGTACCGCTTAAAACTGCCAGCATCTTAGGGAGACTGGGCATTGTCGGAAATGCCAACTCATATGCTGCTGTCGCTAACCCCAGTTTACTCAAGTCACAATTAGGGGAAACGATATATGTGTCTTGCTTGTTGAGCGGGGGTACAGCTCGAGCTCGGCGCCAATAAATTAGGTGGGCTGCAAGCACTTGGATATCGTTTAGCGGAATCGATGAGCGCGCGGAAATCTGGGCGAATGATTTGGTGGGCTTTGACGACCGGATATAATGAGCCAATGGTGGCCCTAGGGTGCCCATTGAAGCTTCTATATCCTTCAATATCGACGCTTCATCGCTGAGGAGAAGAAGCGCAAAATGTTTCGCTAATACCTTGCTCGGACCAGAATATTCCATTTCAGTTACTTCATCCGTAGCTGAGAGGCTATCTGCGGTAGTGAGCCATAATCCCGGGTAGGCGGGCTCCATGGGGCCAGGGAGGTACGGAGTAGATGTAAGAGGAGGTATCTGAAGACTCATTGTTGTATGGGGGGTGAGGGTGATAGACGCGATCTTCGAAGTTGATATACTTCGATAGATGGTCGCAATCGCCTGTGCCAGAGAGGATTGTGACAATAGCTCCTCATAAACAGATGATAAGGAGGATTCTGGTTCGTGCACATTTGCCAATAAGCATGGTACATGGTGAAGCGGAGCTAGGAAGGGAACATACTATTCTCACGACCCTTCTCCTTGATATGAAGGATTTTCTGGGCCTCTTTCCAGACATAATTAGCTGTCGCCTGTTCGGATTTTAACCCCTTTCCAAATTTCTTAATGACGTTGTCGTAGTTCTCCTTGATTCGCAGATTGTGCTCCAAAATGGGCGGATTCATCACGAAGACAACATTGAACATTGTCATAGCATCCTTAGTTCCATCCGTGACAGACCCATCCTCGTCGGGATGGCTTTCTATTAATGACCGGCTGGGCTCTTCGTCCTTGTCGGATCGGCCGTCGACATTAGGATCGCGTTCAGATTCAAGTTTCTCTCCACCGTCCGCATATCCACCCTTTTCAGATCCCAGGGTGGGAGCCGTATCCAAAACTGAATCTCCTGCTCTCGTCTTCTTCTTTTTCCTCTTCTTTCTCCACGTTCCATCCTCCCTGACAAAAACTGGCCATCCCACGAAAGTGAGATCATTGACCCCGACCTCAAATCTTCTCTTGTGCCAAGAAGACGATGGACACAACAGCTTCTCCCACACATCGGTCCCCAAGCCCAGGAAAGAGTCCCATGGAGGGTTCTCCAGTTCATGCGAACGTTCACTTCGTCTGCCATCGCGTGGAGTCTCAGTATCATCTAGCTCCGAGCCTCCCAGATTTGATTTCCGCTGCTGCGAAGCTGCTTTTGTTGAAGGGCTTCCGGACGATAAACGCCGAACATTCGTAGGCCGCGGAGAACCTATCCTTGGGGTTTGACTTAAATCATCTTCATCAGAACTGGAGCCCTCTTCGTTATCACTTGAAGGACTGGAGTCAGAGGCTCTTGGGCTCGGTTTAGTGCGAGAGTTGCTGCGAGAGGGGGCGCTTGCGATGGAGGGATTAGGAGGATAATGATATACGAATCTTGGGCCGGCTCGGGAACAAGTAATGAGAATTATCGCGACGAGACATGGATCTGGGGGGCGTACGACGGAGGACATTGGTTCACATTATTGAAAGAGATAAAAGACTTATATCTAGAATCCAGGATGAGACAGGAAAAGTGAGCAGTGGTTTGAAAGAAGTGATGGTACTGGAGTGCATTGGGCGCAAGCTTAAGCATGCGTTCATTGAAAGAGAACTACCACATTCCCACCCTGACTCTAGTAAAACAAATTTCCCTTTGAAACTCTGCAGGAGAAGAACAGAACAGAATGAGAATAGATGATTAAAACATGTCTATAATACATTTTCTATGAGAGGAATTGCCCTTAAATCAATAGCCAAAATCCATCCATGCAGAACACCATTGACTCCACCGTATGCGCTTTGACAAGATTTATATACAAAAAGACACAGAGTCATACATTCACAGCTTTTCCGCCATAGGAGTTCGTTCTCGGGTCAAGTATCCGGAAATCCAGATTGTTCATTTTGTCGATGGTGCTTGTTTCGTCTTTGCCGTCGTCTCGGGCTTCTGCTCCGATTTGGGCGCATCATCGTTAAATTCCAAGCCCAAATTCTTGAAATCGTCGGGAGCCATCAGGTTGCTATAGCAAGTTGCAAATCTAGTGAGCATTTCGTCCAAACGAAGCTAATCGGCGGATTATCAGCGGCTGGCCTGAAAAAACGTACTTTTCCATCCGACAGTTCAAGTATCCTTTGGCCAGCTTTCGACATCTTTCATCATTGACACCGCCGACCGATTTTAGACAATGTAGATATGATGCGATCAAGTATTTGCATTCTCCTATGGTCAAGAAACGTGAGAGGTAAGCAAGGTGGAGTTTCCACCACTACCGCGGGTCGAAAGCGTTCCACGCGCGGCAATAGTTGGGACAGGAAGAGGAAAACGAACCATCATGATCAAGCGGAAAGCTACCCCGTTCCGGACTATATTGGCATTGCATTAGCGGTCGAGCACACAATGATAGGGAAGCGAATGGAGCTTACGGTGTCGGCTTGATATTGATGGATCGACCGCCAGGACTCCCGAAACTCATGATTCACAATTCCTTCACAGCGCAGACAGTAAATAGCTAAATATCCGATGTCACAAACGGTCACTGTCGATAAATTGCCGCTTTGTTCTCCCCAACCTACCTAGGCTTTTTCACTCGAATTCGCGGAATTGAGATCATTTGCAAACACGGCAAACGAGGCAAACATGACGGCTCCAACACCCCCTGCATCCTATTGGCTGGACTCTGATACAAATCAGTGCAAAATTGCTTCCACTGGAGACGGTCCCAGTGCAAACAAGCCTAGACGGCATGTGGAAGAGTCGATCTCTCTTCATGCCCCCGGATTTTGTCGAATCAAACAGTGAAATGCACCTCCCGATGATGGCATCCGGCACGACAATCGGAACATCGGGTTGAAAAATCTCAGCCAGCATCTTTGCGTAGCGATTCCATCATTGGCGTCCAATAATAAGTAGTCAATATCCGGCGACAGAAGAGTTTGCATCCCTCTAGCGATGACAAGGTGGATATACATACATACGGAGTACACGCTCAAGTATTTCTCGTGACGTCGCGGACAAAACCTTGCCGTGGGAGAGTATTTAAATACATAAATAAACTTGAATTCATCCCACATCTTCTGAAATTCAAGCTTAGTCCATTCCCAATCCGCTCCTACCTGTGAAGCTCGAGAAAAGCCATACGCCCATAGCCGCCATCCAACCCGAGAAAGACCTCTCTGGCAACCACAGTACCGGCCCTAACATGCCTATGTTAGTCAACCCTCGCATTTTGCCGCCCATATTTCCTTGCCTTATCTATCATCCATCTTTAGTTGCCAAGGCCTTTTCTACTACCGCCGCAACTAACATAAACACCCAAACCCGTGGCAGGAAACTTGACGGGAGCTGCCAATGCGGCGCCGTGGAATTCACCCTCCAATCCCATACACCGGTTCCGTACCAATTATGCGCCTGCAGCATATGCCGGAAAGTCGCCGGATACAGCGGCAGCGTGAATCTAGGCGGTATTGCGGATAGTTTAAAGATCCTGAAGGGACGGGACTCTATCAAGTATGTGACATGTCAATGCTTCCCTCGGGGTGTTTGAAGTGGCGCTAATACGAATTTCTGGCTGGATGGGATAGGAAGTACAGGGCCATCAAAGATCGAGGCCAGCCAAACGAGTCCCTATGTTCAAGCGAACGTAGCTTTTGCTCCAATTGCAGCACTATGCTCTGGCTCTGGGATCATCATTGGCCAGAACTCATTCATCCTTTTGCCTCCGCAATTGATACCGACTTGCCAGTGCCGGATGAGATGGTATGTATTCTGGAAGACTCTAAGCCTGCGTGGGTAAGGTGGCCCGAAGGCAAGAAGACGGTCTATAAAGCATACGGTGACAGCCTTGAAGACTGGCATAAGAAGAAAGGATTGTTCGTGGATTAGTTGTTGGCAAGACATAACGAATGGTTCATTTTCAACTTGAGAGATACGTGTACATATAGGCTGAACATTATAATGCAAGCAGCATCCAAACAAAAGCCCCGATGAACAAACTCTCCAGCATCGTCAATAGATATTATACGTCCTAGAAATGGCCATTAGCATAAGAAACATCAAGGCAGTGACATAATTTCCGATAAACTTCGATAGAAAGTAGGTGTCAGTTCTCCAAGGTGATATTTTGTTTCTTCAAAGTGTGCCTCGGTAAGAACACAGCGAAATTAAGAGTTCATCATGCAGGCAGGGGCGAGTGATACGAATTGGGGAAGGAATCCAGGCAAAAAGGAAAGTTTTCCAGACTACATACCATTCTAGACCATACGCATAACCTACTGATATAATCTTACCTAACCACGCAAAACTGGTCAGTGCATCATTCAGAATCAAGGCTTATCAAGCAGACACAAGATAGGAAAATGCAATATCATCTAAACTCAGGCTTTTCAGCCGTCATGTTAGCATCAAATGGTTACTATGCTCGAGAAGGGATTTTGAACCATACCTCATTAAATCAGAATTTTCAGTGTTATACGTTCATTCCCCAACAATTATGCCGGGCTCAAACAGTGTGAATAATGTTCATCATGTAAAGATGATATTTCTTTTAGGGAGCTTCAAATAAATGTTACCGTACCTAAATAGTAGCTATGTCAGCATAAAATTCTTGATGCAAAGATCGCCATATATGAGAAAGGAATCCATGCAATGATCAGCTGACGAATTTTCAACAAGCCTCTCAACTGCCAGCCAACCGCAGAGTTGTACGGTCTGCTTTCTTGGATGACCGGAGAAGAGGGCAATCTGTCCGCCCGTTCGTTCAAGTATTCCTCATGAGAGAGTGTAGAGCCGAAACCGGCGTGGGAATGAAAAAGCATACCTACAATGGAAGGCCACGTCAGCAAACCCATCTATAGCCGATCAAGTATAAGAGTTGCCTCAAGAGAGGAAACATAAAAGTAGCACAAATGTATTTTTTGATCAGACAAGGCTGAAACTTGATAACATGACAGATTCCACATGGTGATTAAGTTTGAGGAATGCCTTTGCATGTCGTAATAGTCATCATAATCAAGGGGAATGGGAACAGGCGTGTATGGGAAAAGTTCATACCTTTTGGTCAATGAAACCTTTTGAGTCGGTCCAAAATAGGAACTTTTCTTGTCCAATTTCCCGTTTGCAAGTCAGTTACCCGGAGTAAAGACAGTAAACGAATATAGGAGAAGAGTTGATCCCAGTTCAGTGTAATTCTAGAGATAATTGAGTTCCGTCATGGATTATAGGATTTGGATTGTTCGAGAAAAGAATCATCATACAGAGAGACTAGGAGTTCACGGTCAATAAGAATTATACACACACCTCATAAATAGCTAAGACTATTTGATTCCGATATAGCCAGGTTGGACACCTCAAAACATCAAAGGCCGAATAAGCTGTTGAGCTGCTGGTGAAGAGAACAAAAAGGTTGAGAGAAAATTTTGTGTGGACGAAAATTTATGGTTGGCGGTGCGCTGCGGCAGACGCGAGAGCCCCAGCACGCAACAGGCTGAGTCATCAAACGACGCTTCCCCTTTTTCGAAATATCGACATAAAACTTTACGGAACACAACCCAGAGAACAGAGAACAAGAATTTACTCTTAAACCAACCGATTACAGGCGAGAGGTTTACAGAGTACCTCGCAAGGATATTCAGATTTGCAAGAGCAATGGATTTCCATCATTAAATCGAATACACCAAACCAAACAATTTACACATAGGGTATAGAATAAATTCAAACTTTGTCCCTTTCACCTCAGAAGACCAAAGATCCATCACAGCTTAGCCCAGAAGTTGGAAGTCAAGAAATAGAAGTCAAGCCGTTTTATTTACAAAGCAAAAGCAAGACCAAGGAGACCAGCAGCACCCGCAACACTGGCAGCAATGGCACCAGTGGCTCGGGGAGCAAAATTGTCGGAAGTTTGAGCAGGCTCGCCAGCGCCGGTGGCCTGAGGGCCGTCTGATCCGGTGATACGCGCAATTCTGTTGAGATAGCTCTTCACATCATCTGGAAGATCCTCATACCAGCTTGGGGTTTGACCGGCTTTGAGGCTGCTGTAAAGAGCGCTGTTGAATTCAAGAGCAGCAGTAGGGTTGGCTTGGATGCTCTCGCGGACGTCAGAGGGGATAGCTGTTGCGAGAACGGACGCAATGCCTGGTGGTGGAATATATGCAGACAAGCTCTTCAGGCCCGAAAGGTCCGTTGGAATCGCCGAAGTGATGTCATTGATGGCAGATGTGCTTGTTCGATTGTAAGTTGGACTGGAGATGGACGTGGATCAAAGAAGGGCGTTTGGGTACTCACATCTCATCTAAATCATCTCTCTTCTGTGCGGGCTCAGGGGAAGCAAGCGCAGTCGCAGAGAGCAGGAGAAAAGCAAGTGATTTGAACTGCATATTGACTTGATAGGGGGTGTTCTGAAGAAAAATAAGCTGGAAAAGGTTATGTAGAGAGAGATGTCTTGAAGCTCAAGTGTCGAGGAGATAGTTCACGGTGTTAAAAGAAAGAAATTTGGATCCGAAACAGGATCCTCCATCCCGGGGTCGTGTGCAATATATAGCATTGAGCCTCAGGGGCAATCGGAAATTCACGACAGTCTGAGCTTGAAGGCTGATCGTCATCTCGAGTTTTCTAAAACTCAAAACCCATTCACGTTGCGAGGACCTTTCTCTTCGAATACAAGGCGCAAACGAGGATCAGCACTGTCTGCCACTATTGTCCCGGGACTCCAATGAGCTCCTAGGTGTGGATACCATGAACCATCCCCGACCACGCCTATTTAATTAAATTTCGTATTTCCTACGTTCGCTCAGCTCATGTCTCCCCCGGCTTCACTTTCTACTGCGGAGATCTCACTTCTTGCACACATCTTTTCAGCGCGGATGAAGGGGTTCTTCGCGCACCTGAAGGCTTTGCGCTTTGAAAGCGGTGACGTTTGAATGGGCTGAGTTATCGCCACCGGCTTTTTACCTGCCCATGGACAACGACGTGGTCGCTGAACGGCCTTGGCGGCCCTTGGTGGCTGAGCCGCAAGGCTTTGCCCCGATTTGGGTTGTAAGAGGGAAAAATGATCCAGTTTAAAGCTAGCGTTTCGTCTGGAGGTTCTTGTCATGCAGGGAATCCATCTGGCGCAAAATCTTACGCGATGCGCCCAATTAAACCTCCGGACGCTGACTCTCGGGCTCGGACGGCCTCCGCTACTCTTGCGGCGGAATTCTGCCCCAGAAGCCCCCTCAGCCACACCATGCCACGGGTACCTAGCCATCTGCTGCTTACTCACAGATCAAACAAGCAAGAACGGCGCATTCCAATTCATGGGCCACGGAGTGGCCGCGAAGTTCAGGTCTTTTAAAGCAGTACAGTCCTATCTCTCACAGATAGATCTCATGGCACTGACAACATAACACACCCCCCTGTTTTCCTCATTTTGGTCAAAAATGTTCTTCATCCTCCGTGCGGGCGGTGGTTTCCATCATTCGTTCGGTCTTATCCCATCCAGCTGATGTTTCCCCAAGGTTTGGTTCGAACCATCCCAGAGCCCATGACAAAGGGCCTGGGCAGCCGTTGGCCATCCGGTAGGGGGTTGATGAAATTGATGCTCTGAGACACACAGTGTGTTATAATCCGGACTGGTTACCACTAAACTCACTCTTTGCTAACATGCATTTTCTCTGGGCGACTTAAAGCAGAGAATTCGTTGTGTCGCTATTGCAGCAAATGCATAGAAAGGTTTTGGATTTACCACTCTTGATTCACTCATTATAACAAAGGAATGCTCAGAGTTGGGTTCTCACTCAGCTCTCCGGACAGATAATCTAATTACCTACTACCATGCATTCAGTGAGTTCCAAAGAAGTATCTGCGGACAGGATACTAGCTCTGTTACATGAAATAGTATGATATAGTCGAGCCCTTGTAGGAGTTTGCACCGACTCTGCATGATAAGAGGTTTGATGAGGCTGGCCATGATTGGTTATTGTTGCACTGGAGGCCTTAAATCCTGGGAGAAAATACAGTGTGATCTATATGACGTAGTGTGGGGGATAGCACATGGACAGAGCTGGTGGATGATATAGCGTAGTGGCGGTATGCATTGAGAGAAATGGGAGTTCTGCCTGTGAAAGGAATTATATGGCCGACCCTCATAGGAAATATATGGATGTGCCCACAACAACAGACAGTAGTGTGGTTAGGAGTATATCTCAAGAATGTTAGGATGAGCTTGACCACATCGACAACCCAAACAGCATTTCCTGAAAACATACAGGCTGTTGCCAACACCTCAATACTTAAAAAAATGGGGTTACTTCAACACTCCGGCCCCAAGATAGCTCCGTTTGCGTAAATAAGAAGCCAGAAGAAAATCAGAGATACAGTATCAATACGCATATCCAGGACAAATAAAAATGGTGATCGGTTATGGTGCTTAGGCGGTGATCAGTATTTATGTTCTTCACTTGAGATACTGGCTAGCTCGAGTTCATCAATGGCATCTGTGCTGCCACATCTAGCATAATGATCCATGATGATGGGTTGACCCAATATCTGCTCTGCATCGCTGGCTATTTCCTTCCTTCTCTCTTGAACATCACACCAGTGAAACATATATGTCAACACACGTGCAGTTTGGGAAGTGTATTACACATGCCATTTATGAAAACTTTGCCCCATCACGGGTAGCATATGTGCTAGTTATATTGCTCTAAAAAAAAAAAAAAAAGGTAATATGGGTAAAAGTTGATGAAGTCAGTTCTATCTTGATGTTGTAGGCTCACTGGCAGCTGCAAACTCAACAGCTGATAGAGCAGCCATTTTGCTTAGCTATTCCGTAACATTCCGCTGGGTGTAATCACAATTAGAGGCAAGTTAACTAGCTGCTAGAGAGAAGGGTTCAATCCGCAGCAAAGTTCCAAATATGTCCGCAAGGAGTGTATTGCTGCGCTTCCATGTGTCAATTCTTACAATAGGGCCGGTATTTTTGAATCACTCTGCCATGCTTATGATCTAGCACATTGGGCCATAAATCAGACCAAAACGCTCACGAAGTAGGGAGCACTGAACCGAAAAAAGTATGCAACTGTTCTTCAGCCTCAAGACAAAGGTTTGCAGATGATCCTCGACAATGGGGTGCCAACGGGACCCTTTGGGCACAGGAGAATTCGTGATCCGAGCCCAACAGCAATAATGGTTGATCACTCTGCATACCAGGTGTAATATATTCAAGAACAGGTTCCAAGTTCCCTGCCTCCAGCCGGTTTGGCGAACAATTTGGCAGGCGATAAAAGACATCATTGTCCATCCAATAGAATTGGCTTCTTAATGTAGAAGAACTGTGAGAATTGCGACAACAATTCTTAGGTGGATGTATGACAAAAAAGGTCCCGGCAGAATGAAGTTGAAAATGCTTGGTTGGGTCTAGCGGGATTTCGTGTGTCTAACCACATTCCAACAATATGGACGGTTCCACCACAGTGAAGTTGGCAACCTGCATAAATACCCAGTTTCTGGCTGCATAGGTACTTGCGGGTGCTAGATAACGGCAATCAAATGTCAAGCTGCCAGGCAGCCAAGTTCTGGCAAAGATGAAATCATTGCAATGACAGACCAATGTGCACGTCAAGTCTTGCTTATTTGTCACTTCATTCAACAACAGAGGTCCGATCTCTTCAAAAGAAACAAATTGTTTGTTGAATGCCCGCATTTCCGCCAAACAATTAGCATAAGCGTTAGCTGATAGAAAACAGGGCAAATTGCTCCAGCTCTCACTGTCACGTGCGATCTCAAGGCGACTTGTATTTAGAGATTCCTGATTGTGAACTGGGTGATTAAATGTATCCACCTTGAGGTCTGGTCTCGACTCTCGTGGATTTAAATCGGCCGATCTAGCAAATATGTGACCAGCTGGATAGGTATTTATCTAGCCAAGTATAGTTTTGATGCCTACGCCACCTTTGGATATGTGTCCGCAAAATGATACTGGAGTTATAAACCTGAAACCGACAATCGCAAAAACGGGTATGGGGATATAATCATTTTCGGGCCTTTTTCCAGGGAAGATAACCCTTTAGTCGAATATTTTTTGGCCATCTCGGGGGCTGACTGTTGAGCAACTGAGTGGTACAAAAAAGTTGATATCAATGGTTGGGGTGGAATGATGAAACCATGCTGGAAGGAGAGTTCAAAAGATCTAGAAGAGCTGAAAAGAAGGATAAATCTAATGTTGTCAAGATTTGATCCTCATTCTGGATGTTATTCTAACATTGTTCACCTTCCAATCAGAACCAGCAGCTTCAACATTGCCATAAGGGACACTTGTCGTCGGATTCTACAGCTTAATTTATCTTGAGGATTATTTATTGTCTTCCGGGATGCCCGTAGGCCTCCATATGAAACCAAGACATCAAGTCTATGATTATCTTCTCAATTTATCCACGAGAGTATTATGGCTTCGGTGCAATAGACAGCGGCTTCATGGCACATCAACGGGGCACTTGGCCACAATTTCGATTATCAGGCTTCTGATTACCGCAGGGAGGCATCGAGAGAAAGTCCTGATCGGCATATTTATCTAGAGTCTGGCCTTCCCAAGGGCAAAGAGCAACGGCCGACACGGAGGCGAATCTTACCCGATCAATGATGGCGTTCCTGAGAGGTGGCCATGCTTGCGCATATAATCCGCAACGCCTAAACAGGGCTGCCACAAAACGACATAGTTTGAGCTTACTACTCCATGAGCTTTTTGCGATAACATATGCCTTTCCGATTGGATTTCCCTGTTTCCTGTGGCTCCATCACTCCAAGGTTCCAGGTTTTCCCAACTTGGTTCCTGATCACTGACGTTATTCATCAGCCATCCTTATCTGATAAGGAAGTAGCTTTATATATGGGAGTAGTATATACTTCCATAATGAACCTACATACCTTCTTATATATGTTGCATGAACTGAGGAGCTATTTCTTGGAACCTTATACCGAATAGGATCAAGTGCTGTTTTACTTGACACCATCATGGCGAGTCGTCATACAACCTTCAGGCTTAACACAGGAGAAGATATTCCAGCCATTGGCTTCGGAACGTGGCAGGATGAAAACGCACAGGAGGATGCCGTTCTCACTGCTCTCAGTGCTGGGTACCGGCACATCGACACCGCTGCGGTGTAAGTGCATACAATGCCCCTAGACCTACATAGCCGGAAGCAAGATATTAACAATCAATGGGTCAGATATGGGACAGAGAAAGCTATCGGGAGAGCTCTTGCACGAAGCCGACTATCTCGGGATGAACTCTTTATTACCAGCAAACTGTGGAATAACAAACACCGTCCGGAAGACGTGGAACAGGCAATTGACCAGTCGCTCAAGAACCTAGAAATTGACTACTTGGACTTGTACCTCATGCATTGGCCAGCTGCCTTCGCACCTGGGGATGATATGTTTCCAAAAGATAGCCAAGGGAATTCTAAAACAGTTGATATTGATTATGTCGACGTATGTGTTACACCAGGTATGATATTGGCAAGTTGCGCTAAATATCATAGTAGACATACAAAGCGATGGAGAAACTCGTTAAATCCGGAAAGACTAAAGCTATCGGAATTTCAAATTTCTCAAAAGGGGAAATGGAAAGGCTGCTTGAGAGCTGCTCCATAGTGCCGGCCGTAATGCAGATGGAGTTGCATCCATGGCTACAACAAAACGATTTCGTTGAATGGCTCAAAAGCAAAGGCATCCATGTCACGCAATATTCATCCCTTGGAAATCAAAACGAGGTATATTCAGGCCGCGAAAGGTATGGAAGGCTGATTGAGGATCCAACTCTTGCCGCGATTGGGACGAAATACGGCAAAACAGGGGCTCAGGTAGCACTTGGTACGTGGTTTTAGTATACCCTTTTATCAGCCATATGGACCCCTTACTGACAGAGATGTAGCATGGGGAATTAACAAAGGCCACTCTGTTCTCGTTAAGTCGAAGACACCTCATCGCATTCAGCAAAACTTCGAGTCGGACTTTGAACTGAAACAAGAGGACATGAAGGCCATTGAGAATATTGACAAGAAGCTTCGCTTTAATGACTCAAGCGCCGATTTTGGGTATAACTTCTTCGTGGGTTTGGAGGGCAAGGAGAAATAAGCTCTGGATGGAAGATATCAGGAATAAGAGTTATTATGTATCAAGATGTCAGTTATCCGGTTGCCGTGACTAGAGCAACAATTCTTCGAGCCTTGGCACCAATTTGTGTACCAACGATATAAATGAAGCGAGATTGGAACCATGACTCGTTTGCAAATGCAAACGGATATTCGATCCATCCCGCCACAAGCAAGTAAGGGTGTTATTTATGGACTGCTAGGCTTCTCAGGACGCATCAAGTTTTCCGTCATTCGGTGCCCTGGTAATATTGACTGTTACAGCAACTATTATCGAGAGTCCTAACTGTGAAGTGCCAGGACCGAAATGTGTTGAATTGATGGAATCTACTCTCCTAAAGCACAAGTGCATTGCACGCAATGGCAATTTTGTTTTACCTCAATGACCACCGGATATGTCCGTGATCTTATATGACTTGTACTGGTCGTCGGTTGCATCATCCATTTCGTTACAGGGCGTGGGCCATAAATAGCACGCTTAAACCTGTATCACTGACAGCTTCTGAAATGTGGGGCAACGGCTCCTTCAGAAAATTGGGATTATTCTGCCCAACTTAAGATCTTCCCATCATAGATGGTTTATAACGAGTCTGATAACGCTCCAAGTCGAAGGACCCTTCGTACAGCTCGCTGCTTTCCGGATCACCAGCCCATATAAACACGCGACAACCTTGGGCGACGCTGCCATCGTCTAATTCAACATCACAAACAGTCCATGTATATGCCCTCGTTTCGTAACTCTCTAGCCGCTGAAAGTGATCAAGACTCTCAACGGGGTAGACCCTTCCTTGGATCTCGGAGCCCTTATGTGGTATCAATGTCGGATAGATATGCCACATCTTCATTCTATAGTCTCTCAGCTTAGCAGCCTGAAGCGGTGGGGGAGGCGCTGTGAGACTGAGCACCACCTGGATAACGTCGGTGTCCATGAGGGAGCCGTAAACAAACAGAAGGGTGGGAGAAGACCATGGTTCCGGGGTTCTACCTGGCTCGGCTGATGGTGGCATCTTGAGTATCGTTGTGTGTGATAAGCGATTTGACCGTCTGTAAATGTGTTGATTCCTGAGTAGCGAACACTGGAGCCGAGCGCTGCTTGTCTTGTCGTTATTGCGCCTCAATCCGATACCCAAAAGAGCTGATTTGGCTGCGAAATAGATGAGGGACAATCTACCCTGTGCTCACTCTATAATAGAGTATATTTCAGTTGAATGGCAGGATACAGAGGGAATCAAGGTTAAACTTACCAATGTGAACCTTAGTTGGGTGGCAGATTTGAGTTGAATGGTGTGAAGCTACCTTCTTGAAGCTGGTACGAATGCAAATTCGAGTCGACGTGAAAATGCTCCGCCTGGAGGAGCTACTCTGTATTAGTGAGTTATGTATGTTGCAGATCCAAATTCCACCCTTGCGTTCCTATCAGGACGAGATCAGCTCTGCATAAGTAACTAGTTGGTTACTTTGTAGAAAATGCTCTCAAATCTGGAAAGAGTTTCAGGTTTGACTTCATATTGATGGGACATGAGCCGGCGAGCGCAAACTATACTTAACGGGTTCCCGTGTTTTATTAAGCGCAGGGCGGGAATGCCGAAAGGAAGCAAAGATAACTCAGTATGGAGTACGGGGGGTAGATTGGAAGCGCCGCCTTGACAGCATGTAAAGTTCGACGACAAGATTTCCACACGGCGCCAGAAGCTTGACGCTGACGACGGCATCCACTCGTATCCTTGCCCAGGGCTTGGAACATCCTCGAACTTTGTCCTTCACTCACTTCTCATGGACTGACTCGACTACCACCGTCTAACTGCTTCTTGCTGGTGCTTCATTTGACAGAAGCGCGGAATACTTTCTTCATCCTTGAACAGATATCCCCCGGTTTCCCCGTATTTTAGGATTCCACTCCCTTTCCTGCCAACATATTGACTCCGGTTTACTCGAGCATCGATGCCTTTTTGCCGTTAACAAATGGGACCAAAAGTCTTCCATCGAGTACGTTCCTCCATGAGTTCTACTCGTGACCTACAAGCGCCCTGGGAGAGACCGCTCTCAAAGCGGCTGATAATTTCATATGTCGTGGACTGGATATTCATATTGTGCGTGCTGTTCTTTTTTTTCGCTATTCGGCAGACCTTATTCTTTTGTACTGAATGTCTCGATTAATATCAATTTCACAGGTTCACTGGAGCTTTGGGCCGTATTGTTAAGGTTGCCGAGCCTAACAGGAGACCATTTAGTCTCACCGATCAGAATATATCTTACCCATTCGCTGTTCATGAAAGAGTCCCTGTAGCGACTCTTATGATGGCCAGCCTTCTTGTGCCGGCTGCCGTGATCGCTGTTTTCAGCATGCTTATTGTCCCCGGTCCGGCAGACAAACGCGCCTTCGGCGCGGAGGCATGGCGACGGAAATTCTGGGAGTGGAATGCAGGATGGATGGGCTTGGGTGTGGCGTATGCTGGCGTGTACGCAGCGACGGAAGCGATGAAGGTCATGTTTGGCAAGCCCAGGCCCGACCTACTGGATAGATGCGATCCAGACTTGTCGAATATTGCGGCGCACGTCATCGGAGGCCTGGGTGGTCAGGTTGCTGGTGCCCCTTCGCTCGTGTCTTGGACGATCTGCAGGAATACCACGAAAAGGCTCCTGAAAGATGGATTTGTGAGCTTCCCAAGCGGCCATTCTTCGAGTATGTGAGCGATCAAGTGAATTTTCGTCTAAGATTTGAACGGCTAACCACTGCATTCTTAGTGTCCTTTGCTGGTTTGACGTATCTGTCACTATGGCTTTGTGCTAAGCTGGCTATTACAATTCCGTTCTTGTCAGTCGCATCCCTTCAGGAGGTCGAACAGCCAAACCTCAACAAATCCCCTGTGTCGCTTCGAAACCGGGGTGCAGCACCACCGACTGTTCTGGTTCTTTTAGTTTTTGTGCCTATTGTGGCAGCAACATATATAGCGTCTAGCCGGTGGGCCGATAGCCGCCATTTTGCCTTTGACATCCTCTTCGGTGCTTTGTTAGGCATCGCCTTTGCATGGCTCGGGTTTCGCTTGTATCATCTCCCGTTAAATTCAGGGCAAGGGTGGGCATGGGGTGCGAGGGACAAGAACCGAGCATTTTTTGGAGACATAGACCACACGAGTTACGCAGCTGACAGGGCACTTTCAACCACGAGGAATGCCGGTTCGTTCTCACCGAATTCCGCTGAGAGAAACAGAGACGAATTGTTACCCACGACGGGTGAAAGGCCGAATGGGAGCTCGACTAATGGTTACTGAGCAGAACTTCAGGCGACTGCTTGGTGGGGATGTTTGTTTTGCAGCTTGGAACGAATGTCAATGATCTAGATACCCAATGAAGTAGCTATTCAGACACATATATTACTATAATTCAAACTGCTTTATTACCAACTATGCTCAACTCCTCTTCCTTAGTGCCAACGGCCTTTGGTGCTCAAACGGTGCGAACCGCAGTCACAAAAATGGTATTCTATACCAGGCGTGGAGTATATATGTGCTTTTAAGCATTAACATGCCGACTGGAAGATGTAGATCGCCTTCACCAAGGTTCTAGACCATCCAACAGTCTGTTCTTGAAATCAAAAATATCTAGCGCCTAATATCAGCGGGATAAAAGGGGGGAAAAGGTACGCCCACTTCGCCGCGCCCATGCACTGCATATTTAGTTATCCAAGGGCGTGTGTCGATCCGAACACACAAAAACGATCACCATACCCATCACCTCCACCCCCCAACCCTCCCTTCATCCCACCTCGCTCTAGCATCCCTCCTAAACTCCAACTTCGCACCTTCACTCCTCAACCGCCTCACCCACTCCACGACTTCTCTCTCCCCGGCAACTCCATGATGCTGCAAGTCCCCATCCAAAAAGCTCTCTTCCACCGCGCGCACGACCGCCTCCTGCTCGGCAATCGCTGCCGCCAGTCTCTGATACAGCGCCTTGGGTGACCAGGGTGCCAGGGCGGCGTCCATTTCCGTTTGTTTTTTGCGCCAGGAGAGCTCGAGGGATTGGTGCTGCAGGAGGAGGGTTTCGGTGGAGGCGCGGAGGGCGGCGAGGTGGGATTCTAGCTCGAGGGCACGAGTGGCGAGGGATTTGTTGGATTCAAGGAGCGTTAGGAGGTGGGTTTGTGCGGAGGGGTAGGAAGGGTGGGTATTTGCGAGGGCGTTGAGGAGGGTGGGATTGGAGAGAACGGATTGGAGATCTTTTGTTCTGCAGGGAAATTGGGTTAGCTTGTGAAGTACGAGATGGTTCAGGGGCGAAGGAAAATTGCTGTTATTTCTTTAGGGCACGTACGATTTGTCTTTGAGGATATCTGGAATCCATCCTTCGTCAAGGCCTGGAGGTTGTTGGAGGTTGCTGGGAGAGAATGGGCGATTGGGCGGAGCGTGACTTGTTGAAATGCTTGCGTCTCCCTGAGACTGTAATGCTTCCTTGGGTGGTGTGGATGGAGCTGGCGATGGAAATTGTTGACCCAAAAGGGGAGTGCCTCTTCTGCTTGCTTCATGACTTGTTGGCTTAGGGGGTGGAGGAGGTGGTACTCCTTGTAGTGTTTGAGGGTGTTGCTCGTTGGAAGCGGAGTATGGGACCGGTGAGAGTGACATTCTTAAAATGCCAACGGCAAAACAAAAATCAGTAACAGTACCCCTTAAGTGAAGTTCTGGTGATGGGGCTTCGAGTGGCAACGTAATTGCGGATGCGCAAGGCTACGATTTTAATATGCGCCGGAGGAGCAAATGCGAATAGTATAACTATGATGTCACCTGACGTTCTCCAGACACAAATAATTCGAGGGCATTCAGACTCGACTGCTTTACAATTTCGGGGCCTTGCGGGACGCAATGACTATTTAGGAATAAATAAACCTAGATATATCTAGTTTGACATCGCTTTTATTTCCTAGGAACGCCGCACTCTGCCAAAGTTGACATGGGACCGAGCCGGGCTCGCTCCGTTTTGAGTTCTCCGCAATGTTCTTAAACGGTGTAAGCTCGTTATGAGGAGCAAGGTGAGTTTCCAATAAGTGTTATAGCCCTTGGGACGCCTCTTCGCATCTATAGGTGAATGGCAAGCCTTGGAGCGCCAATTTTCAGCTATCAGGGCGATCACTCGTAGGTAGCATGTAAAAAAGCCAGGCGCCGCAATTATTTCGGCATGACTACCATCCAAATTATTGTTGCAATGGTTAAGCACAGGTGGACGTTCTTTGCTTCTGAGACTCATGCCAGCGTTAGGAACGGGATAGCGGGGTATTGCAATTGGGTGATATAGCAACCATATAATATCCATGCGCCACGGAGAATCGAACGCGTGTCATAATATTCAGTCTAACCGCCGCCGAAGGTCCTTTTGTTGAGTTTCCGCATTGACACCCCTAATCGCCTCCGTAACCAGTTCTCGCAGTTCCCGTTGGTTCTCCTCGCTGTGGAAGTTTTCTCTCGACGCAAGCTCCTCTATTCTTCGCTTAAATTCCGGGTCTGGAACATCCGCATCTCCATTGACAGCTGGCTTGGTCATTGTGCCAAAGCTCACGGTGACATTCGGAGGCAGCTGTTGGCCGGGGCGAACAAGGGTTTCGGCGAGGGTGCTCACAGGGGTTCCTTTTAGATATGCTGCAACTTCTGGAAAGGAGTCATCGTCGAGAATGGCCTCTTCTGCCGTTAATCCATCGTGGTTCTTCACAGCCCGATCTACCCCAAGCTCCTCCACCAAGCAACGTGCTATCTCGACAGTCTCGGTAACGAAAAGGCAAGTTTCTCCGTCTTCGTCGGTAAGGTTGACGTTGACTCCAAACTCCTGGACCAAGGAGCGGAGTAACTCTAAGTGTCCGTACGACGCTGCGGCGTGTAAAAGAGAATAGCCATGCTCATCCTGCGCAGACGCGAGCGAAGGGTTCGATCGAAGGAGGGGTATCAAGGACGGGGAATTCTCCGCTGCGAGGATGTACGCGTTGGGAGTTGACATGACTGCGGATGGGGAAATAAACTTCAACAGTCTGTATCACAGCTGACCGTCGAGAATGGCCAGTATTTGCAGCAATGTCAACGCCTGTTTGCCGTCAAAAGAAACGCGAAAAAAAGGTAAAAGACTGCAAAGCGGGGAGCTGATTCAGCGCTAGCCCACTAAGCTGCACTGCCACTAGCGATGAGTCAGACCTGGCCTCCGGTGTTTGCCGTGTTTGCATTTACACAACCGACTTTTATTGGCTGGGACCATCGCTTAATCAGCAATGTTTACGCAGCATTTGAAATCTGAGCTTGAACATGCGGCGTCGAAGAGGGATCTCGCCGCCACTTAGCTTCGGTTAGGCTGCATTCTGTGACCGGGATCTCCTCATCCGGGCTGCCAGTTCAAGCTTGATACATCGTGAGTCAGATTCGGCTCCTTGTGCCAAAGCTAAGGAGACTGTATATATAGCGTCCAGGCGACCTTCAACCCCGAGCAGCCCCGCGCAATCCAACCAGGGACTTCATACAGTAGCGCCTGGAGGACCCCAGCGTTGGCCTTTATTCCGTATTCAATCTCCATTTTATTTAGGTTTCTGAATCCTCTTCGCCATGGTGCAGCAAGACTCCCACGAAGTCACGCAGTTGATACACTCGCTCCAAGCCGCTCAAGGCCCAAAGAGAGGAGGAAAGTCGTTCTCATGCAAGAAGTCAACTTTTCCCGTTAGCGGGTCGCAAGGCACTACGGTTGATTCCTGGAAATTCCGAGATTGGGATTACAAACGAGACGACCTTCCTACGTACGCCCGTGGCCTCTTCACGACGAGAACCAGGAATGGTACCCCCGAAATTGCTATCCGAGGGTACGACAAATTTTTCAATGTAGATGAGGTGAATCTGACGAAATGGGAAAATATCGAAAAGAATACAATTGGGCCATACGAACTGAGCGTGAAGGAAAATGGCTGCATCATATTCATGTCTGGCCTAGAGGATGGCACGCTTCTGGTGTGTAGCAAGCATTCCACGGGCCCAAGGCAAGACGCCAATCTCAGCCACGCAGTTGCGGGACAAAAATGGGTGAGGCGACATGTCGAATCGGTGGGAAAGACAGAGAGAGAACTGGCGCTTGAGCTAAGAAAATGGAATGCCACCGCTGTGGGAGAATTGTGTGATGACAGCTTCGAGGAGCATGTGTTGGCGTACGATGAACACTCTGCTGGAATATATCTTCACGGAATTAACTATAACGTGCCTTTCTTTGCTACCCTTTCTGGACCTGAAGTGCACAAATTTGCCGACAACTGGGGTTTCAAAAAGGCACAATTTGTGCTTAAGAATGATCTATCCGAAGTGCGAACTTTCTTAGAAGGGTGCGCAGAAACAGGCTCGTGGGGCGGAAGGGATACCGAAGGATTTGTTGTCCGATGCAAAATGCGTGAAGCCCACTCCGGACCTTATGTTGACTGGTTCTTCAAGTATAAATTTGAAGAACCGTATCTCATGTACCGGCAGTGGCGTGAGTGCACTAAAGCGGTCATTTCAGGGAGGCCACCAAAGTACAAAAAGCACGTGAAGATTACAGAGGAATACCTACAATATGCCCGAAGGCAGCTCCAGATGAATCCAAAACTTGGAAGTCTCTATAACCAAAATCATGGTATAATCGCAATGAGAGATGGATTCCTTAAGGAGAGAGGCCTCAAAGGCTCGGATATCATTGCTATGGAAACTGCTGAAGGAGATGTTGCACCTCCTATTTCCCAAAATATTGTCCTTGTCCCTGTGGCTTCTATCGGCTGCGGAAAGACAACCGTTGCTCTTGGACTTGTGAACCTTTTCGGCTGGGGTCACATCCAAAATGACAATATCCAAGGACGAAGGGATCGAGCAAAAAGATTTGTCCATCAAATAAACAACGCACTAATTAACCATAAGGCTGTGATTGCGGACCGCAATAATCACCAAAAGCGTGAAAGAAAGCAAATCATTGAGGATATCCGCTCGATAAACCCTGATGCGCGATTCGTCGCTCTCCATTACGTCCACGAGCCAAAAGGCAGGATGCTAGATGGTATTCGGAACATCACTCGTCAGCGGGTTCTCGAGCGCGGGGATAACCACCAGACAATCCGTGCGGATAGCAAAAGTCCTGAGGAAATCATAGGAATTATGGAAGGATTTTTACAGCGTTTCGAGGCAGTGGATACGGAACACGAGCCAGATATCAATTTTGACGAGGTAATTGATCTAGATATTGCAGCGACTTCTCGGGAGAACCTTGAGACTATCGTATCTGCTCTGTACAACGCATATCCAAGACTGTTCGATGGGTCAAAGCCGTCTGCGTCTGATTTAGACCTGGCCATCGACGCAGCTATGAAAAACTATACTGTGGATGTCAAGCACGATCTGACCTTTGGTTCCAAAAATCCAAGCCATCGTCAACCGCCTTCTAACTCCGGCCAGAATCAACCGAATACTATAAATGGAAACACGATCGAGAAGCTTTTGAAAAGAATTGAATTCTTCAACATATCTCTTCCACAATCAGAAATTAATAGCTTAGCCGCCTCTCTATTCCCTCCCAGCACTCCACCCGAGATCTCCAAGCTATACAACCACCTCAAAAATTCCCGGCGCATACAAGCATCCTTCCACGTTACGCTAATCCACAAGGCCTCTGCGAAAGACCGCCCAGATATATGGGACCAATACAAAGATCTCTACAAGAACGCCCTACAACGACAGCTACAACAGCCCGACGGCCACACGAGAAACCCAACCCCCGCTCTCGGCGCTGCAAGAGTGCGCATTGAACGGCTTGTCTGGAATGACAAGATCATGGCCTTCGTAGCGCGCATTATGCCCGTTGACCACGACGAACGCCTCAACTCACATGTTTCCCGGGACATGGGCTCGTGGGAATGCGCGAACGATATTCCACATGTTACGGTTGGCACTGCGGCTCCGAACATCAAGCCCAAGGAGAGCAACGATCTGTTGAGGCACTGGTTGGAGCACGGGGCGAACGCGGAGACAGGGATCATGGAAGCTGAGATTCCGTCGGTCAAGGTGCTGGAGGGGATTGTGGGGGTGGTTTTGAGTCGTTCTTAGATTCGTTTATCAGGTTGTTTGTTGTGCCATGGGCAAGCTAAGCAAATTGCGATGATACTTCCTCCCTTTGGAATTTAGGATGTAATATGGCTTTTCCCGTATGTGCTTGGTCTCTGGCGCATGTTTTGTTTTGGGGGTTGACGAGGGCGATGAAAAGTGAACGGAGTTTCTTGTTCAGCGCCTCGACGGAGCATACTCGCCCTTGTCTTACTTTGTCTGTTCGAGCCGCGAGAAGCTAAGACAGGTCAAGAGAAACCCAAGTTAGTATGCGAAATTGTCGGTGTCACGAGCTTGATCTCTCGATGGCCTACAGTACGTCCCAACACGAGAAGTTACGATCGCCACACGAGCCCGTTTCAACAGCATGGAAATACATCATCTCTAGACACGGCTTATATGGCATTGTACAACGTATGGAGTATAACAAAGGCATTATTAAATGTCGTCCTAGTCGTTCATCCAGGCTGCCACCCTTCCCGTTCCAACGCGAGTCGCAAGCCTTAAACCCGTGGTGCCCATAGGAAAGTAGCTGACAAGGTACCACACGAGAGCGACAAGTTGGAATATTGAGGATATGAGTGTTAAGAGGGTGGAATGGAGCTAGAGGCGAGGAACGTTGTCAGATGAGTCACAAAAATGATCAGGGAGAAAAAAAAAACATAAAAAAAAAAAAAGGCCTAGGATGAGGAGGGTAGACAGTTGAGAGGGCTACTAAATGCGCCTAGAGAGGAATCAGTGTAGTTGACATCCCCAGAACGGTACGAAGGACCTTGTCGCCGTAAACGCGCAATGGCCGGGATGACGTCATAAGCCCAGGATGTAATGGAACAAGGCACACGTGAAGGTAACACATGTATACGTTGAGGGATGGTGTATCAAGGAGGATGGCAGTAAGGGTGGTGCAAAAGTTGCAGAGATAGCAGGGGATCCACTTACACCAACCGCAAAAAAAAGTGTGAGCCCAATAGACGCGAAGTAAGCAGCAGTAAATGGGAGCCGGGGTCCAGACAGGAGGTGTTTGGCATAAGTCATGGGCCCGAGGAGCACCGCCCAGGACGCAAGAAACAAAACGGAGCCAACGGACCACCTGCACAGCCTGGTTAGAGTGACACTTGACAATCCGGATGGGCATAATTTGAAAACCATCGAGCAATATGGACAGAAGGGTTTAACGGCGATCTAAAATGTAAGGGCCGTGGAAACCATGAAAGAGCTTGCGTGGCTTTTTTAGGGAGAGGGTATACACCATAAAGTCCAAGCTAGAATCTATGGGTATTTATGTCAGGTAGGGCCTTCTGACACCCGGTGCTGATCCCACGTAGTGGATGTCATGATGTAAGGGAACGGTGACGTTTTGGCGCAAAGAGAATAGAAAAAAATCGCTGAAGGTCCTTAGGGAGAGCACTCACAGGATGGCAAATTTGCGTGGAACAAACATCAACGCAGGAAATATAATGAAGCACATGCAAATTGCAAAGCAGACAAGGGCGCCGATATTGAATCCCGCAAATATCAGCATGCGATCCCATCGACTCACTGTAAGCAATGGAAATTAGTAATAGGCGAAGATAAGCCGATGGCCCTTCAAACCGGCAGCATCGCCGCTCAAATGCTCAACAAGCAAGACAAACAAACTCGTGAAACTTGGCAAGACGCAGGAACTGACGGGGAATCACCCGTAGCTCATCATGCATAACGACGATTCCTGAGAGGGGGGGCCACGGGACTCACAAGCAAACCACCCTTCCTCTTCTTCTCTTCGTGTGGGAGCTGGTAACGGCGCAGAAGAGCCTTCTGACAGATGAACATAACCACGGCTCGCAAATGGATTTAGGGACTGTAGTTTTGAAAGTATTGGTGTTGAGGACGAGCCATTGGTGGTGGTGGGCTCTGGCGCTCTCCGAGACCAGCCCAGAGAATTCATAGAATCCCGAAAAGACGCCGACGCCATGGTGTAGGAGGATACGCGCCCTCGTTTAATTAGGATTAAAAGGAAGATCTAGCTTGCTGCGCGTTTTCTGGTACCGGCTGGGTGGTTGTGAAGAAACTGCGGAAGAGGTTCCGAGAACCGGCTGGGGCGTAGTCTCAACCCAGGAGAGGCGATGCAGGGAGTTGCGGCATCCACGGAAGCTAACGGGCAGACTCACAGGGGGTTTTGGGTAGTTTCGAGCAGATGATACGCAGCGGAGCCAAGGGTTGTGGGATCACAGGTCAGATGACTCGGTGCCACGAGATAGGATTTTAAACTCGACGATTGGACTCTGGACGCTTCGAGCTTTCCCCTTGCCTAGTTCTGTTGTCGAACTCTGACGTCACTGGTATCCTGGAATATTGTGCTTCGACCGCGACGATTGCTCGGAGCGCTTCGACGGTGACGGCTTGGACGAGTCGCGCTTGGATCCAGAACGAGGCGGTTTGAAATGGAGGGTGGTCGGGGCGGGGGAGAGGGAGGGTAGTTAGGGCTGTGACAAAAAAGGCTGTACAAAAGGCTAGAGCCCTACTTTGTACATTCACCACCCTGGAGATAAAATGGGTTTAAAGTGTCTATGTCAGATGATCATGGTTAGCTTTCTCGCTTGCTCGGCATGGGGCCAGCGGGAATATAAACCTGGGATGACGAAGAACAAGGAGTTTGCAGAGGAGGGATTGTTTCCCGCAAGAAAATGGTTAAAAAAAAAAAAAAAAAGCACAAAAGCCTACTGCGAGAACGTTGCATCTGATAGCCGTACCTCTTGTGTTCGATTAACCGAACCAAACGGGCTCACTCTGGTGCTCGTTGCCAGCTCGAGGCCACCTTGATCGCTGGATGCCTGCGATGTTGGACGTCGGACGTGAGCTTGCTGCTGAGTCATCACGCCGACGTGGCTTGGCGGCGGAAAGCTTCTCCGCACTTCGTATAGACTGGTATTCTGGATACAGACAAAAGCCGGAGGTCAAATACGGCTAGAAATAGATCTAGGTTGCGCACAGACCAGACGCGCTAGTCTATCTGGGACTAGGACGGCCCGCTGCCTTGCTCGGTGGAGAAACAGCGCCGGCTCGCAGCTTCACACCCATCGGCATGCATCCCGACACTGGACAGGTCACAGCACGCAGCGATGACCTCCGCGTCGAAAGGCCGCCAAAGGACAGGAGCGAGTGCCATCATAGACGCACGCACGCCTGTTGCATGTCTCCGGTGTGGAGTGGGCTTGCCATCACCGTCACCACAGCGATTCATGTTGGATGAGCAGAGCAATTCTCTGCTTCACCAGTAACGCGCATGAATGTGACTGCCCCAGCCCCCTTTGTGAAACATGAGCTTTTAATCGTTTCCATTCTTTCTTGTTTGCTTGTCGAATAGTAACCACCTCAACGTCTGAAAATAAGTAGGGGTGTGTACTCCGTACGGAGTAACTCCCTACCCTGTACTCTGTACGTAGCTCCTTCAAGACTCCGGGTTAATTCTGCTGAGATCCGGGGGCATATGCGGGGTAACCAGCGACAGACGTTCAGTGCTATCCGTCGCTCTCGCGTTTCTTTCTCTGGCTATCTTCTTCTTCTCCTTTTTTTTAAATTTATTATTATAATTTCATTAATTTTTATAATGTTAAAATGTCGACCTCAACTTACAGGCGAATTCTCCTTTTCACCGACGATCATCATTCGCGCAGCCGGCTCTCTTGCATACATCTCAATGCGGTCTTTCGAGATGATCAGATAACATCATAGAGCCCTGGTCAGTCCGAGATTCGTTTTCGGAGAATGGGAACGGGGATACCCATGGTTCATAATAGGTCGATCTCGCGGGAACACCTTATCTAAAAATCATCCCAAACTTTGCGATGCTGCCATGTGTAGCACCACTTTTGCTGTCTCCTCTTGAGTAAACTTCTTGGCTGAGAATTCGATGCGCATAATAACTCCTCCATCTTGATGACCCGCCGGAAGTGGTGGCGATTCAATACGAGGTGCTGCCAAAGTGACGCACAAGAACGTCGCTAGTAACCCATCGCTGTGGCCCCGTAGTATTCAACTTCGAGGTGTCCAGCTAATCTTCTACTTCTATGAATTATATGTCGCTCATCAATGTAGAGCCGTGTTCCCTCCCAGGACCCCCACGAAACCCCCCCCCCCCCCCCCCCCCTCCCCCCCGCGGCGATATGCCGTCGATATGCTACGGCCTCAAGACAGGCATCGTTGCATTGGAATTCTTCACATTTTGACCCCATGTCGACTCCTTGCGTCGATCATTTTAATACATGGGCGCTGCATAAGATCGAGAACAACAACCACCCCCCTTGCGAGTTTGCCCCGGATATGTCTTCATACCTCCGGAACTTGAACCGCACGCACGCTTTCGTGCGCAAGATCCACCGGGGTCGGAAATATGTGTGTACATTCGGATCATGTTCACCCACATTGTCTGCAGTACCCATGTGTGTCTCGTTGGAAGTACAGTACGGAGTACATGTGTGGGACTTCTTGCCCCACGCCTGGGAGGTGCCTCAGCACACCTGAAAAGGGATCACATTATTCGTCCGTGGCATCTGAATCATCCCACCACCATCATGACGCGATAAATGACTATTCACTATTGCTCGAGCTTCCCCCCTTACATTATTATTATACAGCTCTATACGGAATAACTTTTTTTTTTTTTTTTTTAATTTTTTCTTGAGGATGTACCATTAAGCTTTCTGTTCCTCACTTTGCCAACTTTTTTTATGAACGCCTCACCAAGTCACATTGCCCTTCCCACTTAGAAGTTGGCTCGGGTCTGGCGTTGCTAATGCACTTTGGTGCGGTGCTTTTCGTCGACTCGAAACAATGTCTTTCCTCAAGAGCTCAGCTTTACTCAAAAAGTAGCCTTTGGGTTCGCCTCATCGCCCGTCCCACCCAGAATACTGGGGTCCAGAAGCGGAATCAAGATTTCCTTTGGCCTACTCTCTCTTTAGATATAACCTTGTGTAGATAGCTACCAACTTAGCATTTTCACCTTTTTTTTTTTTTTTAAAAAAAAAAAGGGTCCACCAACCCGGGGGCTTAAAAAGGTCGTCAGCACTAACCGCGTGGACTGCATGATCAACCCGAGCTGCATGACTATCGTCATCACATATCAAATAGGAGATGCAGGACACCGTCCTCGTAGTCCATAAATGCCCGTCACCCTCGCCCCGATTAAAGCCCCTTGCTTTAATCCCGATTGTTCGAGTCTGACCTGAGCTTTTCCTGCGTGATTCGTCGCTGCGGCTAAAATCGAGTCAGCTCACCAAGTCATTAGTCGGTCTAATCCACCATCTGGTTGGTGGATATTTGCCGTTGTATCACTCACAAGCGCAGGCACCACTTATATCGCGCAGAGCCTTGTTGAAAGGAATTTTCCTCGCTGCCTGCCGATCTCATTTATCGAGTGTTTTCCGCGTCTGTCAACTTGAACCCGTCAACATCGTCAACTTCCGTCACGGCTCTCCTGATACATATTCAACGGCATAGCCAAAGCCTTATCACCACACGATCTCACGCTCTTCTTCCTTATCTTGTCGCTCGATGACCACTTCCCCATATACTGTCTGAGTATTAGGTCGTTTTCATCAAAAATAGCTTTCCACTACGATCTACTCGAAGCCCTCTCACCCTTAATGGAGGACCCGTCCCGGACTCGTAGAGCTTTGAAAATCTTTGAAAGGACTTTGGTTAGTATTTTTGTTTCCTTGATCATGAACTGCTCATTCCATTTGTGTTTGATTTTCCACTGTTATTTTTCTCTGCCATTTCGCCAAAGATTACACCACCAGGTGAATCCTGGTTGTTTGCACTCAACTTCAAAGTCGCCCTGGGGCGATATCTCCGACTACAGGGACCATGTCCGAGCGCATCCACCCGAGGACCAAACTTTCGTTTCTCGTTGACACTACCCCTTGCTGGAAATTGATCAAGAGAATCCACCTCTGGGCTTGCTGCTCTGGCTACTCTCTGGCCTGTCATCTGGGTGGGTCAGGGAGAAATTGCTTCGTGTCGCTCTCCCGTCAAGCGCCCCATCGCGAAACGCTCGTCGAACAAAGTTTTTGCCGCCCTTCTCCGCTCTGGGGCGGTGCGCCGGTACAGTACAACACACAACCGCCTCGTAAAATACATCGTTGTACCGTACCATACCATACCGCCATCCTCCACCGCAACTTTTTCTGCCGTACCCTTGTTTCGTGTCTCTGTGGCCTTCTCCCTCCTCCTCCTGCCAACAATCCATCACCGACATCATCACCACCATCATCCTCGTCAACTCAATCTCTCTCGACATGGGTCCAAAATCCCCAGAGTAACTTCGCAATCAACGTGGAAGGAGATACTCGATCATCAATCAACCTCTGTCACATACAACCTTCTCCTCGACCGGATTTTTCTGGTTACATCTCCTCTGACTCTTCAACTTTTTTCAAGCTTGCTTACCTATTCTTACTGAAGATCATAATTTTATTTTTTTTTTAACACCGCCAATTCTCTAACATTTCCAGTGGCATAGGAACACACCACAATAGCCTCACAGTCAATTGACTCATTTCCCATTCCGCCTTTATCCTCTGTCATCGTTGAGCGATAGCCTTGCCCAGCTCGTCCACGGTTTAAGCCTTGCCTTCCAACGACCTCGCTTGCCTTGACGAGAACTCTCGAAAGGGCTGGCGGGTAGGATTGGAGCTGCTGATTACTGGATTTCGCTCTTTGGACGTATTTCCGGGTTTAATTCTTTCGCGAAGGTGAGTGATCTCGCGGTATCTATGGTGGCTGCGTGAGATATCGGTCCAGGCGCATTCGAGGTCGCCGAAATCGATATTTGCCGGCGCTTTTCTTTTGATGTCTCAGATGTGTGTTGTGTAAGGGAAACGTCGGTGGGATCTCGCCAGTCGACGCTTTAGAGCCTTACGCAGCATATATGACTCGCCGGCAGCCTTGCTTTCCCTCATCACTTTCACACATAAATAGCTAACTCCTTGGTTGATTGATAGTTGAAGTCGACCGACTTCTTTTTATCAGACTCTCGATCGATCTCCGATAATTTTACCTTAACAGTCGTTGCCATCTATATTTGTTAGGCGAGCACACGAACAGAAACGATATCTTGTCCCACTAACACTTGCCGATACTCGGGTTATAATTCCCTCGAAGAAAACCAGAAAAAGAAACCCCCCCAAAAAAAGGAACAAAACCATGGCGGAGGCTACGTTTATTAAAACGGAACCCGATGACCAAATGAACAATTCGAGTCATTTTATCATGTCTAACTCCACATACGGACTACCCAGTCCGTCCTTCGGGAATCAGTTCGGAAACTCCGGAACGAATGATGGCATTGATCCCTCGGAACTTACCATGCACAATAGTGGCTTCATGTCGAATCCCTTCAGCTCGCCCCAGAACCTGTCTTCGAGTTTCAACTTCGGTAATTCTGGGATTGATACCGAAGAGCTGCTTGATTTAGAGATAAACGGACAGAACACGATACGCGATGGGTCTTACAACCTGGTTCCAGAGCAGCGACAGCCTACTGGAATCTCCATGAGCCACCAAGGCCAGATGTCCCACGTATTTTCGAATACACCGGACGGAGCCCCTATCAACAGCCCTTTTATTCGTGGTGGTTTTGGCTATGATCAGTTCCGGCCGATGCAGCAGCACACTCCTCAGGATGCCTCACCGCACATGAACGGTACAAACGTCCATTTTGATCAGAATTACCTGGGTGGAAAAACGCGTGCAAGCCTTCAGGTTGACAGGAACTCTGTGGATGCCCGAAGCCCCATGTCACCCAAGACTCCTGCTATGGCGGGCTTGAATATCGCTACCCCTGAATCCGGAAGCTTCCCGTCACAGCCCATAAGGGCAGTATCTCTACAATCCCAGCATCAAAAGAATATGTCGAGCCAGTGGGATGGCACGCCTGGTAGTGCTCAGTCCTTAATCGAATCTCCGATCTCATCGCCCGGACACCCATCCCACCATCTTGGAATTTCAGAGATTCTGAAATCTGGAAAACATGCTTCCCTCCCGACCAAAGTTGGCCACCATACGAGTGCGCAGCAAGCCTTGGAGTCACAAGAAGCCAAAAGGAAACGTCGTCGCGCCTCTCACAACCTGGTGGAGCGTCGCAGACGTGACAATATCAACGAGCGAATCCAAGACCTTTCCCATCTGGTCCCGCAACATCGCTTAGAGGATGAGAAGATAAGGAAACAGCTTCTCAATAACTCTTCGCTTGCCGGTTCCGTGGGCACCCCCGGACTGAATTCGACGAATGCAGCGACATCTCTTCTTGCGGGGGGCTGTGGAAGGCGCGCGACGAGCGGCAATATTACCATGGGACTGCCGATCGAGGAGAAAGAAAAGGGACCAAACAAGGGTGACATCCTCAACGGAGCAGTTGGCTGGACTAGAGATCTCATGTGGGCACTGCATCGCAAATTAGAGCAAGAAGACCAGTTGGCCGAACTGATCACTTCGCTCGGTGGAACATGGCCATTTGAGCAGACTGAAGAGGATAAGCGGATGCGAACGGAATTACTCGATGCAATGGAGAAAAACAACGCAAATACATTTGCTTATAGCCGCGCGCCAGGAAGTGGCCTTCGGGTTCCCAAGCACACTAACATCGCCGGCGAGCCACTACAAGGACAAGCGAACTCGCAGAGCCTGAGTCCTGGTTTCCATAGCGGAGGCAGCGGCAACACTAGTGGCAACGGCCAGGCACAATTCTGGAATACTTCAGGCCATGCGGGTATGAGCTTCAAAGAAGAGGACGAGTACTCGATGGATATAAATTGAGCACTGGGACGCGTTACATTTCGGATTCAACACAAGATTGCATAGGTGGCGTCGCTTCTCGGAGTGGAATAGTGGGGTTTGGAGGCGTTGGCACTCGCATGCTCTGGCCGCGTGTCTGTCTCTTTGGGGTTGCTGGCCTTTTTCTACGAACTATTTAATATCTTTCCTTTTCTCTCGAGACCTGTCTCTTACTTTCTGTGTCCATTTCCGAGTTCGCCTGCGCATTTATATTGACCCTCTTCCTTTTGATTCATATGAACATAATATTTGTCTTTTGTTTTGCCTTCAAAGACCCAGCAGGTATTTGTGAGCAGCTGCTTTATGTTTTCTTTTTCTATTAATTTTCCCAACAGTTTCCTCCTTGCTTGCTGTCGGTTCTGTATTGGTTTCGACATTATTCTCTAGGTTATGCTCTCTGCCTGTTTCAAATTATCATTTCCCGGCCCTTCCTCGTTATGATGTATCTCCTTTTTTTCTTTGAGTGATTTTCTTTTTTCTCACATACTTAATGACCATTGATACCCATACTGTTACTATGCCCATTCTAATCCTTGGTTGACTTCAGCTCAACGACTGATGGCCTCTCCCTATCTCCCAGATATTTCTCAGTGTGAAATCACTATATAGACAGTCCCAAGTTAACAAGGCAGCCAAGCAGAAGTCGTGTCAGCTGCTTCTGATGCCTGGGCTTCCTGAGACATGCATGTTACGGCCTTTATGAGTTTGTCTGCCAACAAACCTATGATGATGATCTATTTTTTAGACTCCGCCCTAAAATCCCCCCTCTCCCCTCCTCTTTCTCTCTCTTATCTCTCTCGTGGGCACAACGAGGTATGATAACGATTTGAATGATTATCTCTCTGACATTATCTTGCTTGATGGGTATCTCTGTGTGCATTTTGCTGATTTTTCCTTCCTTCCCTCCCTACATGTCTTTTTTTTTTCCTGTTTGTCCTATTTATATAACTCATGGCCAATCCCTTTTTCGCTTTCCCTCTTAGATACATCTGTACTGTAATCCGTATGGACTCGGTTTATTTATTTATTTCTTTTTATTAATGCGTTGCAAAAATCCAAGGTACCAGATTCGGCCAGTTACATGATGCAAATTCCTGATCCATAGCCTTATACATATATCTATTGCAAATGCCTTTAACCCTACAAGGCACGGAGTCCATATCTTATGTTGTGCAGCACATATGCATGTTGAGCGAAACTGTTGGTGCAACTGCATATTAAGAGCTGTCGCATGCACTTGTACTGTACTAACAAATACACCCATACACGCTGAGGATGGGTAAGATACCGTTCCATACGAGCACCTGGGGGTAATCTTACAATAGTTCGACAGCGGTAAACCTCAAACTATGACTCCTCAACCTCTCGTGCAGGTCTTGGCGTTCCCCCCCCAAACAAAAACCACCACCAGCAGCAGCGCTAGCACCGCTATTTTCTTCCACTATCTCGTCATTTTTTCGGCGCCGAGATATGAGTGTGTTTTTCTCCTTTCCTTTTTTACTTTGTTCTATTTTCTCTTTTTGGTTACACAAAGCAAATGCCGGAACACGAAAGAAGGGAATCGATTCTGGGGAAAACCCCGGCAATCCCAGATCTTATTTTTATTCTTCCTTTTGTCTTTAACTATTTTTCACTTTCTAGACGCTATTTGATATGATGCGACACGAGAGCCCTGAGGTAATACGATGTCCCATCTAAAGGAACTTCTCATTTTTGCATGCTATGAAAGCCATACTGTCATGGTGAAAAGTGAGCTTTCCCAAGGCCTCGTCTCTATCGGCGAGAAAAAAAAGAAAAATAAAGAAAAAATGGGGAAAAAAAGAAAATAACATTGAAAACGCCGGATGAGCTCACCGGTGACGTCATGGAGGGTTGGGGGAGGAATGGGAGGGGAGAGGTGCGTGCGCGCTGAACATTTTCTGTTCGGTTGCATTGCGGTGGGAGTCGGGCTGTTGGTTAACCAGTTAGTTAACTCTCGTCACCGGCCACCAGTGAACTGTCTCATCAACCACAGGTTGGTTGTATGCGCAGCTGGGCTCCGTTGGTGCGGCTGGTCGAGAGAAGGGGGGGGGGAGAGTGTTTGCAAAGGGACAGTGAGGAGGGGGATAGTGTTTGCCTTTCTCCTGACGAGGCGAGCTGCTAGTTAGTACTCAGTTGGCTCACTTATGATAAGCTGAGAGGAAAATAGAGATAAGACTTGACGAGTTTTTTTTTAAATGCCTTTTTTTTTGCGAATCTGCAATGAAACTCCTCGTGCAATGGAGATCACGATCGTGGCTTGGCGCGATCGTGCGGGACCCAGTTGCCGACGACAATTCGATGCAAACCTCTCCACACGGATGGAGAGACGAGTCGGCATCCTGGAGGGGGGTGTCAACTTGTCAACGGATTCATGCCGGCGGGTGCGGCGCGGGAAGAGGGCAGAGAAGACAAAAAGGAAGCGGGGGAAGAAGCGAAGGGGAAGATGCGGAGTAGGTTTCACTAGGTGTAGGCTGGGGCCACGACGCTCCCGCAACCTTCTTTTTCAACCCATGCCCAGTGGACGGAGGAAGAGTACGGATAATATGGATGTAGTATTTGTTGCCAAAGCTTTTGCATGGATGGACATGGATGATAGATTTCCAGCAACTGACTAGTCGGGGGCATCGTACCGAAGAAGGGGACAGCACGCGAGATAATTGCCTCGTATTAGTTCAAGACAAAGAGCTTCTATTCGTTGACTGGAGCGGCGAGCTTTTGGGGATTTGACTTGTTTTGTCGCCGAGAGCTCCGAGAGAAGAGAGAAATGTTGCTCCACGGAAATGATATCGCCAGAAACACACCTCCTCGGAGAGCGGCACCACCGACGAGTCTTGGGAGTCAATCTCAAAAACGAAAAAAGGTACTCATTGCGTAGTTGGTATGTCGCCCCGTTCAGTACATTAACTTGGAGGGCGGATAGATCCAAACTGAAATCTATACGTATTGTCCTGATATTCCCTGACAACTTATCTATCTATACACCATATTCACATAACCCTCTTGAGCACCTGGTATAGGACACCTGGATACTAATTAATGGGGTCCAATTTGTTCCTGACATCCTTCAGACCGTAGTCAATTAGGACCACCACGTTGAATTTATCTGACTCCTCGAGCTCAGTTACGGGTTCGGGGTTAAGACTACTCTATAACCTATATCGGGAAGTGGTTATTTAACCAATTGTTGAGCAAGACTCTTTTGGATTGAGCTGGCATTCACACAGCCGTATAAACTCTGTATAAATCTGCAGGCCGTCCATTTCTTGCTTTCTTTCTTTCTCTCTCTTCTTTTCTTTTCTTTCTTTCTCTCTCTCATCTTTTCTTTTCTTTTTCTTTTTTTCTTTTTTTTTTTTCTTTTGGGCCATCTCATTCGGTAAAGTCAAAGCTGCGAACCGCGCATGACGGTAGGAAGTAGTCCGTCTTTTCCATAGATCAGTGTGCGAACCATATATCCTCGCTGCAGCATGGTCATGCGAGATTGAGAAGGCCAGGATCTCCGTACGGATCTCTATCTCGCGATTCACAAGCTCGGAATGCTCAACAACAGCTTTCATCACTTCGCCAGTTACGCCGTGGGCGCTGCATCAGCTTCGAGGGCCGTGCGAGTTTTGTCCGGACCAAATCACCGGAACCAGCACGGAGTTACGGAGAAGCTACTGCAGAGTATGTCGTTAACCACGAAGTATATACTAGTTACCTGTTTGCTGGAGACTTCACCATAAACCTTAAATTAGTTTACTGTCTCGGGAAATGGTGAAAGGGACTTGAGCATACTCGCGGGAAAGTGTGCGCAGAAACATTATTTCACTTCAAAAGGCCCTGCGGGAGCTATGACAGTCTAGAAGGATGCAAGCGATTCAAACTTGGCAAGCATCGACTTCAAAAGTTCACGTTGGGCTCTTTATCCAACGCCCTTCATTCGGTTATCTTGGGTAGTATCCGTCCACGCGAGAGAAGAATGACACTTTTGTGCTACTCGAATCTCTAGTACCTGTACTTGACGCCGTTGAGGAGCCGCAAGGCTTGAAAGGCCGACCATGAGGATCGATCGGATTCCTCTCAACCACCGGCTGAAAAAACACGAAGGCCAATCGCCACCACATCAAATGAGAAGTCAAGAGACAACCCCCTAAGCGCTAATTAAGTGAGTCACTCTCTCAAATGAGCCGCTGTCTCCGATCAGCTCCCCCCCGTTAGACGTTTAGGTACCATATTTACCCATCACTTGTTTGGGAAGAGCTCTGAACCGTGACATTGTTCTCGAGTAAGGAGTACCCGTGATGGCTCCGCAAGGCGCATTTTATTTCCCGCATTTCATTCCAATCATCTGACTTGAGAATGTGGGTGGCGCCTTTGGATTAATTCTCCCCCCAAGAGAGGTGTATCAGGTGGAACGTCTCCCCGGTAGTTTGATCACAGGGAGAACCTCGTGATCCGTCAAAGGGGTTGAAGGGGGAACAAAAAAGATCATAACGGGTGTGCATACATGAAACGAAGACGATATTCTCTATGTATCGAACGCATAAAACGATGTCCTGGGCTCATCCAGCAATGGAGGGGTCACATGGCGCAAGGGTGCGATCCAGGGGCAGCCTTGTTATAGCTCTTTTCGAGGAAACCGGGTTGATTCAATGAATATTCGGTGTATCTCAATGGTACTGGAGAATGACAGTCTTAAATCAAGTTCCATTAAAAGAATGCCCTCGTCTGTCTGCGCATAACGCAGTATGTATCAAGACACATATCAAATGCACGCTCTAGACAAGATAAAATGTCCACAGGCATGAAACAACACAAACACACACAAAAGATTCTATCGCGTACGCGGAATAGTAAAATGTCCTGGTATCTAATCTAAAAAGGTGACACTTATCGGAAAACCGACAAACTGAGAGAGATTCCATCGGAGCTGGGGCGTGGGAACACACCTGACAATCCATGGCCAACAATCCAAAAGCTTTTCCTTGGGAAAGGACTGAGATTCAGTGAAGGAACGAAAGGCCGGCCCATAGTGTCTGCGTCCGTAATGTGAGCCCAAACCCCTTACCCCCGCCCGCAAAACACACCCAGAGGAACTGGATGGTTTTCGGCTAATCAAAGCTGGAAGCTTCGTTTTTTATTCCTAATTGGTCCTTTACCCTCCATCACGCATGTTCTAGTTGTCGGAATGGAACAGTTGAACCGGGAGAAATCTATTCTCCTCTCATCTTGCGGAAGAAATCCGTCACACCAGTGAACACGACCAACAGAATACCACCACCAGGACCCAGTCTCAAAACCTTGGGAATGAATCCCTTATAGAGAGCACCGAAGCCTTCCTCCTTCATGACTGTTCCCAGAGCCGGCCAAGCCCAGTTGTACTTGGGGGTCTGACCCGCGACTCTCGGGCTGTTTTGAATGCGCGACTTGACAACATCCATGGGGGTATTCAAAATGGTACCGATGGTTCCACCGACGGTACCGGCAATAATATCATTGCGCATTTGTTGACTCTTGTTTCCTGGTTCGGCCTTGGGGAGCTGAGCGCGAATCTGGAAGATGGAGCCAAAGTAACCCGCATTCCATAGAATGTGACGCCACAGGGTGGATTCAAGGCCGTTGTAGAGCGCAAGGGGTCCTTCCTGCTTGACGATCTTCTGCACAACATCGATCATGCCGTTGTATTTTCCTGCAGAGTTGCGATCTTGGAGACGAATCTTGACGAGCTCGAAAGGAACGACGACGAAGGACTCGGTTGCACCGGCAGTGGCACCGGTGAGAATCGCCAGGGGCTGGTTGTTCTTCTCCATTCCGAATAAGGATCGGTAGAATGCGCCCCAGCTGTCGTTGGCGGCGAACTTGGTGGCACGCTTCGGAGCTTCCATGAGAATAGGTGCAGTGATCCCACGGTAGAGGCGGGAGAACCTGGTCGCATATCATGCCGTTAGGACTAAGATCCAAATGCGCACAATATCTGATCCAAAACATACCCCTCATTTTTGACAATCTTCTGGAGGCAGTCGACCATTCCGCTATAAGCTTCGGCACCGGCTCCGGTACCCTGTTGGAGCTGACTGTAGTAGGGCATCAGCAGGCCATTTCAAATGAAGACGAGCGGTATAACACCAGAGCTGCAGCACTCACACTCTTGTTTTGACCACATCGAGAGGATACCTGTCTTGAATATTAGCATGCGCTTTCTCATGGTGGAACCCTGCATCTGGGTTATCGAGCGTGGGGGTCATCGCACATTACAAGAATCTAATGGCACAAAAAAGATGTCTGTTAGCAATTGCCAGGCAGGTTCAGATACAAAGGGTTGCATTGCATACTTCAGAGACACCAGCCACAGCACCGGCTGCAAACTGGTATGCAAATGGTAGGGGCTTCTTCTCTTCCGACATCTTTGTGGGGTTTGTGTGAGTGCGAGCAGATGAGGCAGAACGAAAGCGATGACAAAGGAGGATTTAAGGACTAGTTAGTACACTGTAAAAGAATAAAAAAATGGACAAGGACGAGAGATTTATCCCAATTGACCAGGCACAAGCGCTGAAGAGAGTGAATTGAGAGCAGCAATCAACGAGGGAGTTGGTAGTATTTGGGTGAACGGCGGGAATAATTAGTGGTGGAGGAGATTGCTCGGCAAGAAAAGCGGCCTTTAATTTTGCCTCCAAATTTAGAGTTTTCGTTCTCCGCGATGCGATCAGGAACGGTCTCGGGCGTTGGGTTTTCGGGAACGACAAAGACCCGAGCAAGCGAGCTACCGTTGCAGCAGACAGGTACATACATACTGTACGTACATACATTCCATGCCTACAGGACTCGACGGTCTACTTGAGTGACTCTCTACAGGTGTGGCTCGGTCGGGATTCCGCCTCAGTGCGCTTGTGGCGGCGGGGAAAAAAAAGGCCGCTCGCACCGACACTGGAAGGTACGCCTTGACTTTTCGACGATGTCGCAGCTTCTTATGGATAACTGAGGGATGGAGCCTTTCCTTTTTTGGCTAGTTCCATAATACTAGTTATCACATGACTTGAGTTGATTACATAATCATATCTCACGTGATCTCGTTTTGTTGACGCGTTTTTGGTGGCTACGCGACTGAGATGAGACGAGGCGAGCTATCGGCTTTCGCGCCAGCCAATTGAGTAGGATGCCAACTTGTGGATAATGAGAATATCACCATTTGGCATGGACCACAACTGTCAATGTTCGACGATCCCCTTGTCATCTCCTCTGTTTCTAAGTCCAAATTGAATTCCTTCCGCTATATCAATACTGCTCCCGCGTCCCATATGTCTGCTTCGAACGGCGATGACGAGAGCAAGACAGTCGGCCGGCTGGATGAACGTGGCGGGTCCCGTCCGCCCGTAGAGGCCGTCGAACGAGCAGCCCTAGACATCAACAAAGAAAATCTCCATTCTGAAGGTCGAGAGGTCAAACCTGCATCCAGTTGCCCCCAGACACCAGCGCATAGAATACCCCTGGCCGATCTGATCAGCAACACGGAGGATGCATTTAATCAGGCACCTGGGAAGGTCCTTACCCCAGAGGATCATGTCTACTGGGACCACCGAAGCCCGTCTCTTAAGAATAAGCCGCGCTCCTCTCTTTGTCCAGGCAAGAAGCGAAGCCATAGCTCCTCGCCCACCAGATCGCCGTTGAACAAGGATGTACCGGCTGAACTGCGTCCCACCGGGTCGCTGATGAAAACCCCTCAGCACGACATAGCTGCAGACCTATGGAGCAAGTACGTTGGCAAGGGAAATGAGATACCAGGTGGCGACCTTCCAAAGTTCCATTTTTCCCAGCTTGCATCATCACCCCAGACTCCCGCGCCCCAGTCCCGGTCCGCTAGAGATGGATCGGGGCTACGAAGAGCCAACAGCTGCAATACTGACTGGCCAACATCTAACACTAAACGAAGGAGGCTGGACTATGACCAGCAACGAACTAATAACATCCGTGATGGCTTCACCCGCTCGCGGACGTCGTTACTGGCATCCGATAGATCAAAATCTTCGAAGATCAATCTACTAGTTGAGAAAATTCAGGATACTTTGTTGAAGTATCCAAAAGATGATCCGACCGCCCCTTCTAGTTCCTCCCCCTTGCCTGACCGCTCCGATAATACAGACGATGGCTGTCCTATGTCGCCGCCAAAAGAATCGATCCAAAACCAGCCAATTGACACTCCATCCAAATGCGCGCCGTCTCTACGATATGAAAGACAGCCGGTGGAGGCGAATATTGATTCTGATTCCCAAGAAAAATTCGACGTACCGGGTGCATCGTCGGAATTTGGTGATGATGATTTGGACCGCGATTTCCTTGAACTTGCGGTTGCGTCGCCCAAGAAACTTTTCCCCCTTTGTACGGACAAGCCCAAGGCAAACGAACCGGTGAAAAAGGTCGAGGACATCCCGACCTTACACCCAACTAATCCCCCACCACACTCTATGGACGAGAAGGTTTCTCATATTATAGATGAGTTTAATGATAATGACGACGAATTGGATGACGGACTTGAAGAAATTATGGCGCAGTATGATTCAAAGGCTTTGTCTGCTGGGCAGACCACAAGCGATGAAAGGATCATGCAGGATTTGGGGCCAGGAAAATCCACGAATGGTAAGACTAACGGGGAGGATGAAATGAAGAATGACCCCAACATGAAAGCGGAAACGGCTGTTACTTTGATGTCCGATGATGAGTTTGATGATGATATTGATCTGGAAGCAATTGAGGATGCAATGCGGAAAGGCACTGAAGTTGCTGCTGCTACTAGCAAAGTTGGTCTTCCCCTGTATGCATGAGGCTTTCCTTCTAGATATATCGCTAAGAGATATAGAAGCATTTTAAGCATTCTCAAGCTATTAAACGTTATCTCATCCTTGATTGCGCTGAGAATAGCTACACCAGAAGCAATGGCCGAGCGCAGCTCGAAAAGGTAGAGTCTTCTTTTGTTTCCTCTGCGTTCCTTGGGGTCCTCGCTGCCTGCTAATGTCGAGACAGGTACTTTTTGTTGAAGAAGAAAGGACCAAGCAAAACCGGGCCATCACCCTAAGAGAATCGTGGTTTGATATGCCTTGCAAGAAAGGTTTCTATCTCCATCTCATCGGGGAATTTGATACCACCGGACAGTGCATAGTGGACGATGCCAACAACATGATAATCCTCCATCCTGACTATCTTATCTCTGCCACCGTTGTAGCTGATTCTTTTACATGTCAGCGACGGGCAGTGCTTCAAGATCGCATCAAGGCCACCAGTGAAGCTTCAAAGCCTCAAGTGTACGGCCATATCCTCCACGAGATTTTTCAGGAAGCCATGCAAGCTAATAGATGGGATTTTGGCTGCCTGAGAGGACTTATCGACGAGACATTGCCAAAATACCTGGAGAGTTTATATGAGATTCAGGTTGATGTGCCCGAGGCAAAGGCATACCTTCAGGCTAAGATTCCCGCGCTGAAAGCTTGGGCGGAGGTCTTCCTTCGCTGTAGGCCAATTGTAAGCATTTTGAGTATTACAATTTGCATGCTGATGCTTACTCCTCTTTTAGCATGAGTCCATCATTGAGGACAGAAACGGCACCAAAGCCCGACTGTGTATAAACAAACTTCTCGAAGTTGAGGAGCATATTTGGTCGCCCATGTACGGACTAAAAGGCAATGTCGATGCAACTGTTCAGGTAGTTCTTCAGGATAAAACGGAACAGAAGACTCTCACGGTGCCTTTGGAGCTTAAAACTGGAAGAAATACTACCAATGAAACACATAGAGCGCAGACAGCATTATACACCTTGCTCCTTTCGGACCGCTATGGTATGTTGAATGTGAAGGGAATGTTATGAATATGCTAACTGCTCGAAATAGACATTGACGTTACTTTTGGCATACTGTATTATTTGGAGGCTTCAAAGACGCATCGTGTTCGGGCTATACCGGCTGAGATACGCCAGATGATACAACAACGAAATAGACTGGCTGGATACGTTCGAGAGCGGCTAGATCTTCCTCCTATGCTGAAAAATCCGCGGATATGCAACCAATGTTACGCGAAAACACCGTGTTTTGTATATCACAAGCTAATGGATAATGGCGATGGAGAGACGGGTGGTATAGGAAAGAGTTTCACAGAGCTCGTCGGTCATCTGAGTCCCTTGCATCAAACTTTCTTCAAAAAGTGGGATTTATTGTTGACTCAGGAAGAAAAAGAAGCGATGAAATTCCGTCGAGAGCTTTGGACGATGCTAAGCAGTGAGCGAGAAGGAGTTGGCCGCTGTTTCAGTAATGTCGTGATAGAGCCAGGGTCAGCCTTCGAGGATACCGATGGCCCAAAGATCAATCGCTTCCGGTACACTTTCGTCAAGCATAAGCCATTTTCTGGGTTTTCTTTTGCGGAATCACAGATCACTGCTGGAGAGCCCATTGTGGTGTCTGATGAGAAAGGCCACTTTGCTCTTGCCAATGGCTACGTTGTGCAAATTAGTTCTAGAAGACTCACTGTTTCTGTAGATCGGAGGCTCCACAATGCCCGGACGAAGGTGGTGGGCTTTGACGCGGATCGAAATCAGTCTTTCATGGGAATTATGGAAGTCAATGATAGCAAATTGGCGGATTCCAGAGTGGCGGAGGAAGAGGAGGTTGTGTTATATCGCGTGGATAAAGATGAGTTTAGTAACGGCATGGCGACCGTGAGAAATAATCTTGTTTGCATGATGGACAACTCACAGTTCCGATCGAAACGATTGAGGGACCTGATTATCGAAGGGGTTCCACCATCCTTCAAACCATTATCGTCTGTGCCAAACCTATCTGCTTCCGCAGAAGCGAACTTGAATGTGGATCAGAAAGAGGCGATTGAGAAGGTTATGAGTGCTGACGACTATGCTCTTGTTCTTGGTATGCCTGGAACTGGAAAGACTACGACCATTGCTCAGCTTATTCGTGCCATTGTCGCGCAAGGGAAAAGTGTTTTGCTGGCTTCATACACGCACACGGCGGTGGATAACATCCTTCTTAAGATTCGATATGACGGAACTAAAATTTTGAGACTTGGGGTACCTGCAAAAGTGCATCCGGAGGTTCAACAGTTTGCTGATCTCGCGGGGATTCCGAAGAAATCGATTGAGGAGATTAAAGACTCGATTGAGAATTCACAAGTGGTCGCGACCACTTGCTTGGGGATCAATCATTTCATCTTCAACAGTCGAACGTTTGATTATTGTATCGTCGACGAAGCTTCGCAGATTACACTTCCTGTTTGTCTGGGACCAATTCGGATGGCAAAGACATTTATCCTCGTGGGCGATCATTATCAGCTTCCACCTCTCGTTCAAAACAAAGAAGCGCTGGAAGGTGGACTGGATGTGAGCTTGTTCAAGCTACTTTGCGACATGCATCCGGGCGCCGTTGTCAACCTTGAGCATCAATATCGAATGTGTGAAGACATAATGCTACTTTCTAACACGCTCATTTACTTCGGACATTTGAAATGTGGCACACCAGAAGTAGCTTCGCGCTCGTTGAATATTCCCAATATGAGTGGGCTGAAACAACATCACATCAGTCCTTTGAGTGTGCCGTCATCTCATACACCGTGTTTAGGACCAACCCGCGGACGCTGCTGGCTTCGAGACCTTTTGGACCCAAGCGCAAAAGCCCGCCTGGTCAATACAGACTTCTTAAACCCCCGGGCCGGAGAGTCTGCTAACGGCTCACGCATCGTCAACGTCGTCGAAGTCGCTCTCTGCAACCAACTCGTCGAAGCACTCATCTCCGTCGGAATCCCCGCACAAGAAATAGGTGTCGTAACCCTGTATCGAAGTCAGCTCGCCCTCCTCAGGCAGAACCTACGCCGTCATCTTCCTGAGCTTGAGATGCATACGGCCGACCGCTTCCAGGGACGCGATAAAGAAGTGATTATCATGAGCTGCGTACGAAGCAATGCAGAGAACAATGTGGGCGAATTACTCCGGGATTGGCGACGGGTTAACGTTGCATTCACACGGGCGCGGACCAAATTCCTTATTGTGGGCAGCAAGACCACGCTTCGAGAGGGGAATGAATTGCTGGATAGGTTTGTTAAGCTTATGGATGGGAAAGGTTGGTGTTATGATTTGCCCCCGACAGCGGTAGAGAGTCATGTTTTTGAGGAACCTGCGTTTACGCAGGTGAGTCCACAGAGAACAAAGAGTAAACCTGTGAGTCCAAAGAAGAAGGGGCAGAGTCCTATAAAGAGGAGTCCTGTCAAGAGGCAATCTCGGACGGTGCTTGGTCCGATGAGGAACGAAAGTGGTTTGTTTGGGATGGGCGGTAGGAAGGCTGAAAAGCTTGGAGGTAAGGAGACACATGCTGCGAAGATGGTCGGGAGGAGACCCGTGTTGAGGGATGTATATCATGATTTGCTTGGATAAGTCGTCTATCTCTTCTCGCTGTACTCCGTTGGGTTGGACTTTGGCTGGTAACTACGCATTTGGTTGCATGACGCTCCGTAAAAGGGGGCTTTTGGACAAATCCATTTATTCTTTTTAGGGCTCTATCCAGATGAAACTTTGACTTCACATTTCGGCCATCTTTATCGATGTGACTATAAATCATACGAAAGTCGAGACAACACAATCAAGAGGCTGACCACGGGCAGCCAACGTACTCCCAGCAAACAAATTTCCTCCGTGGCTGTTTCTGGTCCGATTTCAAAGCGTTATCTTCTGTAGTATCAGCTTTATAACAAGGAGGTGCCAATATCATATACCCATCTTTGCCTTCAACCGCCTCCTTGCCGAGTGCGTGTGAAGATATTGCAAACCAGGAGTCCGACCCCGCAGTACTACGTCTTTTGGAAAGTCCATATCAGTCGGCTTCCGAGTTTAATTAGGTTTTTGATTTAACTTACAGCGTGGCGATGAGTAACTGTGTGATCCAATGACTTGGAAGCAATCCTTTCCAGGTGAGTTTCACGAGGTTCGAGGAAGTACAGTTCTCTTTATTGGGCACCGAGTATCGACTAAGATATGGATCTATCGAGTCATCCGCGTTGAGGCGTGGAGTCCCTAGGAAGGCCAGCGCAAGCCACTCCTGGATTTCAACGCAGGTATCGGAGAGTTCTGATATTGCCTGCTCACTTTCTGCCTGAAAAGTGGATGGTGTAAATGATGGAGTTAGGACATTTTGGAAACGTGACTTTGTTGAGGTGCACGAGAAGATTTGTGGTGAATGCCTTTTGATGGGAGCATCTAAGACAATGTCAGTATCGGGCACCCTTCAAGAAACAAAGTAAACCTGTAGATATGGGGAGGAGTTTGACCTTGACCTGATAGATCTGAGGACGGGGATAAATCGCTGAACAGCCATGTAAGGGACTCGTTAAGAACATTTTTGAAAGCCCATACAATGCGCTCGAATCCCTTTTTGCCGTGGAGCATAGAAGGCAGGCGGAGATTGATTTCCACAACTTGGTTTTGTATAGTTAGCTACTATATAGACGCGTATGGAAAAAGGACATAGTCCAGGGGCCCGGAACGTACCATATCTTGATGCTACATGCTTTTTGCCTCCACTACGAACGGATTTTCCGACAAGGCCCGCTCGTTCGTATGAACTCTTATCTAGTTCTAATCTAAGAATACCTGAGGAGATGGGCAGAATACCGTGGATGTTAGCCTTTCATCCGGGCTTTATTCCGGCCAGAAGCCGGCTAATAGGTCGGGTGTAGCTAGACATACCATCTCTGAGAGAATACACATTGTCTACGCCGCTTTGTCCCTCTGAGATCATCAAAATATTGCCTGGGAAAGACGGTCAGCCCTATTTGATGATAGTCGCATAGATATCCCCGGGCAGGAGGATATGATAGCATACTGTAGCATATCTGCGTACCAGTTTTTATATACTTGTTAAAGAATTCTCCATCAAGAATATCTGAGAGGGACATGAAGACTTTTGCATACTGGCAGATGCTAATTTTGTTTGCAATTGAATCCCAAGCAGCTTGATAGATTTCTTCCGGGAGGATAAGCTCTGTCTGTAGAAGAGGTAGTTCAGCCTAGATTACTCTTGGTGTGCACAGTGCACAGAACGATCCCTTAGGGGAGCTGAAGCCATACCGAATGGACAAAACAGTGTCTTGAGACGGTTGAGAAGGGAGATTTTCTCGTCGGTGGCTGCTTCGGATCAACGTAGTGTGGGAGCTCTCCGATCGTCGTATAGCACTTTTCCTTGTCCAAGGCCGAATCGTCGATATCAAACATCTTTTCTATAGCATGAGTTAGTAGATATCGCGAATAGGAAAGAATTGAACCGTAAAATACGTAGAGGTGTTTATAGAACGGCGCTTGTGGCCCTCTGGTGCTATTTACACGGTTGTGGTCGTGATATCACTGTCACGGCTTAAATATTTATGGCGGTAGAACTTGGAGCTCTCTGTGGCAGGGTTAACGAGCTATTATTTATGCAGATCTAACTTTCCAGAGACGCTAATATCTCTCAAATGAAGGCGATGGATGAGAGATAGTCACTAATGATACTGGCGGAGGGGGAAGACTGGTTTTTCTAATTCTTGAGTTGGCGAAGAGGGTATTTTTCTTCCGTGTCAAAGAAACACTCCAAGCAGCACCAACTTCCTCTCAAGCCTGATGATGGAAGCACACTATCAATGAGACACAAGACCACGGTGTCTAGCAGGTGCCGAAGATGCCGCCTCCTCCTCCGTCCCAGCTGATCCCCAAGGATCGCTTTGGCTACTTGTTTGGTAGACTGAGAACACAGAGCTATACCGATCCCAATGCGCGTGGACCTGGCTCGCACAGGTAACTAGAGCTTTCTCCCGGAAACACCTTGCTTTGACCTTTAAAATTAATCCTTCTGATGTTTGTTTCGCAGTATTCGCACTCTGGCATGGAATCCTACCGGCCTTCTCATCGCGACAGGTTCTGCCGACCGAACACTACGAATTTGGAACCCAGAGCGCCCCGATGTGAGATATTCGACTGAGCTACGCGGGCATACCTCTGGCATTGAGCAGGTTGCTTTTAACCCCGTCAAGGAATCCGAGCTAGCGAGCTGCTCAACCGATGGAACCGTCCGTTTCTGGGACGTGCGATCCAAGAACTGCGTGAACCGCATCGATGTTGGCGGAGAAGCATTCACTCTCTCCTGGTCCGCTGATGGCAGCGTGCTCCTCGCAGGAAGAATGGTATTCCTCCGCGTGCACTGTTTATTGCTCTGTTAAGCGCTGTCTAACGCCTATCTCTCCAGGACGACACTCTCGTACCCATCTCTGTCGACTCTTCCTCCACACCTACAAACACCACTGAACCCTCCAAATCGGGTACAACAGCGGCTCCCTACAAATCCCTTTCGCCTCACAAACAACCCGTCCGGACCAACGGCACCGCATTCTCCTACTCACCCTCGAACCCGGACCTCTTCCTCACCACCGGCGACGGCACCGTTCAAATCGTATCCTACCCCTCCTTCCACACACTTCACACCCTCAACGCCCACACCGCCTCCTGCCACTGCGTCTCCCTCTCCCCAACAGCCCGCTACCTCGCAATTGGCGGTGGAGACTCCCTAATCTCCCTCTGGGACACCACTGACTGGATCTGCAAGCGCACCGTGACGAGTTCCGGCGGAGGCGGAGTGCGCGGCGTAAGCTGGAGCTGGGACGGGCGATTCATTGTAGGCGCGTGCGATGAGCCGGATTGCGGCGGTGTTGGGTTAGAGATTTTCCATGCGGAGACCGGGGAGAGTGTGTTTACGATTCCGGTTGATGGGTCGCATGTTGTTCCCGCTGTGGCGTGGCATCCGTCGAGGTATTGGTTGGCGTATTCTATTTATGCAGATGCGATGGGCCCGAGTAGTAACGGGTTGAGAATTGTAGGTGCTGGTGGTGGTGGATTGTGATTTGAGATGTCAAGCTGGGCAGTATCATACCTTCGTTGAATATTCCTTGTTTGCACTGGTTTCCTACGTGATGGCTAACGATATTATGGAGCTTATCGGATCGGGATATGAACGATTCGATAATTGAGATTCGCAAATGAGGACTCTAATGTATAAGTATGGGTATACAGTGTACCTATCCAGTTGCCAAAAGCAAAACGCCGGGTCGATCTGGTAAGGGGAGAAGTAGAAAATAACCACGTAATGCAACACCTTTTATCTCGTTCCAAGCAGACCATTTGTGTGTCTATAGCCAGCTATTATTCGGCGGCTCCTTATAACAAAAGGGAGGGTACCGATTCTGCGCGGCAAATAGAAAGGTTCAAGAATTATATACCCGTCATCAAACACCTGTTAACCGACCAATAATCAGTGACTTTGCCAATTATTCCAGTCCAACACGCCTCCAGTTCCATCTTGCATCCAAGTGAGATCGTCAAGTGACATAAGTTCAATGGCGCCACTCGTCACTGTTGTAGCATTTACGTTAGAAGGAAGTGAGCCTTCTCCTTGAGTGGATTGAGACTGGGCCTGGGATTGACTTTGGATTGTAGATTTTTCTTGACTGTAACTCCATGATGCAGGGAATGAGAACGGGGTGTTGGAGGTAGAGTCTGAGAAAGAAGAAACGCGGCTGGGAACGCTTGCGTCTAAGTTTGTAAGGTTTGGTGAAGGTGTGGAAAGGTACGCGCGAGATTGAGATGATTGGTGCAGGTGTTTAGGAGGTGAAGGGTGATCGAGGTTGTGAGGTGACAAGGAACTATTCGACATCTGATGGGTGTTGGGGGTTGAATGGTCAGATGTAGATGGTTGACGGTCGCTCGTCGTACTCATGTCTGTGGGAATATCCATTTCCATAACGAATGCTCGCAATTGTTCATCGGTTAAAATAGGAAAGGGAGAGTTGCCAGAGGGTTGAGTGTCGTTTGACGGGTAATACGGGGCTGAATGTGATGGTTGCTGTTGAGCCTGTTGCTGGGTGGTAGGCTTCCGGCGAGAAGGTAGAGAGGCGTCAGGTGGAAATCCAGACCGAGAATATTGCACTTTAGAGCCATTGGCTGCGTGCAGCGAATCTTCTGTATTTCCGGGCGCGTTACCACCCAAGTCACTTTGACCCTTGCCCTTCTATAGGTTAGCCGCGATTCTTTGAGTGATAGATGATGATCATAAATTTGGAAACATACCGAAACCGAGTTCGCAAACGCGCCATATTGGTTCCCGGAGCACGCATTCGCCAGAATTCCCAAATTAGAGGTTTCAAGATCAAACTCCAACTGAACAAGGAATGACTGTGTAAGTGGATTCTTCACTTTTAATGCATTCATAGCGGAGATTAGGAACTGCAGTGACGAGCGGACAGTTAGGTCTTCAGATCGTGACTTGAGATATTGGACGAAAACTCGCGCTGCGACATAAAGGCAAAATGCGAGGAACGGGTTCATCTGTTTTACACCTGTTAGGCGCCCGACTGTTCTTGGAGGCCGGGCAAACACACTTACGAGTGTCAAGTCAAGATGACTTATCATCTTCATGATATTGGTGATCTGGTCTGCTGCAATTATACAACGGCGCTTACTCTCGGCAGCGATCTGAGGAGGTATGTTATTCTTTTCTGCTTTGAAGATGGCGGCTTGATGGAGGCAGATGGTCGACGTATGAATGCACATGTTGCAGAAGGCGACATTTGGGTCGTTAATTCCTTCAGGCAGGCGCAGGTGGCTAGGAAGAGAGAGAGATGTATTAAGAATAATATTATCCAGTGCCCGGTGACGCTTCCAAAACTCCCCGTAGAGGTCGTGGTCTTTGTCGTTGGCTGATGGACGGTGGAGATGGTGGAGATTCCTACCGAGATGACAGGTGATTACCACCACGGCAGCCAGAGGAGAGAGCGTTGACGTAGCTTGGCCGGATAAAGCGTCTGGAAGCGACGACGTCTTTTGTGTTCGGCAGTTGAGAAATGCTTCATCTGAAGCGGGAAGATGCGTCAAAATCTGACCGAAGAGATGATTAGCTTAAACACGAGAACTACAGCAAATTTTTCGAAGAGAACCTACATCTCTTTCATCCACCGCCATCGGCCACCCTGTCCCCACTGAAGCGTAACGATCCTGGCAAAATGCTATCCAAAATGTCCGCCTCCGTTCCTCCCGCTCGGTCCAATCACGAGGCGCTGGTATGCACTGCTTCACGTCTAAGCCAGCGCCATCCTGCCTATGCAGTCCCATCATTATTGAGAGTCGCATAGCTCTGCCCGAACTCAACCAAGCTCGGGGGAAATACATCATCTTGAATTCATAACTCCCGATTAAATTCCAGCATTGAGCGTGCGCAGCAGATATGACCGACTCGCCAAGCCCCTTCATCTCATCGAGCTGGATATATTTCCGCGCACGCTGATAAAATATCTGATGGAGTGATTCATATCGCTCCGTGCAGGCGGCTGCGTGAGCCCACATTATATATCGCAGACAAATTGGGGGGCGCATCAACGGAGAGAGATTCATGGCGGCATGGTAGCGAGGTTTATGGATCATGGGATACGACGGGTGGATTTTTTGGAAATAGATCTCGGTTCTGAACGATTCAGCCGCTTGGTCGGAACGATTTCAATATAAAATAAAAGGGCGCAGACGTACAGATCATCAATGATTTCCGGGCCGGGAAGAGACTCCTCCAACCCGAGGCCTATCATTTCCCAGGAAGCGTCTCCCCCTATCTGTAAACTGGGCTCAACAAGGCCGGAGGCATTTGAAGCCAAGTCTACGAACGGAGAAAGCGGGATGGCTGGCCCTTGTTCCGCAGAAGTTGACCCGACAGACGGCTCCGGGATTTTACTTTGTAACGAGCCCTGAAAAGGTATGTCCCGTGCAGACGTAGAATTTGGCGAACTGTCGGTTGCATCCTGTCCTTTGAGAAGAGTCTCAACTTGGGCTGGAGGTAGAAATCAGGCTCCATGTTAGCACGGGACCAGAGCACGTTCATTTTGATAAGTCCGCAACTGAGAGAGCGTACCTAACCTGGCCTCTAACTGCTTGACATAGCCCCTTTTGGGACCGCTCTTTTTCCTCGTCTCGTTGTATGCGCAATCATGGCCCAGACGGGCACAATTTCCACAGCTAGGCTTCCTCCCATCGCAACGTAACTTTCTTCTCCTACAAACCATACACGCTATCCGTTTCGGGCGTGGGACGTGGCCGGAGGCGCTCTCGTTGGGCGGTGCTCCGCTGGAGCTAGCGTCTCTGCTTCCATCAGGACCGGCGCTGGGTTGCAGCTGAAAATGGGCCGTTTGGGCGACGGGCTGATCGCTTGAGAGGGATGATTTGGACGGGTCGACGGTGCTCATACTGATCATAGATGGACGTCTCTGTGGAGAAAGGCCGCAGTGCGCACGGGCGCTGAGTCTCTGCAACTTGTCTGGGGATGCGGGTTTTGAAAACGCACGCAGAGTGTTCGGATACGGGGTACGAAAGAGTATGTGGTTGCCTATGGGCCGGGGGGTGAACTAGCCAACGGTGCCGATGGGAGCGCAGAATCAAAAGTCACCCAGGCAATGTCGACTCAACCATTGCGACCGGTTTCCAAGGGCAGCTGTCACCATCCAGATGCCTCTGTTGATTTTCCGTCACCGGTTCTCTTCTTGATCTGCAATGATGGATGGAGAGAAAGGCACTCCGCGGGGTGCCGCGCGGCGGTTGGGTGCGCTGCATCATTGCCAACATCTCCACTTCGCAAGGTATGGAACTATAATAGCAGGACTTGGCAGGGTCATGGGGAGCTCTGCTCGTTAGTAACTTGTTGGGACATTTGAGGATGACGCATGGGGAATATTCTTTTGTGTTACCCCAGTACAGAGTACGGAGTACGGAGTACAAAAGACATAAAGACACAGTATGTCATGGCGAGCTTGCTCGAGAGAATGTTCTGTGCTGCAGATTGTTAATCAACCCGTTTCACGGGCTTCTGCATTTCCTAATGGCAACCCCCCATTCTCGGTGCCTGCAGCCTGCATTGCCACGCCCACATGCTGCTGTTGGGCCCGGGATCTATGAAGTTCAGCAGGTTAGCCAAAAGCAGTCACAGTAGCGAGCTGCTGCATCTCGCATCTGCTGAGTTTATTATTTAGTAGTTAACTTAGATAACTACCCAACCATGTTTACGAAATGGCTACCCCTGGCAAGCAACAACTTCTCGATGATATCAAGGCCATCTCAAACAAGAAAACGGTTTCATCACCGACGTGCAAGTTGCAGGAGAAAGGGCTAAGTTTCGAAAAGCCAAAGCAGATCTAGTAATGCGATCGATGATTCCTTGACTCGCTTTTTCAACTTCCGGCTGCTGATGTTCACGGCAGATTTATGCTAAATCCTATCAACGACCACTGCTTTGCTAGTCCATGTCTTTCGATGACATTATCAGTGCATGGTCGGTATTTTAGGTGTTGAATCTGGCGATGGACACATTCGCGGTACTAAACATTGTTCGGAACATGACTTTGTGTTTTTTATCTTCACTTCGTCCAAACATTGTCAATGCTTTGGTCAATTAAGATAATTCTTCAGATGGCTTTATCAATATGCTTGGTCTCTGCTCTATGGCCAGCTCTTGATTCTCCTCCTTAAAGGGCTCAGACTCCTTCATCGTTTCCTCCACAGCTCGTCGATCAGGAGCTCGAATACCGAAAACAACTTGTACGCGCTCCTCACTCTTCCGACTATGAAAACACTGGACTAAATTATCCTAATATGTTTTCCTGAAATAATGAGGCGCCAATAGCTTAAGAGGAGTTATAGCTTCTTCAAATGCTCTCATGGGCTTCCAAGGTGCTGCTAGCGAGACATCTTTCAACAGCAGCTTGTTGGGATCGCGAAACAGATTCTCCTGATTTGCAGTCATGCCGGTAAAGTTGTATATACCGCAGCAAGGTAGCAATGGGAGGAGATGTCTCCTGAAATCCGAGGAATCCCTTGGTTGCTAAGCTAAGATGGAGGAACAAACATTTGAACTAGAATAGTATGATACTATTCCTAGTCAAGAATTGAGATGTTCAAGTTGCTGTCAATAATGATATTCGGCGGGCGAAGGCCCCCATAAATCATGGTAAAAGTCCATGTTTGTATTCATGTTTAACCACCCCACCAAGATGCACTGACGTGCACAGATGCTATACCGGTACCATCAGGTATCATCCTCATTATAATACCAACCTGGCCACAGTGAAGGTCATTGGATGTAAACATAAACTACTATGGAATCGAATGTGAGATCAAGAGTAAGACGATAAGTATCAATCCGCTAGCTTTCACACATGGGTGTCAATGGTTAGCGGACGGCTATTCTCAAATATCCAATTGCTATTCTCATCAAGGCTAAGCGCCGCGACTCGGTCGAACCGTTGGCTGATAAAGTTGGATGCAAACATCGCCCGATGTTTTCTTCCAGTTCTCTCCAGGCCTTGTATATTTGTAGAACAAAGGTGTTTCCTTTCTATGTATTCAACAAGAAGAAACGGAGCTCCAAGCATATTGTCGCTGGCTATGAGGTAGCCGCAGACATGGGGAATTAGGGACGTGCTTTTCCCTATGATGCACTCGTCCTTCTTGTCAGCATCCACAGAGGAGTGAATGAGGGAGATGAAAACAAGGCAAAGGGAGTTAATAAGGAGGAGAAAATGGAGATAAGAAAGAAGATGCCGATCTACTCCGTACAGCAGTCATCCATCAGAGTTTGGATGCCACTGGTTACTTCACTGGCGCGATCTCACTCTATATCTTCTCCTCCACAAATGCCAACAGGAATGCCAATCGGGGAAGTAATAGGGAATTTCCCACTCTCATTCTTACTCTCACTCCTATCCTCATTCTTATTTTCATTTCTCCGTTGCCCTCTCTGTTCCTCCCGTCCACGCTCCCGTCATCAAAGGTCAATGATATACAAACTTTATCCGACTCTGCCCTGTAGGGTTTGACGACGTGAAATTCCCAAGCAATCCATTCCTATTCCGGATTAGCTAGATCCAATTACTAAGCTTCTGCCAATACTGGGCTAGACCTTTAACGGTTAGTATATCCGCCCGGTGGAGCCTAATCGATATGGGACGCGCGAACCCCTGACGCATTCCGATATCGCGCGGCTGAAGCCTGTTGAGAGCTCACCTTTGGCCGCTCCGGCAACACCCTGATGGGCACAAGGCAATGATGTGGCGACCCATACTGCAATCTAAGCATCAAGTCAGAACCCAGGGTGTTGTTGATTGAGCGGAATAACCCTACCAGGTTTCACATCCCAGGCCTCAAAAAAAGGCTGAGCGACAAGCCCAACTAAAGACAAGTGAAGATGAACTCAGCCGGGAGGGACCGGAGTAACCTGCTCCATGAGCTGGGATTATCTGAAGATGAGGACCTTTTGACAATTGAGCGGGAGGCATTTGAAGCAGAACGGTGGCTTGAGAAGCGCAGAGATCAAGAACGGCGTGATGAAGCTCTAGCCAGAGCTCTCCAAGAGAGCCTGTACGAACCAGAGTCCCCACCACATCCGTCGCCCAGTCGTCCTCCAGTCCAGGCAACAAGCGATCTGCAGCATTCTCCACCGCGGCCGATTATTCCCTTCACGTCCCTGTCGCCTTCTTCGAGGGAACAACAGCCGATCGTCAGTCATAGACCTCGAAACCCCGCGGTTCGGACTGCTGCTGACATTCACCTGGATATCATCGACCTCACTTCTTCAACCAACCAGGAAACTCGACTAGATCACTACAATGCGACGTCATTGAGTCATGGCATGATGCATTACAATCATCATCAACGCCAACCACACCAGCAAGTCTACGACCTCACTGGTTCCTCACCAACGCACGGTTTTTCCCCGAGCATGGCATCCACGGTTGAAAGGTACCGACAATACGCTGAAATGCCTGGAGCCTTTCCTAGTTCTACAGCTATCCATAACCCACACTCGTTGGATAGCCATGACTCTGCCAACTTCTCCCAGACGGCACCGCCGCATTGGCCCAATGTTTCGAGCGATCTGTTCAACCGCCTAGGGTGAGGCCACTTGAATGTTGCCTTTCGTTTTTAGCCTACTTTACATGATTTCCCGATTGCTGACTGAGACTTTCATATAGATCGTCAGCGCCCAGTTACGACGGTGCCTCCGACCCCACTGAAATGAAAAAAGAATTGCAAAACCTTCTAGAGAATATTCGCCCAGACAAAGATCTCAAGTGTAACGGTGAAAGTACGCCTGAAGCTATGAAGTACACGCTAATGGACCATCAGAAATACGGTCTAGCGTGGATGAAAGCAATGGAAGAAGGCTCCAATAAAGGAGGTATACTAGCTGATGACATGGGCCTTGGAAAGACCATCCAGGCATTGGCACTCATTGTATCGCGGCCCTCGACGGATCCTGAGCGAAAAACTACCCTAGTAGTTGCTCCCGTCTCCCTGATGCACCAATGGAAAAGGGAGATTGAACAGAAACTGAAAAGTGGAAGACACCAACTTTCAGTTTATATCCTCCATGGAGACAAAAGAACTACCCCTTTCTTAAGATTAAAGAAATACGATGTCGTATTGACATCTTTTGGTACACTGTCTTCAGAGTTCAAGCGCAAGGAGGAACTTGACCAATTTGCAAATGAGAATCCTTCTCTGCGCGAGAGTCACCCCCTCGCTAAGCAATTGCCTGTCCTTGGAGAGCGTTCTAAATGGTACCGTGTTATAATCGATGAAGCTCAATGCATCAAAAACAAGCACACCAAATCTGCCCGAGCTTGCTATGCCATTAGATCCACTTATAGATGGTGTATGAGTGGAACTCCAATGATGAACAACGTTACAGAGCTTTATTCTTTGATTCGATTTCTTCGAATCGGGCCCTACAACAAATCGGAAACTTTTGATGCTGTAGGTTGCTTAATGTTGATATTCATTGTCCTGGGACCTGATACTGATACCTTTGCAGACATTTACTCGCCCGCTAAAGACTTTCCACGATAGAACCCAGAAACAAGCCATGCAAAAGCTACAAGCCTTGTTGAAAGCTATTTTGCTTCGTCGAACTAAATCATCAAAGATTGACGGCAAGCCCATTTTGCAATTACCATCAAGAACGACTGAAAAGGTCCATACTGTTTTTAGTGAAGATGAAAACACCTTTTACCAATCCCTTGAGCAAAAAACTCAAAACCAGTTCAACAGATACCTTGATAATGGTACGGTTGGAAAACACTACTCTAACGTCCTTGTGATGCTGCTTCGACTTCGCCAGGCCTGCTGCCATCCACACTTGATACAGCTCTTCAGTGATGACAGTCATGTCAACCTCTGTGGTGTTGATTTGAAAACCAACGCCAAATTACTCGGTCCTGACGTTGTTGCACGTTTGAAGGAGAACGAGGATTCTGAATGTCCAGTTTGTATTGATGCCGTGGAGAATGCAATCATTTTCTTTCCTTGCGGACACAATATTTGCGCAGAGTGCTTTGCGCGGATATCGGACCCGTCCCAAGGCGTGGCCCAAGGCAACGACGGAACAGTCGAGATCAAGTGTCCGAATTGCCGTGCCAGGATTGATCCGACGAAGATCACCGACAACTTATCGTTCCGGAAAGTCCATGTCACTGGCGACAACACGGATGAGGCTGATGCTCGTAGTGACCATGATGATATTGACAGTGATGATGACTCGGATACTGATAGCTTAAATAGCTTCATTGTCGACGATGATACTGATGCGGAGCGCCCCAGAGGCAAAAAAAGAAAGCGCAATACTAAATCTGTCAGAAACACTGACAAGAAAACTGGCAAGAAAAATTTGGCTACATTGAAGAAGGAATCTATGAAGAATGCCAAGGCCAAAAGAAGATATATACGGCGCTTAGAAAAATCCTGGCAAACAAGCTCTAAGATCGACAAAGCACTTGAAATCCTACGTGAAATCGAGAGTTGTAACAATGGCGAGAAAACTATTATCTTCAGCCAATTCACTACTTTGCTCGACCTGTTGGAAGTGCCAATTATGAGGGAGGGTTGGCATTACAGGCGATACGATGGCAGCATGAGTCCTATTCAGCGAAATGAAGCGGTGCTAGAATTTTCCGACAATGAGAACTGCAAAATAATGCTCGTTTCTCTCAAAGCGGGCAATGCTGGGCTGAATTTGGTGGCGGCTTCTCAAGTCATTATCTTCGATCCCTTCTGGAATCCGTACATTGAAGAGCAGGCGATTGATCGAGCTCATCGCATTGGACAAATTCGACCAGTCATGGTTCATCGGATCCTTGTGCGAGACACTGTTGAAGATCGTATTCTTGAACTACAAGAAAAGAAGAGGGAATTGATTGAAAACGCTTTGGATGAAAGAGCTAGCCAAAATCTTGGCCGTCTGGGAACCCGAGAGCTTGCGTTTTTATTTGTATGTCTAACCTCGGACGTACTTTGGCCGGAGTTTCTCGGCTGTGATACTGACTTTCTTAGGGTATCTCTTCTCGACGACAATAGATTCCTGATCTCAACTTTCTTATTTTAAAGAAAAGACGACGATATTTCTACACGTCTCTTCCAACTGATTCCCTGCTTTGCCTCCGCCTGAAAACGTCTTCAAGAGTAACCAAGTACTTGCAGCCATGTTTATCTGGTTTTATCAACCCATCTTAGACCCCTTTTAAATTTCTTTCCGATGTGCAACGCCTCTTTCATGTTCCAGTTCTATCCCTTCGTCCATACATATTACGTCTTGAATCTTAAGATGCTCGGGCTTTTCTTTTTTCGATACACTTCCGGGTTATGGGCGGCACTTTGCTCTTTGGTGCATTGCATGCTCATGCTCCCCGAGCTAGAGGTTTCTCGGTCATTCCTCGAAGATCGCATGCACTTTGTTTTAATGTGTTTTCCCGTGCTTTCCTCCAACGACCCTTTTCTCCATTGAAATTTCTTTATTCTCATAGCATCAAGTCCTCGGATCTTCTCATTACACGGCACCAGGAACAGGGAGGAAGGAGGGCGTTTACCAAGGGTATGGCCTCATACACACAACACACCCGGTGGCGGACGGAGGAGGCTATCTAGGTTTTACTCTTTTAACAAACAAAAAAAAAAAAAAGAAAAGAAAAGAAAAGAAAAGAAAAGAAAAGAAAAGAAAAGAAAAGAAAAGAAAAGAAAAGAAAAGAAAAGAAAAAAAAAAGGAAAAAAAAAAAAAATCTTGCGCAAATGCTGCTCTTATTGGTTTTGTTTATTTTTCTACGTCTACACTCTTCTCCCCAATCTTCTTTTTAGGCTTTTGCCCACTATCCGCTAGATAGGTGCATACATGCTTAAGGTGTGTAGGTACCGACATGGGTAGCGAGGATACTTGTCTATGGATTCGTTTTGTATAGCGTACTTTTTAAGTCCTTGTTCCACTGCTATTCTTTGAAAGACAACAAATATAGAATCCCCCGGGGCAGGGGGGTGGCGGCGCGGTGGTGGTAGTGGCTCAAAGGATATGCACGTCAGCACCAGCCTCCGCACCCTTGCTCCCGCTCAGCAATTTCTGGTACATAGCTAAAAAAAAAAAAAAAAAAAAAAAAAAAAAAGGCCCTGGCGTCACGAAGCCAAGTTCCAGCCCTATTTGTGGGTATTATATTCGCCTTGCGCGATAAGAACACCAATCGAAAACTCCAAAATAAGACTTCACTCTGCTTCGCTTTTTTTTCCAATGCTTTGGAAAAACCATTATTATTTTCAACTTTACTACCGTGCTCCAATGACTTGTGGTTAATCCATCCGGAATAGAAGGAAGAAAATAAATGAAAGGATACGAAACCCTCATCATGCTATCCAACAAAGAAAAGAAAAGAAAAGAGAAAAAAAGGAGCACAGCAAACCTCCCATAATGTCAGTTGGGCATGTAATATTCAAATATTCTTTCCTGTTGTCATTCTCATAAATCCATAGATCCATTAAGTCAAATAGGGTGTGATGGGTTCCTTTTTTTTTTTCGCATCCCCCCGTCTAAAATATTTCTCGTGCTATTGGGAAGAAAAAAAACTCTGCAGCAATATTGTGGATCACCTTTTGTATTTTTTCATGATTTTTGATTGCAACAGAAACTTTGCCCCTTTCCTTCCACTCTCCGAAAATTCAACCATTACCATATAATAAGCAATTTACAGATCACCATCCTCTTCATCTGGAAGAGGCATCTGGGCAGCGTGCTCCATCTCCAGGCGTTGTTGTTCGAGAAGGTCGTGGTCGACCTGGACTTCTGGGGGAGCAAGGGCTGGCGGAGCGACGAATTCCTGCATATGATATTAGCCTCTCTGACCTGGGGCAATATGGATTGGAACAGAAACTCACCAACGTCTGGTTCCCAACAAGTTTTCTGGCGAGCCACAAGAATGGCTTCTCGAAGTTGTAGTTGGACTTGGCAGAGATATCGTAGTATTGGAGGTTCTTCTTGCGATGGAAGGTGATGGTCTTGGCCTTCACCTTGCGTTCCTTGACGTCAACCTTGTTTCCGCAAAGGACGATGGGAATGTTTTCGCAGACACGAGTGAGGTCACCTGTGATGTGGGTTAGTTTCTGGCCTAGGTTGAAAATGCAACCGGGAGATAAACTTACGGTGCCAGGATGGAACGTTCTTGTAGGTGATGCGGGAGGTAACATCAAACATGATGATACCACACTGGCCGTTGATATAGTATCCATCTCTAAGACCACCGAACTTCTCTTGACCGGCAGTATCCCACACATCGAACCGAATAGGACCCAAATTCTGTTCATGCCGTTAGAAAGGACTCTTCGAAACTGGACACACGACAGAAGCCGAGGCTATGACGCACCGTGGTGAAGTCGAGAGGGTGGACTTCGACACCAAGTGTGGCTATATACTTCTTTTCGAATTCACCAGTGAGATGGCGCTTGACGAAGGTAGTCTGCAGGATGAATTATAGCAGTCAGCAACATCGCTCTCTTTTTTTTTAGTGCCAGGAAAAGAATTTGTGGGGTATAAGATACGGGGTGGCCAACGAGGGGCAGTCGGCAGTCGGCTGCCCGCACAGCATTAACATCCAAAGAGAAAGAGAAAGGGATGCTCAACGCGTCCATGCAGTGGTATCATACCTTTCCAGTACCGCCATCACCGACAAGCACGAGTTTGAATGCAGGTGGGCCTTGTTGGGGTTGGGCAGCCATGGTGGTGAGTATGTGAGATTAGTATGAAGAAAAAAAAAGAAAAGTGAAATTGCAAGAAGGCTATCTACAAAGCGCAGGTAAAATAAGCGCTTAGACTTAACCTGGGCTTGTTGCTTGGATGTGACGGGGAGGAGGATGGAAAGAAAGCTTGAAGCTAGCGAGAAGGGGGGTTGTTCGGTGATGATGGATATTTGGGCTGGTGATGGAATTTTATCAGGCAGTTGGAGGAGTAACTCGCTGAGGCAGCGGCTCGCAGCAGCCAAACAAAAACAACTTTTCGGGTGGGCTGTTGTGGTCACGTGAATAATGGCTTGGCAATGTGGGATGCTGACTCAGCTCTAATGCAGAACGAAAGCGGTGAGGTTGTTTAAAGGGGGGTGGGGTAATGGGAGTCTTGAGCGCTTCATTTTATCGCTAATCTTCACTGATTTGACAGAGAAATACTCCGTACTCCGTCGAGTAAATAGAAAATACACTCTGCTACATAACTTGGTCGCTACAGGCTACGAGTCAGAAAAACATCTCCGCGGCAGCCTTGCACAGCCGAATGCTAGTATGGAAGCATGAGCTTGCTTCAAGGCCGGGCGTTGATTCGCCATCCTCTCGCCATCATTGGCTTGGAAGCCTTGGAGGTCGCCAGTAAACTGCGTGCGGAATGGCTCCAACTCTTCCCTAAATGTCCGAGTCATGTTGAGAAATCACTTGATATAATAGAGCATGCGGCCATGATGACACATTGGAGAAGTTTCAACGTAATCTGCGATCCTTCGCACAGGCAGCCGTAAATTTAATGGAAAGGAATGGTGCCGTTCATAATGGAACGAGATGACATCCGAGTAAACCGCGTCCTCCCCAGTGACGGCGAGGGGTCAGTCGTAAACTGAGGTTGGTGGGCCCTTGACCGGAGTCACTACTCCTTGTGACTCTGACAATTATTGGAATCTATGAAGCTGTTAGCAAATGCTTGTGTGCAGGTATTGATATCAAAGGCGCTCCCCACATCTTCGCTGTTTTGAACCACCTCCGAAATCTTTCGGAGGTCTTGATGGTTCATCCAGTTAACAGTCCCAAAGCCGCGTATTTTATCACCGACTTTCATGCCCGCCTCTGCGGCCGGGCTACCTTCTGCCACACTGTTGACTCTAGCAAAAGGCGTTTCTGCCAACCCGTTCTGGTTCGACGGCGTCTCTTCTGAAAGTTCTGGGCCAACAGGTGGCACATGCGAGGATTCGGGCGCTTCACCGCCGGCTTCGCGCTCTCTCATATCTGCAAAATACGCGTGTACCACTTGTTCAATCTTTGCCATTACTGCTTTGTGGTCGTTCCGAAGATAGATAATCCGCGCCCTGGTCGATCGTACTGGTAATTGACGAGACCATCAGACAATTTTTTCTAGAGACACATGACCAGAAGCCGACACCAACATACTCTGAGCAATGTCAAGATCATCTCTTGGATATCCGTCAAATGTGGTTAAAGGAGTTTCCATATTCACTCCATGCTAGAAACAAAGGAGATGTCAGCCAACATTTTGCTCCTCCATGGATCACAGAATAATATCCTTACAGACTGCAAAACCTCACTAAGGACCTTTAGTTCGACTTCAAGCTGTTCTTTTTCTTTGAAGAGCTCGTGCATGCTCATCTTTGATATATCTCGCTCTCCTCCCAGGCGGGAGACGGGGCCGGACGGCACCGTGGGAGCGTGGATGTCATCCATTGGCATTCCCATGTCAGAGATCTAGCATATCAAACGAGTAGAAGTCATGACAAGGATTAAAAGCGGAAACACTCCTGTCCTACGGAGTAGTCCAAAGCCAACTCTCTGCTTGCTGAGCAGTTGGAGATGATGACATAAGTGTGGCTGCCCCCCGCCGCTAAGTTAAGTTAGCTGCTTTTCTTCGAACGCGTTCCCCGATTGGCTTGCTGACTCAACCGTTGTGTGCTGCCAAGGAACAGCCAGTTAACTACTCCAGACACAGCGGTCGAAACAACGACGTTTCGCGGAACTTCACCAGAAAGGTTTCTTTATATCCCCAAGGCGCGTTCGATGGCTTGGGTGCTTCTAGCATTCTAGGAAAAAGACTTTCGTCCTGCGATGTTTAAAAATCCGGTAAAAAAGAGTTTTTTTACACGATTCCCAGGTAAAAATGCCCCAAGAACGCAAGCCTCCTTGAAAAAGGTTGATGATTCCACAGTAGTTGTTGGAGATTTCGTATATCTCTTTTGGGGACAGCATTTTGGGCATGATAAACTGTCTTGGGATGGATGAATCTGATCTTATGGCCCGAATTCCAAGGTGCTGCCGAGACCGACAACAACATACACCGAATCAACGGCCGTTTAAAGTTCCGCCTATGAATGAGGCAAGCACTCCTGGTGACTCTTTTGCATGGAGAACGTCCTCTAGCTCTCAAGGCCATTGGGAATGTCTATGTGGTTGAATTGCCGGTTCTCCAACTTTGATGCCAGACACCTCCCCATGCTTGTGGAGGACCACAAATCACCCGAGCGGGCTAACTTTAAAACTTTCTCTCATCAATGGGGAGAATGGAGAGAATCTGGGCTAACTGTAGATGCCCTTTAAACTGGTAATCGTTAGGAATTAACCACAATAGGTTACTTGCAGGCATGAATGTTTTGCTTGCCCGCAACATATCATTATCCAATCCCTTTCTTCCCTTCTTCACAATATCCAATGCACAGCGATACTCACTGCCTGAGCTTTGCTTGGGATCATATTGTTTGATATTTTGCATCCCTATTTGGTTATCCATGGGGAGTTGGATTCAGGACCGCATTTGCACTTGGGGGCACATAACAATGTAGTATCCAATGCGCAGACCCCCTGAAGGAAAAAGAAGTGCCAGCATGAGGATGTGAAGAATAGTTTCTCTACGCACGTCGCTACTTGCGTTGCTGCTCCCTTACTCATCGCCGAGCCTCTGTTGCTCTTGCCACAATTTGATGCTATGGGCGTGAGAAAAGGCGGAACTTCTCCTCTTTCTCCTCTTTATTTGCTTTCTTTTCTTTCTTCTTTACTGGATTCCTCTTCATCTATGGTCTGGCTGGACTTCTCAGACACAATGAGCTCAATCACAGAGGATAGGACACTGCACAACTTCATCCTGGAGAACTATCCAGATGAAGCGCTTTTGGAGACACTTGAAGAGTACGCGTACTCGCCTGAAGCGACTAAAGCCATCTCAGAGACTCCGTCGACCCACAGCTTCAGGGAATGGATCAGGAGCATTCGAAGCAGCAAAGCAAGTCTTCCACAGGGTCCATCACGCTTTGTGACAGACTGGCCAGAAGATGAGGGGCTAGATGACAGCTATCGCATGTTGCCTAAAGAGCGAATCAGTGGCGACGATGCTTCCTTCGTGACATCTTCCTCGTTCCTTCACAGTGTGAAAACGGCGAGCATGAGTCTGGCTAGCCTGAGTATCTTGAATCGAGGCAGGTCGAATACTCAAACAAGCAGCCACCATCGCAGCAGCACCTTTTCCGGTTCTGACCCCCGAAAATCTATTGACAGCAACAGGCTTGGATCAACTCCTCCCTTTGATGAAGTGGCGTGGCGCCACGCCATTCAAAGATACCAGATCATTCAAGAGCTGATTGATACTGAAGTATCGTACATCTCTATCCTCAAGAATCTATCACAGGTTAGACTTCTTCTTAAAAAAAAAAAAAAAAAAAAAAAGGCATATATAAGTAGTGAAATTTTCCTGTTTCTACTGACGCTTCTTTAGGGTCTCTCACTGGTCCTTATAGCTCCATCCGGAGTTCACCAAAGCGTCGACAAGCTCATTACATTCCATGAACGACTACTAGCCAGCCTTCGGAACCGTCCAACTGTTTCTACATCGAATGCAAACCTCAATACAAGAGGTCCGACCCGCCGAATGAAATATGCAAACGAAAACGACCCAAACCCATCTACAATTGGGGCGAATAGCATATTTCTAGCTCCGAAAAAACTTCGTTGGCAAGCAAGCCCACGTATCCGATCACCAACTGTTCTTATGGCTACACCGAAAGAGGCAGCGGACGTAGCATGCATCTTAAAGGCACATGTAAGTCTATAACCAGAGCATCATGGAACGTGAGATATCTCCTTTGCTAACCTGTAAAATGGTTCCAGCTGCCAGGATTTCTCGTCTATAAAGAATATCTCATGAAGTACCCGTCGGTGCAAAGTGAGATCGATCAACTACGCCAGACAAAACAGAACTGGCAAGCGTATGACCAGGGACTTGAGGCATTATTCCGGACTGTTCAGCCCTTCAGCTCACGTGAGAAGTACGCAAACCATGCTCGCACCATTGCCGATCTTTTGATACAGGTTTGCAACTCCACTGATAGCAATCACGAGAAGACATGCTAATGCCGTTCACAACAGCCGGTTCAGAGACTCTGCAAGTACCAGCTCTTTCTAACCGACTTGATGAAGTGTACTCCGGCAACCCAGTGCCTTGTAACACACGAAACGCTTCGACAAGCACACCAAGAAACAGTAAATGTTGCTCAAGAGGTGAACAGCGGCTCCGACGATCCTATCGCCATAGACCGCTATAGAAAGACAATGGAGCTCCAAAAAAGGCTTGAATTTCCCTCGAGCCAGGTAGGGTATAATTTATGAGCTAAAGCCAAATCAATTGTTAACATATGTCTCCAGGACTACCATGATATCCTCAAGACGTACGGGCCACTGAAAGTATGCGGTGTTCTTCATGTTGCTTACCAAATCGGGGAAACCGTGTCTGGGAGCTATATGGTGTGCGCTTTGTTTGACTCTTATATTCTTCTCGCCACGTCAAGTAGTGATCGCGAAAAATTCAGGGTTATGGCCATCATTCATATCCGTGGGTCAAGACTAGAGGAGCCTGCAAATGGAATAGGTGCAATCCCTTCGAATGGATGGCTAACGCTATGTGGGTGCTGACTTAAGATAGGCTTGCATTGCTCTGGTACTCCCTATTCCTGGAAGCTCATATTCACCTTCGAACATAGCCTTGTCGAATTGATTTTCAGTGCTTGCTCGGAGAAGGAAGAGACAGAATGGCTTCGGAACCTAATAATTCAGATCAACCCTGAACAGGAAGCCCGGTCGGAGACCGTCGGACAGCCGGTGCGGAATTCATTCATTTATTTTGCTCTGAAGCCTCTACAGGCTGTGATACTGAATGGTCGTTTGCTGAGCGTTGCGCGACGCAGCTCTATCCATGGCACTTTGATCACAACTGGCAGTCCAGATTACCTGCCCATTCATATTAAGGGAACTACTGCTCTACCTACAAACCAAGCTACTCGTCCTCCATTAGGGAGGTCACAGTCTGTGCAAAACTCCCGTCGAGATATCGTACTCGCACCAAAGAGACAAAAAAGGGTCAAAATGGAGAAGCGCCTTGTAGACATCTGGACTCGCGATGTCGTCCCGTATCCCGGAATGCCATTGGGAATAGGGGAGTCTTTTATGCGAACATCAACGGACGTCTTGATGGGAAAGTTCACGAGTTTGCCGCAATTTGCGCGGCGCACTAATAGTAACCGTATATCGATAAAGAACAATAGTGTCGAACAATTTTCTATCCCAAAATCCGAGAATCACAAAATGGAGGCTGAAGACGAAGATTCTATCAACAACAGCCCTACCAAAGAGACTGGTCAAGGCCAAGGAGACGACAAAACTGGCCTCCAAAAGGCGGCGACGGATGCGCCGAGCACTCAGAGAAGAGGGTTTATGTCACTTCGCAAGAAGCACTCGAACTTGGTGCAGCGGGCCATTGGTGAAGCTCCGAGCGAGGTTCGATATAAGGGAAGTAGACAGAGTCTCCGCAAACGGCTAAGTGTAGCCTTGTTTAAATCCAGCTCCCCCGGCAAGTCACGACGATCCAACTCGGTGGAGGCTTGATATGATAATTCATACCGTTTCTTTCTACCCTCACGCTCACAAAAGCGTTTAGAAAACTTCCGGCTGAGAACCATCTAACGCGGATTAGGTGTAAAAGGGTCTTCTTTGAGTTCCCAAGTGGACGTGATGAGGTGGAAACTGCCCGGCACGTTGAAACGATCGCATTGCCTAGATTGACTTTTGAGGTTAAGATTTAAAGAGCTGAGATGCATAGAGAATAAGTAAAGCCGCAAAAAAGCAGACGGAGATTTCATCGGTTATCAATTGCTTGTTCTAGGTTTGAGCTCATCGTAAAATCTAGCGTCGTTGGGACAAGAAGCACTCCGGGGAGCGTACGGAGTAGATTATGCGAGTTGGGCGATGACGAAGGCGGAGAGATGACGTCGTTGAGTTTGCAGGTGACATAGCTCCAGCTGCCAGTTTGTATGGCGGCATCAAGTACTCCCCTCCTTGCTAGCCAACATTCCGTCTTCTGGATGATGTCGAAAATGCAGATCCCTCGGCCAATCTAGCCTATATATCGCTACAAGGGGGCTCTTCACGAGAGTGCCTGCTATCTCAATCCAGAAAATTCAGTACCTACAAAGTACGAGGTTCAACCTTAACATTTTGACTCCAAGCAAAGCGATAAAAACGTCATTACATATCTATACTTTCTTCGATTAACCTAGTTGCTTTCCTGAATACCGATCGTATCTAGTCCCTTTCGTCCGCTATTCCAATTCGGTTGAGTTCAACGCCTAGTGTTTCTCTCTTCAGTTCTCAATAGCACCTTTGTGTAGCAACAGAAGAAGCAGACTCGAAACCTTCTCTCTTTTTGGTCTTTGCGTTTGACAATGGCTCGCGGGAACATCGATGTGTACAAGGTCTTCTACAAGGGCGATTATGACAACTTTGTCGTGTTTGTCGAGGATGTTACTGCAGTGCGGAACTGGAAGAAGGACCGCTCAATTCCGCTAGCGCAGGTGGTGAATGGGTTTAAGATTTATGTTACGCATCGGTATGTTCGAGTTGCACCTTTCCTTCTCTCTTTCTCTCTCTCTCTCCCCCCTTTGGTGTTTTTACCTTGAGTTTTCGGGGTGCTAACATGCAAGTGTGGTTCGACAGCCAAGGGGCCCAGGGAATATATGACGGAGCGAGCAAATCGATTTTGGAAAGCGAGTTTGGGACGTCGAATGAGGATGAGGTCATATCGAAGATACTGGAGAAGGGAGAGATACAGGAGACCGAGGCAAGTACCGAGCCAATTGACCTTGATATTGCATTGGGGCAGAATCCATGGCTGACACACTCTCTCCTGCGTAGAATCACGAACGCAATGGAACGAAGAATGACTCCAAAGGAATCTATATAAGGCGCTGAATTGATGATATACCGTATCAACGAGGATTTAAAGAGCCGGATGGAGTGGTCTTATGGAAGGCTGCCTCGTTTTGGGTGGCATGCAGGGAGACATTGATATACGCCATATAGGGCTTTATGTGTGGCAGCAGGTCGATTGGGATATCGTGGCCTATGGGCTGGTTAGCTATGTTTATATAGCCCTGGAAATTATATATTTACATACATTTTGCTACCTTGATTTCCATTTGAGCCATGATGCCCAACCGCGATCATCTCTCAACGAACATATTAGAGTGAACAAAGAACGCATCCTTTCGTTGACTGACAGGTGCAAAATATGTATATAGAGTCGGGTATCGGTGAATTTCCCACCAAGACTACAGGTGGGACATGAGTAAGTATACAAAATATGAAGACGTGAGCCATATATCATGAAAAGTGAAGCAGGGGCAAATGCATACGCGAGGAAAGGGGAAACCAAAAAAAAAAAAAAAAAAAAAAAAAAGAAAACATCACAGCGAGATAGATCCATTTTTGCAGGCCATCTCTCCCGCTCTCTCTTCTCCCGTTTTCGAGTTTAGAAATGTTCCTTCCAGAATCTGAACCGCACCTCTCTCGTCGTACACTCTTTGGCTGCCTTTTTGATCTCCTTAGCTGCAACGTTCGGCCCACAGAAGTACACACCAACATCCGTTCGCAATGAGGCATCCAGACCGGGCATATACGACTGATCAACAAGTCCAGTTCGCATAGCCGAAAAGAACGTCTTGAAGTCCGGGCGGCCGAACTTCGTACCGGTACGCAATTCAGTTAAGGGGTCAACTTGTTGGCCAACAGAATTGAGCATGATGTTGGCGGCGGTGTCCTGGTCGAACCGCTGGGTTAGGTATGTGTGGATACGCAAGAACTGCTGGCCAGTGCTCGAATCGGCGGCAGATTGGGATTCGAGGGAGGAGAGAAGAGCGTGGAACCATTCAAAGGAACTAGTGTCTCTACATATCCAAATGAACTCGACTCGGCGAAGACGGGTAGGTGGATTTGGTCCAGCGCGCAGATGCCAGATGTTTTTGAGGATCGAAGCCCACGGTGTTACTCCGATACCGGTACCGATGAGAATGGCAATTTCGTTGTCGAACACGTCCTCGGCTGGAGCTCCGTACGGTCCATCTATGCGAATTTTCGGCATGGTCTGGCCGTTTTGGACCGCAATCTCGTACATTCCGAGGGGATCGAGGCCGTCTATATCTTTGGCTTGTTGAGGGCCGCAACCAAGACGGTTGCCGAGGGCTCTGGTCCAATCGCCCACCTGGCGGATGTGGATACTGATGTAGGGATCAAAAGGGCAGGATGTGATGGTAAATGGATGCCATTGGCCTCGAGAAATGTCGGGAACCTGGATGAATAGCCACTGCCCAGCTTTATATTTCATACTAGGCTTGCTGAATTGAATTTCCATGGCATCTGTAGCAGCATGTATAAGCATTTGAAATTGTAAGTCGATCTTATGGACGTCAGACTTACCGTAGGGATGTCTAACAACCTTGGTAATTTGTGTTTCCCGAGCAGCACGGATTTCACGGTAGAGCCGCTCGATGAGATAGATTCCACCACCCCAGAGCTCCCATCTCCACCCTTCATAACCAATGCAATGGTCCCAAAAGTCTTTTCCTGCGAATGGAGAGAAGGGGTCGACGGTATCTCGCACGAAACAGCCCGTAGCATGGGTGTAAAGGCCTAGCATGAATGGAATAAATAGATGGTGCGTATACCAAAAAGTCTCAAAAGCTTGTTGCCTGATACGTGCATGGGCCGTGGTGTACATCAATAGCATGCACAAGAGCATGATATGCCCAGTGATACCACCAGCTTGAGTGTAGTGGATCTGAACCGCAGTTTCCGGACGGACTTGAGACTTTTCAACATTGAAAAAGCTGTACTCTGTTAGCGACAAGGATTTCTGAATTGAACTATTTCTGCGGTAATAGACTCACTTCACATAATGAGAGAGAGTATGGAGAAGGCTAAAGAAGAGCAATGAATACGCAACCTGTCGATGGAACCATATCGATTCATCGAGCGGCAGCCATCTAAATTTCGGTCTGACAACGCGCAAGAGGGTTCTACACATCGGAAGCAGGATGAGAAGGCCATCGACGGAGAGGACTAAACCAGCTCCTCGGGATATCCATACTGAAAACTGCAGGGTATTAAGTGGTGCAAGTCGAATATCGCCAGCCTGTTTATACCTGTTGAGGATTGTTAGCATTTGTATTCGTTCGGCCCAGCAAGCCACTTAGCATCGCGAGCATCCATCACCTACCATCCAAAAATAAAAACTCCCAGATGCATCCCATGGAATAGGATATAAAATATAATTTTAGAACCGCTAAAATGCCGCTTCCACGCTGATTGCTCCATGATTCTGACCTACGCAGATTCCCATAAAAAGCAAACAGGATGGAGATTGGCGATAGAAACAAAGAACCAAAAGGCTTCGCTGGACCTCAGGTCTGCGAGCTCAGAGAAGTTGAGAGGAATTAAGTGAGTGAACGCCCGATATGAGGAAAAAAGAAAGAAAGAAAGGCCAATAACATGAGATAAGCCGCGAGAAAGAGGTGCGATCGTAATAGTTATCTTTGAGTGTAAAGCAAAGCTGGCGCATCAATATTAAAGGAGTATCGAAGTGGCTCCACGTTGACCAAAGCGGTAACGCAGAGACCAAGAGGGGGCTCCGCGGCAGAGATGCCCACAGGAAATTGGTCTGTGGTATACTAAGCTTTCTCTTTCCGGTGCTATCTTGGTTTCGCGAGGCTCAATTTGGACAATTCAATCCCCTTGATCGGATACGCGTTGAAAGTTTGTTGCCGCCAGCGTTTGTGCCTATCCATGTGTTGCGGAGCTGGGTGTTCGCATAGGCTTCTAGAGGGCCTTGTATTTTTTGCTCCTCTTCTGTAACATATATCACTTCTGTTTCTTGTCGCTATTCGCCACAGATTCGTTTTGAAGTCTCAAATTATGACGTTGGTAAGGCACTGTCGAGCAAGACGCAGGTTGTAACTTGCGCTGTTTTGTCGTGGGATTGTTATGTATCCAAGATAATTCCAAGAAAGAAATCGTTAAGCAAGCCAGCACGTTCCAAGTGGACGTTGCTTGTCTGAGAAGTGTCGGAATTGGGTGTTGGCAGCTTCAGATATTCAAGCTGGTGGATCGGTTCGTGTCTCAGTCGTCCGTTGGAGGTCGTGTCTTGCTTCTGCGGCAGCGATGAGACGCAAGCCGATTCCAAATTCCTTGCTAACCCCAAAGTCGAGTCAGCTTTCGGTGATCAAGTGATCCGATTGCCCTCGCAGATATTTCGAGTGTTTAATTTGTGTTTTCCTTGATGTTGAGACGATTTTGAAATCGATGTTTTCGTGAATTTGTGTCGGTGGTGCAAACCCCAGTTTGCGACGAGCAAACCTGGCAAGGGTGTGTTGAAAGGCCAATCCTAATTTTATCACACAGAAGGTCTACGACCCTGGCTGCGTGAATCTGTGCTGAGAAAGACTGCAGAGCCAAGGGGGGGCTATGAAGGATTCCGAATGATCTGCCCAGCTGTCGAGGGTGCTTCTGGGGCGATGATGAACGGGATCCTTGTCTGTTGAGATCCCTCAGCCAGGCTAGGCTGCTGAGAACATTGCTAAACCACAATAAGTGAAAGCCCAACGAGCGATGATGTGATATTACCCTAGCCTGGGCAGATTTGCTGCCGTCGGGGGTGTTTCTGTCCGATATGACTACCGAGACCTGCCGGAGAAGAAACCACTCCGGGCATAGTGCTGGCCAACGAAATGGTCGGCAAGTCTTTCTACACGCGATGATTCGCTTTCGAAATCACCTCATTTAAGCAAGCAGCCAAATCATAGTTTGGCAACTCAACTTCACGCCTTCAGTGATTCTGCTGTCCTCTAGGAGGAGCCCCTAGCTGAACAGGGTAAAGCGCCGGCTTACGGTGAGAATCATGATCTGATCAATGATCGGTTAATTTGAGTTCGCTATGGCTACAGGCACCTGTGGGCGGTGGTGGTGATTCGGCGCTTCGGAGAGCAAGGACTGGAACGCATCAATTCTTCCCAACCGGACGAGTCGGTTTCCCGCGGCGGCTTTGAAGCACTTGCGAATTCTGTTGGAAAAGTCTTGATTAGGCGAGAAATATTCTGTCCAACACCGTCCCGGCCCTTTGCGAGAGCAGAAAGCCCGGACGGCTCGATTCATTTTGACAGGTTTTGGTATTTATAGTAATTGCTTTCAAGCCTGGGACTCTGGCCTATCATTTGTCTCTTCTGCAAGCGCCGGGTCCTTGACTGACCTTGCGGCCGCACCCCTTGGCGCCACCCGGTCCACATGGCATACCCTCCAATGAGGGCCCTGAGAGGGCGGTATCAAGAGGGGTAGGAAAGTTTGTTCCATCTGCCGCCGCTCGTAGCTCACGGCCATGAACGCGTTTTGCCATGGACGTGTGACAGACCGACAACCGAAGGCAGCGACAGACCGTTGGAAGACTAAAAGGAAGTTGCTATATATTGCTCCAGCGTACTGCATTTCTAGGACATGTATGCCTTGCGAATGGAGGCAATTGTGCTGTATCACTACTTCGGTCGTCTCGGGTAAACATACAAACGGGAGATTCATGCATAAAAGCTCTTAAGTTTTTCTCCGCCTGATACGGAGTACTTGGTGTCCAAAGACCAAGAGCCCTCCTGCCGGAAGACGCCACTTTTCAGCCCGCTGTGACGAACACTCTTCTATGGGTCTTGTATCGGGTGTCAACAAGGTTAAGGTTCCCGCCCGCCTGAGGAGTTGGCAAGATGATTTGCGTAAAAGGGCCGGCACAGAGACGGCTCAAGCTGGAGCGATCAAAGACTCTCGGGAGCCTCTTCTGTCGGGAGAGTAACCATCTCAACTTCCCTTGTATTGTATTCTGCAACAAAAATATATTCTTTTGACTGGTAACGACGCGTTTGAAGAGTGTCGATTTCTTCATGATGGCCCCCCCAGTCAAGCGAAGTGCCATGAGTGCACGAAAAATCTGTGGCGCTTAGAGTCGTTGCACTGGCCGTCCAACCACAGCGTTCGCTGTCGAGATCCATGCAGGAAGCCCAGGCCTCATCACATCGACAACCCTTGCGATCACACATTAGTCGAATCTTGACTCTTTGCAAAAGCAGCGAATGATAGAACTCATCTTGTGTTCCAAGGCCCTTGGCGTCTCAAAGTTGTGCAGGGTCAGTCTACTTTCTGACCAATATTGTCACAAGTCCATTGGAACCCCCGCCTTTGCTCACGCTCCCGCCAACTGGCTTGCATGCATGCATGCAGCCTGTGGGCAGCGATGGCCATGGGTTCGAGAAAGCCATCCAGAGCCGTGAGAGCAGAAGAACGGGGCCGCTGGCTGTGTCCTCCAATCCTTGTCAACTGAACTTCGGAGAAAAGCATTTATGGGGTCCGCCTCAAGTACTTCTTGAGAAGGAAAAGTCGTTGACAACTGCATCGCTCACGAGCGAAACAAGAGACCGGTTACAGCGCCAGAATATTATTTTCTTGATACAGACCTCTTTTTTGAACTTCTCTGCTTTAGTTTGCAGATCACATCGCTTCGAACTCTGTCTTGTTGACGTGCGACCTCGACGGGCGAATAACTATCGCTCAGACCAGGCCTCTTGTCAACAATAATTCAGGAGCTTTGACAATGCTCAGGAAGCTGATGATAGTCCAAGCAGGTGGGCACTTTTGGCCCCTTCTCTTACGTTATTTATGATCAATTCATGCTGATTACGACTTTAGAATCATAGTCTTCCCACTTGGTTATCGTGCGACTCGCCTGTCTCATGCTGCCTTGGTACCTCTGTCGCAGAACTGTGTCATCCGTGAAGCAAATAGAGAGGAAGTGAACAAGGCACTCAGCTTTCAGGCTTTCCTCACAGCCCCTTTAAATCTTACATACTGCCGTTATCATTACGATGTCGCCCCCTTTTTGGCTGTCCCGATAGCCGCACATCTGACCTTCCCGAGCCACAATATATCCCTCAACTTACTGCTCACACCCCGACTGTGCGAGCGGTTTTGCGCACAAGTATCGTTGTTTTCCTCGAGCGCTATAACTTTGATTTCGTCTTCATTGGGAGTGCAGGAGGAGGAAGGGAAAGCCCGCTGTGATATACGGGACATGACAAGATGGGAAAGTTGATCAAGAACCACTTAGCAAGATTAATTGTCCTCACCGCAGCAATTTGTATGTCCGAACGTGTCGCCCTTTGACGAGTCCTTTCCAAGTACTAATGTCTTGTGCAGGCCAGTTTGCCGCTGGTATTCACGGATTCTTCTGGCCGAAGGTCTTCTGGGACTTCCTCACCAAGAACCTCGATGGAGCAGTTAAACCTGTCCCCGTCCTTCAGATTTTCAATGTAATATTTGGGTTGATCGGTATCGCGTTGGAATGGCCTTTGAAGCCCATTGCGGGAACCCTTGTCCACCGTAGCATCGAAGCTCGATTGCTAGTACTTCCGGTCAGCACCCTTCTGGCGGCCCTATTATATCAGGGCACGAATCCCGCTATCTATTATATCGTGGGAATGATTGTATATTTCTGGGGTTACAGCGAAGGCGAGGTACGCAATTCGAAATTTACTTATGCCGGAAAGCTGGACTGGACCTTGTGGCTAATTTGACGCTGTATAGGTTGTCTGCCCCGAACCATGGACATTGCCCAAGAGGCCGGCACGAGTTATGAAAGTATAATGACCTAACTAATTCCTTCCGCCTGGCTTTGAGAGCACATGCATTTTGAACTCTTCTGCTGAGGGAGTCAAGTTGGCCCGTGCCGTACCATAGACGGTCCAGTTTTAGTCTCTTCCCAGCAACCTGTATATTTATGAGAAGCTTTTTTACTGGCGCGGCAGAGCGTCTTGACAGGACATTTCTGTGATTTTCTTTTTAAATGTTGACAGATCCACTCGATCTTGGGACTGATTTGCCAAAATGTTAAAGGTATATATTTGTATGTAACACAAAATAAATACGATATCCTGAACATCACCACAAGAGTTCCGCCGATGATGATGTTTGGGATCGTGAAGCGATTGACCGTCTCGGAGCAACGATGTTCCACTTGATGATCATCAACCTTGAGCGAACCACGTTCCGCGCGCTCCTAAGCAAGCTAAGATTGCTTCCCAAGGCTGCTGATGCCTAACGAGCTAAATATCAGGATCACCATTCGCGGGCCGGGTGCATCCTCTCAAAGCTTCTGCCTGCTCGAGAATGATCGGACTGCGGGCTGCGCCTGTTCTCTTGCCACACGGCGACAAATCCGCTGGGAAATTATATAACTCCTGACACAACCATACCAGCTGATTTGGGGTGTTTGTGTTAGTATAATTTCACAGTTCGCGAATCGCAATGCCGAACGAGGACATTTCCAGTTCCGCGCCATTGACCTCTTTCAACGGTGTCCTCGACAAATATGTTCACATCTCGCCATCTAAGAATGGACGAGCAGAGCAACAGCCTGCTTCGCCCACCAAAAGATCATCACCATTGAAACGAAAACTCGAAGACGCTGGCAGTGAACCCGGGGGCGATGTCGCATCGCTGCTCAGTGAACCCTTCTCGCGGCCCCCGATATCCCCAACCCGACGAACGACCCGGTCTCAATCCGCCCAAACCCTCGAGAAACCTTGTCGTCCGTCCCCCACGAAACGCACCCGCAGCTTTAAATCCGCTCCACCGGCCTCCGACCTAGCCACACCAAGCGGCCCGATCAGCCTGCTGCACGACACCATTCCCCAAGGCCTTATTCTTCTCTTTATCGGCGTCAATCCCGGCATCATGACAGGCCAAACTGGCTTCGTCTACGCCCACCCGTCCAATCTATACTGGAAACTCCTTCATTGGTCGGGCATAACGATGCGTCAACATCCGCCTAGCGATACGTATCGGCTTCCGGAGCTGTACGGCGTGGGTAATACGAACATCGTGGCGCGCCCGACGCGCGACGCGAGTATGTTGTCCAAGGCGGAGATGGATGCGGGTGTGCCGGTACTTGAAGAGAAAGTGAGGAGAAATAGGCCCGAGGCTGTGTGTCTGGTTGGGAAGAGCATCTGGGAAGCAATTTGGAGGGTGAGGAAAGGGAAAAATATTAAAAAGGAGGAGTTTAGGTATGGGTGGCAGGATGAAAGTGAGAATATGGGAGTGATAAAGCCGGGAGAAGGAGACAACGAGGAGTGGAAAGGAGCGAGGGTATTCGTCGCTACGACGACAAGCGGATTAGCTGCGACCATGTCTTTGGCGGAGAAGAAAGCGGTATGGAATGAGTTGGGAGCTTGGGTAAAGCAGAAGAGAGAGGAAAGGAATTTTGTGCCTAACGTTAACTGATATATGTGTGGAATGTAATAAACCTATATAAACCTATATTCTACATTTCACCATCGCTACTCTGATCACCAGACGGGTTAATTGCAGACTGTCCGCTGATGCTCTTTTCATCGTCCATTTCCTCAAGCACGTCCTCCAAATCAACGTGAATTCGCAAGCCCTTCTCGACAGGCACATTCCAGATCTTTCTCAATTCGTCGGTACCCATCATCTCCTTTAGACCGGGCTCTGTAAATGCTAGAAGAACCAATTCCTTTACCCATGGACAGGAACGAATAGACCGGTAGAAGACGTCACGGGCGCGTTCTTTTCGACCCCAACCTAGCTCGAAGAGAATATAGAGCTTCCATATCGCGGCACTATATTGGCCAGGGGGCGAGCTAACTGCTGTTTCAAAAGCTGCACGGACCGAATGAGCTGTCGATCCAGCAGAAACACCTCGATGGAGTTCACTATAGATGGAAAAGAAATGGGGTGTAAGGGGAGAGTGTCCCGGAGTTCCCATATTTCCGTCTAGACTACGGCGCGAGGAAGAGGAGATATGCTGCCGAAGAATGAGGCGAACCCGGTCATCAATTCGGAAACGAGATTCATTATAAGCGAAGATGCTAAGGAATATAGAGTTGTTTGGGAAAAGAGAGAGGCTATTAGACAGCTCTTCACGGACTAGGGCTGGCTTGTATTTCATGGTGTTGGAGATATGATGCCACAGAAGTTTAGCTTTGGACTGATGGAGAAGCTCAGCTAGGGGAGTCTGTTCTAAGTGGCTGTCCTTCAAGCGCTCTTCAGCAGCTCGGTATATGTTTAAAGCACTTTCGATTTCAAAAGTCCGCGTGAGGTAGTGTAAGAGAGCAAGACATTCCGTATTGCTGATGAATACGGTCGAATTCCGAAACGATAGTCCATAATTCTGCGCTTCAACCAGGACCTAGAACTAGTAAGGAGGATTGAATAAAAGACTTGGTGTTTAATATCAACTTACTCTTTGAGTTTTCAGAAACTCTGCAGGGCTAAACCCGGTTGCCGCCTGTGAGTCTCTTGATAGCTCATCGACATTGATAGCATTCTCCGGAAGTGCGATAAGTAACCGGATTGCTTTGCAGGCATCGTTACTCCTTAGCGCCTCCCAAAGCCAAGATTGCCATAGCATTATAGAGTCCTTCCTAACTTCCTCTGGAAAGGATTTGCTCATTGACAAGGTCGTCATCCAGACCTTCTCGGCTGCAATTTCTTGACCACGGCGGCGCTCAATCAACGCGTACGCGTTATACAGGGTAATACTCGAGGGACGCTTTCGTAGAAGGTTTTTGGCATATTTTGCTGCGTCGCTGGAATTGCAAATGTATTCAAGACCGACCGAATATTCCGCAAGTGTATCATTCTCAGGGACCCATTCCACCAGTTGTCTTAAGGTCCGCCGAACCCATGGAGCATCGAGAGAGCTGGTATCATCAACATACGTAGACCTCCAGGACTTGAATGCCGAAAACCATGACGAACCGTCGCTGAAAATGGTGTCGTGGGTGACTGCGAAGTTAGAATAAGGAAGTGAGACAGGCGTAGGTAAGTCAGGCTCATCCATTTCATGGGACGGATCTCTAAACCATTGTGAGGAAGCTGTTTCTTGTTCTAGAATCAGGTTGCGAATAAATGGGTCTTCACGCCATTCCTTAAGGATATGAGCATTTTCCCGGGAAGAGTGTGGTGGAAGATGGCAAAAGAGTAGAAATGCATCGAGAAGTAAGTCCAGCAGACCCGGCTCCGAAAAGAAAGTAAGGAAGTCTTGGATATCAGAAGATAGTATCACTCTGTAAGGGTCGTCTTCCTGAACCTCATCCAATGTTCTCGCGGGTAGACGAGAACGACGCATCTGGCGGCGTTCTAGTTTACCCCATGAGTCAAAAATCGCCTTCATATCGATATCGGCAATAGGGGGGTCCGACTTGGAGGCTGGTGGCTCATTCTCATTGCTATTCCAGCCCTTAGCACCAACCTCCCCTAACCGGGGCATTTCACTATCCCAAAATTCAGAAAACGACCGGACCGCGTTGGGAAGATTGTTTTTAATATCAACAGTACGGCCACAGAAATTAAACTCCAAAGTTGCCTGCCATAAAGCAACGGCGTGCTCAAAATATCCTGCTTCTCGCATAAACAAACTCAGCCGAAGGAGGATATAAAGATGGACAACGCCTCGGTTAAGGTTGTCACAATGCGTTTGATTGATTCTCAGGCACTCTAGGAAAATTGAGCGGCAATTTTCATATGTAAAATTAACAAATCGAGTCTGCTGAAAGTCTAGGTACTTAACCCATAAAGCGATGTACCCTGGGTTTAACTGAAGGACACTCTTCCACTTAGACAATAATATTTTCGTATCCCATATTGTGGCACCTTCCTCCATCATCCCAAGCAGAAGACGGTCGCGAGGAGCATTGTGTGGTATTTTGTTCAAAGCTCTCTCATACATGGAAATTTTAATGTCTGCAATACTCTTTTTCTCGGCCATCGTGTAGGTTCGATGGCCCTCTGAATCTGCGGTACCAACCATGGAGCCCTGATGACTGATGAGGTCCAGCCAACCGTTGATATCATCCGGATGCACGGACACATGTGCTGAAAGAGACGCATTACGGCGTCGAGCCGCCACCTCTTCCGACTCTATATCTGAATCCGAGGTCATGTCTAAATCCAAAGCAAGGCTATCGGTAGGCTTAGCCTTCCCCTCGATTGATCGATAATCAGGGCCGGAATCTTCAGAAGAAGCTTTGTTGTCAACTCTTCTTCGCTTCCTACCCCCGCTCGCGGACAAAGAAATAAAACTCGACTCTGACTCCAAATCACCCGGGGCGTGGGACACTGGTCGAACTCGCCGGAATTCTTTGAACCTACTAGCTCTCTTCCACAAAGAGGAATTGTATCTTTGCCTGCCATTGTCAGTTCCGCGATTGCTACCACGTGGGCGAATCACGATTTTGGTTCCGAAGCTCAATTCGCGATCTATGGTATAGTCTGTTCGGAGACCCAGTACCCTTCCTGCACCAGTCCTGTGGTAAGAAGGTATATCATAGAGATGGGGAGAACCATATTCCACGTTGTATTTGTCTCCTCGCTTGTCAATCTTAAAAATGTCTGCTCTATGCTGCTCCGGCTCTTTATGCTCATTGTAACGGGAAGATTCGCGGTCGCGTGGATCTTCTCTGGATGCTGCTAGAGGTGCGCGAGTTTTACGATCGCTGCTTTTAGTTGAGATACTGTGTTCCTCCTTGTGTTCGGACCTGTGTGAATGGCGAGTGCTGTCGCGACCTTCGTGCTCTGTGTCCTCTCTCTTTGCCTCTGGCCGTTCTGAAGGGCGCTGCGGCTTCGGTTTGAAGCTCGCAAACCTAGGTATCGCTGGTTTTCCCTATATTGTCGGTGTCAGCTTCCGGTGCCAAAGCAGATTGCAAATGTAGTAAAGAGTACCTTCCCCTCCCTTGATTCCATCTCTGCTGTTGTGGCCTCTGATTACTCTTCATTCGGCGTCCCTATCGTGACGTCGATGCCGGCCGGGGAGCGCAGAGCACCGCAGCCGGGTAAACTTGCCTCCATCGGCCGGGTAAAATTTCCCTTTATGGAACATAAATTTTTAGAGCTTCGTTTGTCAATTCCACTGTGAAAGAAGTGCGTTGACGACTCGCGATCGGGGGGCGGTTTATTTTACACGTTCATTCTAGGAATGCAATCATTCTAAGAGCCGTGAGGTCTAGAATCCGCACGAGCTTTCGGAATGGCGTCGTCCCTCGCTGCGCAGCTCGCGCAGATCGCAGCAACATCAACCCATCAGCTCGACCTTAAAGCGCAGAGAGCAGCGCATTCTCAGTCTCTGATATTCGAGAAGAAAATTGCCGGCTCCCAAGATTTTGATACGATCTTTCAAGTATGCCACGAAGGGTTTCAAGAGTTATGCTCTCTGGATTCACGGTTTCTCTCGTTCAGACGAAACATTTTCAGCGATCAGAGCAAAACGGAGGACCGTGGGCAAATGACCACGAGCCAGAATAAAGAGCTGGACAGTGTGCTGGAGGACTTCCTCTCCCTAGTTGGTGCCCGCCTATTGTTGACACCAGCGGTCAAAGCTGTTGACTGGCTTATTCGACGGTTTCGGTACGTATAGGACTCGTTTTGTCTCGAGCGTTATCCCTTCCAGTAACTAACAGATCATTCTTTAGAGTGCACGAGTATAATACGTCTTTCCTTCTCCTCACATTCCTTCCATATCATACCACTCCGCTATTCTTAAACTTCCTATCCATTTTACCCGAGGACCTCACTCAGACTTTCAAGGTCTTTCTTCCTTATAAAAGAAGTATGACCCTCCCACCCCGGCAAGTGATTGTCCAGAGTGCTTCAACAAACAAGTCATTCTTCTCGGCTTTGAACAATTATGTTTTACAAGTCAGCAAGTCCCAGGCCCATTACCAAGGACTCGTTTCATTCTGGGCTGGGATCACTACGGAGGCACTCGCAAACATGCTGGATTCAGCTAAGTCTGGCAGGATGGAAATCGAGACAAGGAACAAAGAAGATGTGTTGATACGGATTTTACCAGTATTGAACGATGCCTTTATGCTGAGAAAGGCACCTCAGCTTGTCGTTGGCTGTTACATGTTGTGTGTTGTTCTCGCAAACAAGGCATCCCTCGAAGATCACGTTCTTGACAATTTGATGGAGGCAGTGACAGGTTCTTGGACGCAAACAAATTTTGTTTCAGGTATTACCTGCTTGTCTGTGCTATCTCAACAGAAACATGAGAAATCACTACCATCAAAAGTCGTTAAAGCGGTCCTTAGGCTGGACAATGTTATCGAGGTTTTCGAAGAACTTAGTGGCCGGTACGCGGTGACAGGCTTGATCATTGGTTTAATAAGAAGCTGTGTTCAGGAGAATGGGAAGCGATCTGACCCGGCTCGTATTCCGTTCGTTGGTCAATTAATACAACGCGCCATCCTCAGCGACAGCGAAACCATCGAAGCTTTAACCATTTTGCTGCAGGCATTTAGCGACTTGCAACGACAAGGTCTCGTGGCGGACGGAATGGGAAAGCAACTGTCCGACCTACTTTTGCAGTTTAACGAATCAGACACACTCGCACCATTGCTCCGCAAGGCCATAGAGAATGCGGGCGTTGACATCACCCAACTGGAAATGACCTTGGAAACTGTCCTTCAAGCAGACATTATGCCTATGGAAATCGAAGATGCGGACCTGTTAGATTTTATCAGCAGCTCTCAGACCCAAGACGCGTTCGCAGTCGCATTGGAACCTCTATCCCAGGCAGCGATAACGGAGTCATCTTTCCTAGCACCCGGTTCGTCCCTACTATTCGACCAATTAGCTGAGGCTTTTATCCACGGAGCTTCTACGAAGGACAGGGTGTCGAGATTCATTAAATTGCCGGTTTTAAGGCCGGATAAGCCTTTGGACGACCCTCTTTACTTATCCTTCTTTATCCGATTTTTTTCTGGCCCATACCCTGTGACAGCGAGGACGGTTGCTATTAGTATTGTGTCATCTTGCATCACTGCTATGGCTGATAAAAGCGCTGATATGCAAGGAATCCTTCCATATATAATTTCTGCTCTTGCGGATCCCTCAGAGAGGGTCCGGAGAGAGGCTGCGGCTCTCCTGAGCTTGATTGACCGCCTTGCCTCAAAATGCAAGGACAACGATGATTCTAATGCTCAAATTTGGGGTCGCGGGTGCCTTTATGGTCAAAACGAACGGTCAGAATCCGTTCAATTTTTACCAATGAAGGATATTTACAAGATTATTCACCATGCTTTGATGCCTGCGTTAGAGGAATATGTCCTGGATCCAGATCAGGTTGGCCGAACGTTGACTCAAGTAATTCGAGGACCCCGATCTCAGGATGATTCTGACCGGACTCGCTCGGAATCTACCGGAGTAGAATTCAAAAAACCTCTTCGTCGTGATCTCTTCTTGTTTCTCTGCTCCCATGCGTCTAAAACAGCACTCTATACTGTCAAGTTACGGCTGCTAAAGTTCCTCAATAAGGTCGGGAAAATCGGCTCCTTAAATTGCACTGAAGCTCTCCGACAGGTTTTTGATCAGTGGCGACTCTTGAGCTTAGAACACCTTCAGCGTATTGAAGACGGCGAACGAATATCCACAAATGAGCTCGAGGACCAAGTTCTATCAATCATTTATCCCAAGGACATGGACGCTGTTGACCTTTTATTCTCATCTTTAACTTCTAACTCGAGGTCTAATCGAGAATCTTTCTTAACAGCAGGTTTCAACCGTCTAAAGGAAGTCTGGCCATCGCTCGAAGAAACCCATGAGTTGTCCCTCGCGAATAGATTGCTCCAGATTTCTTTGAGCTTGGAGAATGGGAAGTTGGCGGGCGCCGCAAAAGGCCTTCTCCGATCGGTGGATCTATCCGGCCCTGTTATCCTTGAGTTCCTCAATAAGATTTCTGCTTCTGTACCAGATCTAGGGTCTCGTGGTCCTCCCTCAAAGAAAAGACGAACCAGCCAGAATAACATGGTACCGATGAGCTCTATGGATAAAGAAACCGACTCGGTCCTGCAAAAGATGACTTTTATTCTGGAGCTCATTGACAGTTCCCACTCGGAAAATCACCCTGAACTTATTTCTGGGCTTTTCCAAACGCTGACCATTATCCACCATCTGAAATTGCAAACGAGATCAGAGATGAGTTACCTCCTGAGTCTCAATCTTGGAATCCTGTTAAGTATTGTCAATAAGTGGAAAGGAATGCCCACGCGGAAGATCAATACTTCGTCTATTAGGGCGGATTTAATAATAGATTGCGTGCGAACATCGGAAAGCCCGCAGGTACAAAACACTGCACTTCTCCTGGTTGCGGGACTCGCAACGGTTGCGCCGGAGCTTGTCTTGCATAGCGTGATGCCGATTTTTACCTTCATGGGCTCCAGTGTCCTAAGAAAAGACGATGAGTACTCGGCTCTAGTGATAGATCAAGTAATCATTTACATTCCCTTCTTTTGTTGTTTTCAGCGCTAATTAGTCTCTCAGACTATCGACCAAGTGGTACCTCCTTTGGTCCAATCCTTGAGAAACCAGAAGAGAGATGTCGTCTCAGGTACATCCGAGCTGCTTCTTTCCTTTACAACCGCCTTTGAACATATCCCGTCGTATCGCCGACTCAGGCTCTTTGAAGCTCTCATCACGAAATTGGGCCCTGAAGATTTCTTGTTCGCGGTATTTGCTATGTTTGCGAATCGATATTCCATGGATAAGGACGTTCTGGCGACAATGACCGCCCTCGCATCCGATTGCAATGCCGAATTACAGCTCATTGTAAGTAGAATGGAAATCACTGATTTTGTATATGCTCCATCTAATATATTCCTAGACATATGCAAGATACCTCAATTTGGTTAAGGATACATTGCAACCGAAGCCAACGCTTGCGAAGACTCTTCTGGGTGTGGGCAGCGAAGATGGAAGGGACCCGCAGAAAATTGCGGTGGACTTACTGCAAGCTCTTTCGCATCTTCTTAAATTTACATCTTTACGAACCAAGATGAGTGAATGCTTCGATTCTGGAACCGAGCAACAGGTTGATAAAGCCCACGGACTCTTCTCGACTATATTGGAGCAAACACTCGCCCTGTCCGAATCTGTCCGTACAGTCAAGCCTGTAAACAGCGCTTGTGGTGAAACCCTGGGTACATTGCTGGGAACATTGTCCTTAGTCGATTTCGTCGATACCATTGAGGTTCTACTTCAGCGGCCAAGTGACGATCTTCGGCGAAAAGTGATCAAGCTCCTTGAAAACCGCCTCGATTCGAGCAATGACAGAGACAAGGCATCGCAAGCACGGGTTCTATCTTTCTTAACTGTTCTGATTAATATCCTTGAGACATCTCCCGACATCCTGCTGAAGCATGCTGCCGTTGCGTGCATCGAAAAGATCGGAGAGAAGTATGGCAAGAAGGACCCCTCGCAGGTTCTTGCGGCAGCCAAGGTTATCTCGGGCGAGCATTGCCTTGGACAACCCGACAGACGTATCAGGGTGATGGGATTGCTCTGTCTTGCATCGATGTCGGAGATTCTTGGGGAAGGGATCATTCCTACTCTCCCCGAAGCCCTTCCTCGAGCAATTGATCTATTACGAGACACACTTGCGGCATCAGACGACGATTCTCAGCTCCATGATGCTGTCTATTCTCTGATTTCGGCCCTTCTCATTCATGTTCCCTGGATGATTTCTGGCGAATATCTAGACAACATTCTGCAACTGTCATTCATATCCTCAAACACAGACTTGGCGGAAGGTTCCGATGAAAATCGTCTGGAAGCATTACAGCTGCTCGCGAAGAGAGTGGATGTCAAAGAGGCTTTTGCTGGCGTTGAGCGGAATTGGGATTCGGCTGTAACGCAGGGTTCAAGGGTAAGTTTGGGCGTTGATTTTCCAAGACGACAGGTAATGCTAACGAAATACGCTACGCAGGCCGTTCAGGAAGCTCTTGATGTTGTGAGAACCGCCATTGAGAAACATGCAAAGTCTGCTACAGTTAAGAATGTTTCTGTTTTGATGAAGTTGTTGTGCAAGGCATTCGATTTACGCCGACTTCAGCTTTCTCCATTAAATGATGGTGGCTTTGATGAAGCTGAAGTTGACGAAATTGAGTCTCGGGCCAATGATGTCGCTGTAAGGATGATTTACAAGTTGAACGACACCGTCTTCCGTCCGCTGTTTATTGATCTCACGGCGTGGGCTGTTAGCGGACTGGGAAAGAAGGATACTACAGGGCGCGTAGCGCGGTTAACCACTTTCTACAGATTTTTGGAGAGCTTCTTCGGGACCCTCAAGGTTTGCAAAATCCCACTTGGCATTAAACCGTTAATATTGGACTTCAGCTAATGACTCTTGATTTCTTATAGTCTATTGTCACTGGTTACTCAAGTTATATCATTGAGAGTGCGGTGGAAGTGCTCAAGTTTTCACGGTGTAACGATAAAGCCACAAAAACATTATGGCTGGCCGTGCTACGCATGCTTCGTAATTCATTTGGACACGATCAAGATGGTATGGCCTATCCGAACATTTTCGAGCTTTTTCAAAAGTATACTCTGTACTGACAATTATTCAACAGAATTTTGGCAATCACCGACTCATCTGGCATCCATTTCAGAGCCTCTAATCAAGCAGCTCTCGATGGCCACAAATTCCCCAACCCTTGATCTCGTGGCTGCCGAAGCAATTCCTACCATTGTCGAACTTGCTGTGGCAGCTGACTCCCCAGATAACCATAAAGAGCTAAACACGGTGATCATGAAGTTTATGCGTGCAGGGCATGGCAACGCCCGTGGGGCGGACAATCCATACACGCGTCTAGCTGCAGTCAAATGCGAGCAGCAACTGACAGAGCGTTTAGGAGAGGAGTGGCTTGCGTTACTACCCGAGATGTTGCCGTATATCAGTGAACTGTTGGAGGATGATGATGAAAATGTGGAGCGAGAGGTGCGGAGATGGGTGTTGTCGATTGAGGACATATTGGGAGAGAAACTGGACGATATGTTGACGTAGAGATACATGTGAGTACGGTACATACACTTTTGGTGAACTTTGGAGTTTTGGAGAATGTGTATGTTTCTGGGTACTGTCGATGAAACTGGATTCACATATAGGTCGCTGAGCATTTAACACTGGGGAAAAATCCAAAAATTTATATTAATATGAAACTATTACAATGTTACTATGTCATCGAATAATCATATTAATCGAAATACGACTGGCCTTTCCAACAAGAGCGCAGTCAGCAAGACTTATATGGGTATAAATACATCTTAGATCGGAGGAGGACTCAAATCGAGTCCTTCAACAGTCAACTTGAACGCATCGTTGCGCGAATAGCTCCCAGCAACATCCAAATCTAATCTTCCCCTTACACAATCCTCGAAATCAGCCTCAGATATCTGCAATCCCCCTTCATCATCATCATCGACGTTCCAAACCGGACCGGCGAGAACTTTCCCCATCGGGCTTATGATGCAGGACCCACCGCCCGTGAGGATAGGATCGGAATCGCTGCTGTCCTTCTGGGCGCTATCGTCACCTTTTACCCAGCCGGGTAGCTGGCTCTTCCTAACGCATTGGTTGCAAGTTAAGACAACTGCTCTCCCTTCAAATGCTACTGTCTGCATGAGCGGGAGCCATGTATCGCGACCGTCGGCGGTTGGGGCAAGATATAAATTGACATTTTGCTGGTAGAGACTTTGGCGGAGTAAGGGCATGTAGTTCTCCCAACAGATTGCAGCCGCGAGGGTCAGCTTGACGCCATCGACTTCGGTGGTTACGGCTTTTAAGGTCGAAGCTGATCCCTGGGCCCAGACGAGACGCTCCGTGCCGGTCTGATGGGTAAGCGATGTCAGCTTAAGGTAGAGCTGCCCGATTGAGAGAACAATTCCGTTTATGTGGGTAGTTATCTAGGGGGCTATGTGCTTACTGGCATAACCTTTCTTCTCTTGCCCAAAACCCCACGCTTGGGATCGACGTATACAACGGCACAGTACAAACTTCCGGCACATCTTTCAATCAAGCCGACGATGATCAGCATATCCGTCTCCCGAGCAATGCGTTCTAGGACCTCTCTAGTTCCGTCACCCCGATAATTCTTCCCTTCGGCGATGGGCAGTCGTCTGGAGACCCAATCGTCTCCCGCCCCAGCAGGCGTATCTCCCATGTCAACGGCTGCCTGGTAGTAATGTAAATACTGCTCGCGACCACTGTCATCGCGGCCTCCCATTGCCGCTCCCCAGGTGCATGTTCGCGGGTATCCGCCCAGGTAACCCTCTGGGAAGAGAATGATTCTCGCGCCGCGGGATGCCGCAACACGGGTGATCCTCTCGAGAGCCTCGAGGGTCTCCTGGAGGGTGTCTCGTGTCCTGGCCTGAGAGACGGCAACCTTGAGCTTCTGCGACATGGTCGATATGCGGGTATCTGCTTGTTTCAGAGCGATAGTGTTCAATGGTAGGTGCACGACAACTTGGAGTGCCACAGCCTCACCGGAGCGCAGAAGCTCGCTATATACCACATTTGCTCCAGTGAAGTTGAGCAGCTCGGCATTCTGGAGCTCCGTGGGGGCGGGGAAGGGGTTCCCCACATGCAAGGGGGAACGTGGGGAAAGGCGCAGTCCCCAAGCGGAAAGGCCATCTGATAAGAATTAACGAGTTAATTGAACTCATACTCTTGGTGATTGGCCTTTTCGCCTAGGTAACTTAACCATCTTTTTATTTAGTCAAATTCCCGGCGTGAATACAGACTGCTTCGCGCTACAAGTTGGAGGCACAGTTATTGCTTGAAGGTGTGATCAACTCTTCTTCTTGATCGATAATAGTGGATGGGCTGGCCCGGGTTGATGAACTTTACATTCTGCCCATCATCTAAGAAGCAGCGATTGAACTCGCATAGCTGATTTGGGAACCCCGACAGGTCGAATTCAGATATGCAGGTTTGTGAGGTGGAGAATATAATATGGAGGATTTGTTTAACTACGATCTTGAAGGGATACGTATCTGTCAACCAAATCCAACTCTCGTTCACTGCATCATCGATCTTTTCTCTTGTTCCTGCATCTAATAGTACCAGAAACATGAGTGACCGGGTCGTCAAACGGACAAATTATCGGTTTGATGATTTAGCCTTTATCTTTTCCTACGATGAAACCCAGTGCCAAGTCGGCAATCAGATCTCAGAGAAGACCTCTACCTCTCACCTGCAAGAGAATTTCAAGCACATGAGGACACGGCGGAATTACAGGTAGTATACCAACTACCACCAAGTCGAAAAGTCAATCCCCTTGGAAATAAAGCAACCATGAAGATTCGGATACAGTAAGATCCTAGCGCCCCTGCCGATGTTCTTACATTTCAGCAAAAACTTGGTGTATCGCTTGCAGGGTGCCTCCGACATATCAACCTGATCGCAATCCAGATTCCGGAGTCAGGAGCCAAACTTTCACTAGCCATCTGAGCAGGAATTGGCTGAACTCCCCGATTTACTACGGAGTACGGAGTATAGTATCCTAAAGTGTCCATCACACCAAAATTCATTTTTGAGTAGTAATTGAAAATGCTACATTGAAAATATTTATTTCAACTAGACTGATTACAGTGACAGGACCGATTGATATCAGATTTCTCAGCGTCAAGATAATCTTGATAAGCCTTGACATATAATATCAGTTTTCTTTTTTTTTTTTTTTCCCCTCGTTATCAAATAGCTTTAAGACTGTTTATCTGAGATGGTTACTTTTTGAATTAACTAACTCTAATATATCTACTATCACCAAATCAGAAAGAAAAGATTTATAACACGGTATAGCTTCTAATGTTAATTTAAATATCATCTCTTTTTTATCTCGAACTTATGGATTCGATACTGAATCTGATATTAAACTATCAGGCTAGAAACTAATATTACATCAAATTAATCAAATAATTTTTTTAATTTAGTCTTAAACTGATACATTATCAATATCAGTACAATAATTCCAGAAGATGTACTCCGTAGTCAGTTTAATTCTGAGTTATCTTTTGTGCCGGTTAGCGGGGCGCCGAGCCTGCCGCGCCCGACCGCCATTGGTCCACCCCGTGCGCCATGCCCGTTGCGGTATCGCCGTTGCCGCTTCGGGGATGGCGCCTCACGCCGCCTCAACGCCGCCGCCCGATCTATATAAGGTCCTTCTGGGCGGAAAGGATAACTCTCCGAGAGGAATTCATCGCTCCTATGGAGAATGTCAACCAATGGCATCTCTGCTTGGCGCCGGTGGCCCTGTCTGCCAAGACATCTACGAAGAAGCCAGAGAACCTTGGAGTTTACCAGACATTATGAGGAATCATCTCAAGAAGCTGTCGTGATCATATTATTTTAAGGCTGAAGGCATAGATCATGTGCTACCTTGTATATTCCGACTTAGGACAATATTATATACGGTTTACAAGACAATTACTATCCATTTATTCCTCCTTTTGGATGAGTGTGGTGACACTATTGAACCTTTGAAGAATAGCCACAAAGGAAAATCACATGGATCGAACGAATCGAATGTCACACGTCAGGGCAGGCATGTCGATCATAGTCCGCTGTAGCTCTTCTGATTATTCTCACCTAGTCTATAACGGCTGGGTCCTCTCGTCCATCCCGAAGAACAGTAAGCATGTCGGAGTACAGCTTTGAATCCTCTTTCTCCCACCGTTTATCGCCGGGAAAAACACACCGTCGTAGCCTGTTGACCCACGGAGCTAAGGGCTTGTAGTATGGGGTGAAATTGTCCTCGATAGTCCTGAGAAAATCCTTTTCATGATCTATTACCCCCTTTTTGGCAGCAGCAAGATCTTCTGTGTCCATATAGTTCCATTTTTCGAACCGCTTAACAACTCTTCCCTTCCCCGGGCCCTCGTAGTGGATGCATATCCAGAAGAGGACCCAGAAAAAGGACTCAAGATCGTGCATGAAGGAGTGCTTCTCGCCATAGAGCACGCCGATGGCCATGAAGGCCCTTGTGCCGGTCTTACCACGCGCCCCCGAGAAACCCTCTCGCTGTTCCTTTACCGCAAGATCAAGGTCGATCAAGAATGCTTTTTGAGAAGAATCATCATCTTCCTCATTCACCATGAGGTTCCCCAGCGAGATATCGCTTTGGATCATCCCAGCTCTCTCATGCAACGACTGATACCCACGTATACATCCATCCAATGCAGAAAGTAGGAGAGCCCTTGAAGTAGCCTTGTATATACATTTGCCGTAATCCTGGACAACGACACGGCGGTGCACCCGATACTGTATTGTCGCAGTGGCCTTGGTAGGAGAGGACGACCGCGTGCGCTTGCTTGGGGGTAGAGGAGCTTGGAGGCTGTCGGACGACCGTTTTTCTCCGGTGGCCTGTTTCTTCTTGCGGGATTTGCCTCTTATCACCACCGACTTACTCGCTTCCTCATCCGCTTTGACACCAAGACCCTTCCGCGCAGTTTCGGTAGTATCATCCCGGCCGTCGATGCGGATGGTCTGGTGGTGATAGTACCGAGCCACGTTGATCACACCCTTCTCCATCGCTTCGCTGAGAAACTTCCCTTCTTCGTCGCGCTCTGGATACTGCCAAGAGTCCTTGACCACAAGCTGTGTCGATGATCCTTTGCGGTGGACTTTCCAGCAGGTAGTGGCCCGGCCGGCGATGCAGTGTGCCCGCCCAATCACCTCGTCGATCACAAGAAGCTCCTTCTCGCCATTTCGCTCAATCTCAATGCAGCGTGTACCATCCACGGTGACAATAGTGGGATCGAACCCTAGCTGCTTTTGGTCCATCCGAAGGAACCCTAGCATCACCGTAATAAACCGACAGCCGTCCTTGTTGATATCGAATTTCTCAGATGCAATCCCACCCGACCGGTCAAAGTGCCAAACACGGAGGAATGGGCCGCAGAGGGTGAACCCGGGAACAAAGCGGCGGGAATCCTGAGCAGACAAGACCTCTCTGACATATCTCCCCAGATCAACCCGTGCTCCCGAAGGGGTATCATACATCCGGTCGTTCTTCAACTCTCCCGGGACCAGGATCTGCGACCAGTGGCAGCGGGTGTTTTCCGTAGCATTTGGATCGTCCACAAACGCGATATCAAGTTTTCGCTTTGCAGTAGACCCGCCCACAGGGCGAGACGGCTGGGCAAGCGGTCTACGGTCGATGTTTTGAGTTGGATCATGTTCCTCAGCGAACTGCACAAGTGTGCCCACGGTCTCCACCAGCCAGTCCAACACGCACTTCTCCGCTGCATTTTCCGGCCAACCAGTCCAACCTCCTTCTTCAGTGTATAAAGACTCTCCTCCGGCTTTGCATCTGTCAAACACGGCCTGCGCGGTCGAGCCAAGCCCCTCAATCTCGCCGAAAAATGCTTCAAAAAATCCTGGGATATCCGCATGGAGAAATCTAAGAAGTTCTTCCTTTAGCACATTATCGATGTCTTTTCGGTACTCTGACGAATTGGCAAGACTGCTGGTGGTATGTGACCGCGGCGTCTGAATGACCGGTAAGTTAATTCGCGGCGGAGGCGTAATCCTCGTGGCCTGTGTGACGATGTCAATGAGGTCAAGGACGGCTTTCCAGATATCTGTATCAGGTGCTTTCTCAAGGACGAGTTGGACAAGTGGCTGGTAGATATCATAGTTAAAATTACCTTCGACATGCCGAAATAAACCAGCCAATTCGGATGCCACGCTTTGGCCACCTTGTTTGGAGCGAAGATTGAATGCTGCATCTTGCCCATGTAGGATAGAAAGCAGCCTTAGAACACCTATTCGACAATCTTCATTTCCTGGCTCACCTGGCTTGTACGCTTGTTCAGCTTCCTGAAGGCGACTAAATATTGGCCGAAGGGAGTTCTGAAGCGAATACTTCCCTACAATATCATCAAGAGAGGAGCCCGCCATGTTGACTAGAAAAAATTTGATTAAGTTAATCATTCACATTTCAGAGTACTAGAAAAAATATTAGGCGCCGCATAAGAGAAGATAAGTTCTATATTTTATGAGAAAACGAGGGAATAAGAGCAGGCAGCATCAACTAAAAGGTCCGCAACTTGGCGGCTTTATGTAAAACGTACTAGTTAACCCAGCACGGCTAGCGTGGAATTGACATTGTTTATCGACGCAAAACGGACCCGGTCGCTCAAGCAAGAAGTCCAATACCCAACTGTGGAATCTTGCTGTCATACAATGCACACTGCATGATGTGCATACAATATGAGAACTCTCAAGGAAACCTGGCATAGTCATCGCAACACATGAGGCTCCTGCCAAGCAACAAATTCCAACACTTGGGCTTGTTCGGAGTGTGAAACTCTGTTTTGGCATGTGTTCAAGCTCAGAAGTGTCCTTTCTGCAAATCTGGGCGATACTGCGTCCACTGAGAAGGTAAGCTCAGTTTCAGGCTCTGAGTACGAGCAAGGCAGATCATAGTTCGGTGATTTTCCTACCCAAATCCTCTGATCTGTGAGTGTGGTATGACGCGTCCGCGAACCCGCCACTCAGCACTCACCATGAAATTCCTCTTAGCTTCCTCGCCATACTGCGAGTACTCACACCGGACACCATGAGAAGGTAAGAATTCATCATCCCAAGAGCTTAGCAACTGCTCTTGTCCAGCGTGCTGCATCTCCCATCTGTGACATTCCGCACTCCATGGTTGTATAGAGAGTTGCGTAACCCAATCTTTCCTGTCCGCACCTGGGTGATGATTGTGCGCTCAGGGCTCGATGTAAGTTTTGATGGACTCGTAGGACTGTAGGTGTAGGCGCTGGTGTGAGCTGAAATGTATCCCATCCCTTGTTGACAGTTTGCCACTCCTGGGCCTAGCATGCCTGCCGCTCCATGTGTAGGCTACGTATTAAACCTCTTCATAAGAATTCCTGAAGCAGGGGCAGGGTTGGATATGAGTGCTAGGAGCCTAGATGGTGTCAATTGACTATCATTGCTTTTTGTTTTGAAATCGATTGTGTATCAACTCAATGACAACAAGAATACTAAGCATTATTATGGGCAGCGGTTAGCAGGCGCCAAAAAATGGCAGCAAAATCCGCCATGTTCGGCCGCCAGCTAACCGTCACATCGTTAAATAGAGTTACTTTATTGATATGAAATGACTAATTCTGTTATTGATGCGGGCGTGTCTGGTGAATACTCCGTAACTAACTTAGTTTTACCCCGACAAGAGACCGCCCCACCACCCCAAAACCTTTGACGGGGGAAAATTCATGGCAAGGCACTAACCTATTCATTTCCGGAAACGTATATTGGACCTCGTTGCGGAAGAAGACCCTGGAATGTGCCTGGAGGACTTCTGGGATTGTCCCGACTGGGGAGCGCCACAAATACGCGGTGCTTTTCGTGGTGTCGCCAAGGATGCCAGAACCCGCTTCAGC